TCTATAGGAAAACTGAGGTGCAAATGTTTATGGCCTGTTATTTCCTTGAGGGTGTAAGTTAGGTTGCCAAGGAGGAGAGGAGAGAGGGAAAGTTGGAAAGTGAATTTGGCCAGAGGTACATTGTACAAGTGAATTTGGCCAGAGGTACAACGTAACGTCAGAACTGGCTTTTAAGTAAGTACCCCAGGCATGATCATGAGTGTGTCTCAGAAAGATCACATTAGCCAGCAGTGTATCAGAGACACTGAGGATATCGGACACGGAGACAGGGTCCAAGTATGAGTTTATTGGCAGTCATTGCAGTGAACCAATTACTAGTCATCACTCTTAAATATTTATATTCTACTAAGCACTCTGTAAGCTTACTCTTGACCACAGTCAAGTTTTCAGAGTTGCTCAGCCAGTAAATGGAGCCACAGGATCTGAACTGAGGTGCTGACTCTTAAACGTGGCACATACTTTCCAGAGAGAGATAATTAAGGTTGTCAATTAAGCAACGGCTGTGGGAATTGAGAGGAAGTACTCTCCCTAAGACATGTTCTAGAAGTAAAATCAAAGCCGTTTTTTGAGGACAAATTAGCTTTGGGTAGTGAGGGGAAGGATCTGAGGATGCAGAGTTGCCAATTTATTTCGTTTGGGTGGCTGAGTGAACGACCGTCTGCTCAGGAAGGGCTGGCAAGGGAAGATCATGAATTAGTTTTGGAAAGATGGTTTTGAGTTGCCTGTTGGGGACATCAAGATGGAAATGGCCAATGCGGAGCTGTAAATACCGTTTCGAGGCGCTGGAAAGAAATGAGAGCCAGGACGGAATGATTGGGCGTCTTGAATATGATTGAAATCACAAAAGCGAAATAACCCGTACTCAAGGAAGGTACCATGAATCAAGTCAATTTTTTAGTTTGGAAATGCCAGAGGATGATGTGGGCTAAGAAGATGGAAGAACCAGGTGAGGGCTGTCAGGGAAGCTAACTGAGGAGGAGATCTCAGGAAAGGAGGTTCACTCAATACCATCAAGAGCCGCAGACAGCAAACAAGCAAACCAACCACACAACGTGTTAACAGTGCAAGAATATGGCTTCATACCGAGCCACACGGATGAACTTAAGTCAAAACTGTGCCCAACCAGGGCTATTTACAGCCGCTTTCTTGTTCTTGAGATGCCAACGTTTCCCACTCGCGTTCTCCTTCACCGCCCTACCCTTTCCTCCCTTCTTCCACGTACAGGGTGATTCTCCTCCACATAGCAATGTTTTGGGACTCGCCTCCCACTCCTCTCGCTTCCAGCTGCTTACGGTTTCTATGGAGACCTTCACTTAATTAACCCAATCGAGGAAGAGGGCATCGCTGGCGGGAAGGAAACCAGCCAGAGCAGCGGCGGGGAGAGCTGGAGGAGAGCGAGGGCTCGCTGACCGGAGCCGGGAGGACCCCGCGCGGAGGCAGGCCGCGAGGTGGGCTCGATGGCGGCTCTCGCTCCACCTCGGCTCCTCCCGAGCCTGTGCCCGCGCAGCCCCGGGCGCGCGAAACTTGCAAAGCGCGGCGGCGCGGCCAGGCTCAGGGTCAGGGCGGGATGCGGGATGAGGGGCTCCTGGGACCCGCAGCTCTGCCGCTGTGCACTCCCGCGCTTTGACTTCCAAGTCTCTGCTCTTTCCTCTTTTCCCCTCCAGTCTAACCATTCTTAAAACCTCAGTCCTTTCTCCTAAACTCTGTCCTGTATCCAGAGGTCAGAAGTTGGTGCCTTTGGACTGTTGCTAACACAGTGCTCCCAGGGCCCTGCTCTGTGATTGACAGAACTGAATCTGAGCCGGGGTTTGGACTTAGGCCGCCCAGAGCGATCTTTCCGCTTTGGCATTTTTATTGCAACACACAAGCCGCCGAAATCCTACTTTACACTGAGATTTGGGGGAGAAAATTAAAGCCACAACCCTGAGGACAGAACACTCACATCAGATTTCAGAGAAAAACGGACAAGGTTAAAGCTGTGCAGTTTGTGGGGGCGTCTGTGGGTTGAATGATTAGATATTTCTTTTTAACTGGGTTGCATTTTATCCGAGGTGAACACCTGCTTAGTTAAGAACTAAAGAGGATTTTGTAGGAAGAAACCTTCTTTGGAGTGGTTTTAGAGAGCTTTAAAATCGATCCTGGGGACTTATTTACTATTCAAATGAGGTTTTTCAGTTTTAGAAATATTTATATATTTTATTTACAGGATGTTTATTCTTTTCTTGATATCTTAAGTTCTTAGGTCCTCAGGGACTCTAGGTGCCTAGGAAAAGCTACACAAGCTTTGTAGATCAATGCATTTTAAAAATGAATATTGAATAGTTTTCCCATTTAAGTTCAATTTCACCAACGGTATTTTGAAATATTTTTCATAACGATGGTACAGTTTTAAAATGTGAGGGATTGCTTCCAACGAAGTAGCAGTGTGTAGGCATTCTAGATTTCCACCAGTTAAGGTTAGTTTCACACAACACAATGTAATTTTGTGTAATTGCCTGATAGTTCATTTTATTTCTACCCCCTCCTTTGTATTTAATTATGGCAGCTTCCGGAAGCAAATTATTTTGTTATTTGTTGGAAAGTACTGATGTTTCCAGTTTTATTAGGTGGAGAATATTATGCAACACCTACTTATTAATGCCTTAACATTCAGTTGGGTGAGTGGTCGGTCTAAAGTGAAGAGAGATGACATTAAAGTGATACACACGCACACACACACACGACCTAAGGAATGTCCAATAGTTTAGTTTCGAACCTAAAAATATAAATATACATGTTTAATTTGACTGAATATGCTTCATTTTCCAGATGGAGAAATTAATGATTCTACTGCTCTGGTTACCATATGTGGTTAAGGTGAGACATTTTTTAATGTCCCTTTTTTGGAATAATTAGTTAATAGGTAGGATGCTAGTGCATTGAGTCTATCCATTTTGGAAAATAAGGGGTGTGTTGAAGAGAGATAACACTAAATATTGGGTCTAGTACCTAAGAAAAATTTTCTTTGCTAGATGCTGCACAAATGTATGCATATAGATGGCATCTGTTTTCATTGCTTACTAGTTGTTTTGGGGATAATCAGTGCCGGGAGAGATCAGAATTCGGTAAAAGATATGGTATAAGTGACGCATTTCAAGGCTGTTTTCATAGGTATTTTGATAAATACATTGTGAAGTCTTTTTTTGTCATCTGGGGAACAGAAAGGCTCTCTGATCCTGGGGCCCAGCTATTTTACCTCAATTGCTAGCGTTTTCTTTACCTGTAAATGAACCAAGCCTCTAAAATGACTGAGTCAAACATTTTGCTCTCAAACTTATTTTCATTGCAAATGTATTGTCAAGAATGTCTGCGAAGTATTTCACTTTCTTAGGCATCATCATCAGGGTACACAGTTCACATGCCAGGAAAGTGTCCTGAGTTTTTCCTGTGACTTTGAGTCTCTCCTCCTCCCTGACCGCAGGAGCGTGGTGTTCCTAGTCTGAGAAACATGTTTCCTTGCTCTAATTTTACTTGCCTTTCTTATTTTCAAAATCGTGTTAATAGAGTATCCAATGGATGTCATTTAATTCATGTGTAGAAATTGATATTGCTGAAATATCTTTCAATTATCATTTTGCATATTTTAGGTTTCATTTTTGTAAATTTGCTTCTAAAATAATAACCAAGAAGCCATTTATATTTTTTATCATTTGTTTTCTTTCCCATTTCAGATCTCAAAAAGTTTTCATTATGTACCGATGAATAAACAAACAACAAAAATTCTTATTGAATGGGATGAATTTCCTAAAGGAGAGAGTCCTGAATTTTATTTTTTAAAATACCAACTTGTTAATAGTTTTGCTCAAAAAGTAAGCCATCTTTTTTTTGGCTCTGATAAAAAGTAAGCATAGTGTAAATTTGATGTAACTAAATGCCACATCATAAATAGGAATTTAACAGATATTGCAATTTCTTACTTTTGTTTATTAATATATAAAATGTTTCCATTTTATGAAATATCTTCATTAAGTAGTTGATCAAAATAATATTTAACTTTTTCATAAGAATGATTATGTATTTTCCTTTTTATAATTTATATAGTGCACAGAGAGTAATTATATAACAACTAATCATTATGTAAAAATAAATACTTTATATATGTTTGTATTCTATATCAGAAAACCTGCTTCATATGAAAGAGATGTGCAAAAGTCAAACTTGGGATTAATGTATCTGACACAGAGTTATTAAACGTTTCTTAAGCATCTAAATCTCATTTACAGAATATCAAAAGCATTCTCACAGACCCACAAAAACTTCCAAAATCAATAATAACACTAGAAGAAAATGAAGACTATTACATCATTATACAGTCCGTAAAATATGGACAAATTTTGAGTGAAAAATCATTCCAAACCCGTAAGTAACGTGTATATGTTGTTCAGCTATATCACCTAATTATAAAGGGAAAAAAATTTTATTACCAGATAATTTGAATTTTACAGTGATTAACAGATATGTAATGGTAGTCGGAAATCAAATCCGAATAGTGGTATTTTGTTTTTTAAATGTAATGTAAATTTAAAAATTTAAAGGCAATTATAAACTGAAGTAAGAATAAGATTTTCAGTGTTGATGTTGAATGTGTGCTAATATGAATAGAAAGGTATCATAGAGATGTTACATGTAATCCAGATTATTCTAAAAATGCTATAATGTGGGTTTGTAATCTGATTCATTCATTCTAAGTAGTGTATGAGAAACTGCCGTATAGTCTAGAAAGTATTTTATAGTTATATAATGTTTTTCCATCACAGTGAATCTTTTGTAATTCAATATTCTTTGTGTTTCATTCAGTTTTATTTAAAACTGTGCTAATTATTCTCCCTGATTTTTTAGGTGGAATCTCATCTAGAAATATTAAAACAATAGCAACAAGTACGAGTGTTTCTTTTAACTGGAGTGAGCTATCTTCTGGTGACATTTCAATGTCAATATCTCTTAATAATTCTTCACAAATTATGCAAAACAATGTCACTGTTTATGAGTGGGGCAGTTTGAAACCTGCCAGTTTGTATTCTTTTACATTTGAATTCAAACAGTTATGCTTGGATTTTATAAAGGTATTTCAGAGACTGGATGTTCAAGTGGAAACAGGTATGTAGCTATTTGGTTCATTGTTAATTAATATATTTATTATGGATTTTGTAGATAACTTGGAAGCTGTATTCCTCTTTTAAAATGTGATCCAGCCGAGTATTAACTACTGTAAACTACCTGTCAATGAATCAGCATAGTCCCCCTTTTCTAACTGTGTCATTCTGGTATTTGATTTATTGAACAAGATGGATTTAGCAGGGTAACGGTATGAACCAACTTTATTCACCTTTCACCACTTCTTTTAAACTGAACCAAGTGGGTTCTCTTTTCTTTAACTCTGGCAATGGTTCGTATGGATCCCATTGCTTTTCAGATGACTTTCAAGTATCAATGAATAGTCTCATTTTCAGGCATTAAGAGGTCCATTAAAATCTGATATAAAAATATCAATCTTCCATCCTATTTGAAGCTTCTCCATTACTCATCCCTGACCAGACGTGACCAAAATTTGTAATACTACAAGGGGAAAGGGAGTGTGTTCAATTTTTGGTGTCTTCCTCGTTCTACTTCCTTCCCCCACATGGTGGGAAGAGAGAGAAGAGGTCAGTCACAGATAGCACATGAGGGCCATACCCACTCTGTGATGGGCTAAGAGTCCCATTTTAATATTCTCTATAGGAATAATCAGTGAACCACAATATATGTTTACCAGTGAAGCAGACAAACACTTGAATAGTAAGAAAAAGATAGTAAGGTGACTAAAGCATTCCCTCTCTCCATCCTTGTTCTCCTGTGAAAACAGTTTCTTCAAAAGATCCTTGTCACATCTTCCTGATATGTTGGGCTGAGGCACTGATGAAGCATCAACAAGAGTTAAAGTGCAATGTCCGCTCTAAACAGGCTGAGATTTTCCTCAGTTTTTTATGGTATACAGTCTTGGAGAAACAAGCTAAGCACCCATTCTAGTTTTTTCTGGAAGGTAAACCTATTTGAAGTCAAGTGGCAGAGAACAGAATTTTTAGCAAGCCTTATGTCTAGTTCTCTAAAATAAAAAGAAACCTGAAATATACTTAGAAAGTTCTTTCCCAGTACAAGAGTAAGGGAAAGGAAGGACAACCTGAAATAACTTAGGGAGAAAAACATCTGTGGTTTTTGTTTAAATTGTTATAAGTGGGCAATAATTCTGCATAATTAATTCTTACAGCTACTTAAAAAGCTATTTTCTTTGGTAGTAATGGATTTACTACTTGAATAATAACAGCTTTAGTACTTTTATTGGTTTGGGGAAAATATAGGGAACGTGCACAATTAACACTGCGAGGTTTTCACGATTATCTTCTATAGATGTCAAGAAATGTAATTATATAATGTTATATTACTGAATTCATCTTTAGCAAAGCATTTTTCTTTTGGTAGGTTCATGTTCACAAGGATGGGTAGCATTAAAAAATAACTGTTATAGAATTAGTAAAGAAAGCGTGCCATGGAATGTAGCCCAGCAACGTTGTAAGTTATCCTTAAGTTCTGCACACCTTGTGGATATAAAAAATGAAGAGGAAAAACACTTTATATTTTCACTTCTCAGGTCAAAGAATCAAATAATAATATGGACTGGTCTTAATGATTTGAAGGTCAGTAAATGTAAAGAAATGCATATATTGTGATCAAACTATTTTATATATGTTCATTCATTCGGCCCTTCTTTGTTTATTCATTTGTTCCTTCCTTCATTCATTCAATAAATATTTATTGAGTACTTCTTAGAAGCCAGACTCTGTTCCTTTTTCATTTCCTCCGTGTCAATCTCTCTCTCTCTTTCTTTTTTTAGAGCAGTTGTAAGTTCACAGCAAAATTGAGGGGAAGAAACAGAGATTTCCCATATACCCCTTGCCTGCACATATACATAGCCTCCCCCATAATCAACATCCCCTACCAGAGTGGCACATTTGTTACAGCTGATGAACCTGTATTGACACATCATAATCACTCAAAGTCCATAGTTTACACCACGGTTCACTTTTGGTGTTCTACATTCTGTGTATCTTTGTCAAAGCTTATACTTTTCCTGGCCCCCCTACCCCCATTTCTAGGAGGGTTGTCACATGACTGTCTAGAGATAGATTCATTACTTGTGAGAATTGAGGTTGGTGATATTCACCAGTCACATCTCTGAGCAGAATGGTGTCAACAACCTCACCTAATGCGTAGAACTTACTATGACTTGAAATAAAACAACTAACATCTAATGAATTATGAGTCCGCGCCAGGCATTATTGTGTTGAGCCTGTCATATGCGCTGCCTCTTTAATCCTCACAACAATCTGTTATTGTACACATTTTAAAGATGAGAAAATAGAGGCTTAGAGTGAGATGCAGCAATTTGCCTGAAGACACATGACTAATGAGTGAATGAAAGTGAGCTCTGTCTCCAGCTCAGAATCTTTATGGTGAAGGAAATCTGCATAAAATATATTAAGCTGATTGATCGTTAATTTTAGAAAGTATTAATCTTAAAAATTTTATACTACAGATGTCACTAATAAAAATCTTCAAATACACATATTTGAAGATATGACACTTACTTTTCCTTTAAATTGGCTTAATTTGTGCGTCTTATTACAGAAAGAAGGTCATCTCATATGGACAGATGGATCATCTTTTGGCCTTAAGACGAATGAAATCATTTCTTTTCCACTGCTACCCAAGAATGAAACGGATTGCTATATTTTACAGCAAAATGCAACAGGATCAAACTATTTCTTTACACGATTTTTCTGTTATGTTCCATTGCCATATATTTGCGAATATGAACGTAATTATTTTTATTAGTATTTTATATTCATGCATCTCATGCTTATATTTTAAAGACAGAATTATAATTTCTAATTAAAAATAAATCTCTTTTATCTTTTTTTCAGCACCATTTCTACAGGAAGACTTTTTCTTCTATGTAAAGGATGTTGGAACAACTGAAGTTGTATTTAGTTGGAATAATTTGAATGGTTGGAATATTTTGAATAAGTGGCTGAAACTGGGATATAAAATTATCATTAAATATTATTTAGACCACAAAGAAGAACAACATTTTGAAAGCATTCCCCCAAATACTACAGAAAAAGCAATTACCCAGTTGTCTCCTGGCCATATTTACAGGTTTTCACTCTTTGCAATAAATGAAGGGGAGGCAAAAACTACTTTAAGTCCACTATTCATTGTTGAAACACGTAAGTTACAAGACATCTGAAAGAATAATTTTTCAAACATTTAATATCATCATTAGCAGGTATTTCCTGAAGGTCTGATATTTTCTCATAAAACCCTGGACATACTTGTATCTTTAACCATTTTAGATTACAGTGAATCTGTTTATGTGTTTGGCTTTCCTCTTAAAGTATAAGCCCATAAGGAACTATATCTTATTTGCTTATAATACCAGCTAGACTAGTTCCTGGTCCATGGTAAGTAATCAAGAAATCTTTATAGAACTGAATTTTTAATATGTGCTAATAGTGGGAGATAGACGTGTGTACTGGAATTTAAGAGACTTACAAGGGAGAGAATTAACAAGGAATAAAAGTAAATGCAAACAGAACTATATAGAAAAATATAACCTGAATTCCAAATCAGTGGTGCATTTAATAAATGCTTTCTAGAATTCAGAGTATAGGTGACAGGGGAAGGCTCACGGAAGGGAGAGGCTTAGACTCAAACTTGAAGGAAGTAAAGAATGTTATGGGCAAAAGTGTGCAGACAGGAATTTGTGGGAAAAGAATAGTGCAGGCTGACTGCAGAAGGTTTCCTCAGATGCGAGAGTGAAAGCAGTTAGAGAGGTAGGTGGTGCCAAATTTGGGAGTGCCAGGAGCCTGTGTCTAATGTGGTTGGACTTGGCCTTAGAAGCAATGGAAATCCATTAAGACTGTAGTTTTTAAGACTTGCTTTACGTTTTACAAAAGCCGTCTTAATGCATTATCTCACTCAGTACTCACCTCAACCCTGGGAGTAGCTACATAGAAATGAGAAAAGTGAGCTTCAGAGAGGTGACGTAAACTGACCAGACTAACAGGCTTTGTTAAGTGGTAGAGCCACATGGGAACCCAGATGACCTTATTTTAACCTCTGAGAAATTGCTTCTAAAGAAAGACTCAAGAAGAATGTGTGTGCATATGTGTGTGTTGGGAGGGTGGTGAACGGATATGCATTTGGGGCTGATACATGCCAGGTGCTGTTTTAAGAAAATTAATCCGGAGGGATTAACTAGGAACATCGCTGGCACTGGGTGGAATGGTTTGGAGTGGGGAAATATTCCTGCAAGGGAATGACTGCCTGAGTTCCCGTGTTGATGGGAATGAAGAGGGAGTAACATGAAACCCTGCCCTCTAGTCTGACGGGACAGAAGAGGTAAAAGATGTATATGATATGTGATCACTGAGTGCCATCAGTGCCATTTGGTGGTGCTTGTAATAAAAATAATGATTGAACAATAATCTGTGTCAAACACTGTGCCAAGTGCTCTATATTCCTTGTCTCACCTAATCTTCAAAATAATTTCACAAGGCAGCTACTACTATAATTCCCATTTTATAACCAAGAAAACTGAGGCTCAAAGAGAGTTAGTTATTTATTCAGGGACCGGAGCTAGAAAGCGGAAGAGCCAAGACTCAAACCCAGTTTTCCTTTTCTGTTCAAGCGAGAGTATTATGGAAGTACTGAGAAGTGAGAGAGAATTCAGCCAAATCATATCACTAATACAGTGCATTTTTTTGACATTTTTATTTCTTAGGCCCATTATCAGCACAGAATTTCACAGTTACTCATGTGAAGCCAACAGAAATATTTTTACGCTGGGACCCTCCAGATCCTGTATCTTTTCACCATTATGTTGTGACTATTTTGGATGTTGAAAACAATAAATCAGAAGAGATGTTTGTTGAAAAACTCAATACATCAACAGCAATCGGAAATCTCAGATCTTTCCATCGTTATCTGATATATCTATTCAGTGTAGCAGAAAGAGGAACTTTAAGCTGCTTTGAGAAACCTATTTCAGCCATTACAGGTAAGCATAGGCACGTTTTGCCTTTTTTTTTTTTCCTGAGTAAGATTCACCCTGAGCCAACATCTGTGCCAATCTTCCTCTATTCTGTATTTGGGTCACCGCCACAACATGGCTGATGAGTAATATATGTCCGTGCCTGAGAACCGAACCCGGACCACCGAAGTGGAGCATGGCCGAACTTAACCTCTGGGCCATGGGGCAGCCCCACATTTTGCCTTTTAATAAAAAAATATAAACTACATATTTTGAAATATTATTTTTCTGAAATTTAATTTTGTTGATCCTTCATAGGTACAGATACTCACAGCTGAACATTTGTTTGAATGCTGAATCAATTCTAAACGTGGATTCTAAATACTAAATTCATTTAGCCTTATATGAACTCTTTGAACATTTTCATTGTTCCTACCAGAGTTCCTAGAAGACGTCTTCCTTATCCTAGCCTTGGCTGGAAAGTAAATTATCATAACATAGGAAAATTGGTTCACCCAGTTCTCTTTAATAACACTAGATCCAATAAATAGGTGTGCACATTAATGGGTTTTACTTGGTTCTTCCTTACTTTCTCTCACAGTGTGATGAGATCACCTCTAGGGAGCAGTGTCGTCTCAGGACTTCCGCAAATGCGTTTCTAATCTCCACTCACCTCCACATAGCAGTTTTTGATTCCTTGTCTAGAACGTAATCATTAAAGTAATCCATCTTTTAATTAAGCATTCTATTTAACCCTTAAGTATGTCAATTTTCTTTGAAAAGATAAAACACTATCGTATGAAACAATGCATAGCTAAGCACATTTTGACAGTATGCCCCTGTGGGTGTATGTGTGTGTTGTTTGTGCGTGTGTATTTAACATGCCTATATGCAAAGTTCTTTGACTGAAATTTCACCAGCTAAAATTAAACACCCTGGAGCTGAGGTGGAGGAAACCTGCGCTTGCACAGCTGTAGATTAATTAACCTTCTCATACTTACTGTGAATACTTGGGATTCATTGAAAGTAATAACAATGGTAAAATATATTATTTAATGCTTACGAAATGCCAATGCTTAACATACACGTATTCAGTGTTGCAAATCATGATCAAAAGTTTTTTTCCAGTTGGGCACTAGATCGGGGATGTTTTCTCTTCCCTGAGCTCAGACAAAGATCCTTCAATTGGTAAACGCTCGGCTGAGCCCCTTACCTTTCAGGAAGATGCTTTCATTTTTAACTGACAGGCAGCCAGGAGGATTTCTCACAGATCCATTAATCTTGAAGTTATATTAAAATCTCCCGTAGGATGTACCTATTTGTTTAATGGAGGGACAGGAGAAAGGTACTTGTGAGTCTGCACGTTTAATTTTGGGTCATTGCTATGTATATTAACTGTAAGCTGACATGGCAGTGCATGCCCAGGATTTAGTAATCTGGTGTTTTTTACTTTCCTAAGGTTGAGGCAATAGTCTTTCTTTAAAAATTCATTATTCACTGAATAAATAATTTTTTGGTATCGGAAATTACAGTAAGAACTAGGGATACAAAGATGAATAAGACGGAGGGCTGTCCTGGTGGCACAGCAGTTAAGTTTTTGCATTCTGCTTCAGCAGCCTGGCGTTTGCAGGTTCGGATCCCGGGTGCAGACCCACACACTGCTTGGCAAGCCGTGGTGAGGCAGGCGTCCTCTCTGCTATTTACCTATCTATCTACCTATCTAGGCTTCTCTGGCTAGATATAGTGTTAGGTATAAGACGTCTTTGTCTTCTCTGCCTATGCACCTGCTGTCTACTCTACTTGCAGTATCCTTCTGTCTCCCCACTCCCACCTGGCTAACTCCTGCTCTTCCTTCATGACTCAGTGAATCACTCCTCCAGGAAGACTTCTATAACTATCCCTGCACCCCAAGGCAGGGTTAATTTATCCCTCTCTATGCTCCCATAGTCTCCAGTGCATAACCTCTATAATAGCAATTATAATACTGCATTATGACAGTTTTTTTTAACTTACTTATCTCGCTTCATTAATATGGAAGATTTCTGAAGGCACAGATCAGGTCTTATTCATCTTTTTTTTTTTTTGAGGAAGATTAGCCCTGAGCTAACACCTGCCGCCAATCCTCCTCTTTTTGCTGAGGAAGACTGGCCCTGAGCTAACATCCACGCCCATCTTCCTCTACTTTCTATGTCGGACACTTGCCACAGCATGGCTTGCCAAGTGGTGTGTAGGTCTGCATCCAGGATCCGAACTGCGAACTCTGGGCCGCCAAAGCAGAACGTGCAAACTTAACCGCTGCACCACTGGGCTGGCCCCTCTTTAATTCTAAATGAATGTCCAAGTGTCATAACTTTCAGAAATTAGAAAGGTGATATAATTAAAGTTACAACTATCTTTATGATAAATATCAGTCCCAAAACTTTAAAAATCATCTACATGTTAATGACACCTAAATTTATCTCTCTATTCCAGACCTTTCTCCTGAATTCCAGACTTAAATGTCTAACTACCAACTTAATATATCTCGTTTAGATATCTACGAGACATCTTAAATTCAACATGGCCAAAACCGAACTATAGATGTTTCCATCCAAATCTGCTTTACCTACAACCCTCCCCATGTCAATTCACGGCCATTTCATTCATCCAGTTGTTTAGGTCAAAAGCCTTGAAGGTATCCTTGACTATTCTGTTTCTCTCACAACCTACACACAACCTGTCAGGAAATTCTGTTGATTCTGTCTTTGAAATAAATCCAGAATCTCAATTCTTGTCCCTACATCCCTTAGGGCTATGGTCATCCAGGCCACCACTCTCTCTCGCCAAGATTTCTGGGTTTGCCTCCCTATTTCTACCATTGACCCTCTGTATAGTCTGTTGTTAACATAACAACACAAGTGAGTCTTTACAATTTAGGAAAGATCCTGCCTCAGCGTAGAACCCTGTAGTTGCAACCTGTTTATTCAAAGATAAGCCTTCGGAGCCTGGCATGATCCGGCTCTCTATCCCCCAGCCTCATCCCGATACTCTCACCTTCCTTCACTCTGGCTTTCTTTCGTGCTTGGAGATGCCAAGTAGACACCCACTGGAGGACGCTTACTTTAGCTGTTCTTTTCTGCCTGGAATACTCTTCTTCCAGAAATCTGCATGTCTAACTTCCTCACTTGCTTCAAGTGTTTTGTTCAAAATCTCATCTTTTCAAAGACACCTTGCCCTGAATTCCATATTTAATACCATAACTTCCTCCCTAAAGCCACCTCACCCCTGATCTCCCTAATCTTGGTTTATTTTTCTTTTTTCCTTGGTACTTACCATATCTAACATACTGTGTAACTTGCATGATTGTTATATGTATTGTTTATTTCCACCCAATAGAATATAAACTCCATAAGGCAGAACTTTTTTATTTTTTATTGATGTCTCTACATGCCTAAGAGAGTTCCTGGTACATAGTAGGTACACCTGTATATTTGATAAAGGATGAGTAATCGCCATAATTGGAATATTACTCTGATGAAACTCTTAAGACTCTGAAGAATTTGCTAAACACTTTCTATTTTCTCTTTATGTGTAATGTTTGTGCTTAATCATATTGGTAAATCTTGTGTGGTAATCACAAGACAAATTTTTCTCCTAAATTGAGTCCTTTTCAAGACATGGTGATACAAGGTAATACAATTTACTTTAAATGTTAGTTAATATTGACTTGAGATGTTTTTATTCAGTAGCATGAGTAATGCTAACACTAAACTAAGATATGTGTGTCTATCTGTTTCTCTAAGGTATTAACCCACCCCAGAAAGTTTATGCTAAACCTGAAGATGTGGGAGAGAACAGTATAATAATTCAGTGGGAACCCCCACAAGATGGCCATGAGGTCTACATTCAAGTCAAATCCATATCAGATACAAGAGAAGTCATCAAGCTTTTTGTAAAGGATGCTAATAGATTCAAGATTGATAATTTAATCCCTGGGATGACATATGACATTGGAGTGGCAACAGTGATGAATGGGAACTTGAGTGAGCTGGTAACTCTTCAACAAACTCTAAGTGAGAATCAAATACTTCTCATTTTTAACAGATGTTTGCTGATTTGGGGTATTGTAAAATAGTTCCTGATAGACCCCTTGTAACAAGTTTTACCAGAGTAGATTGTTGGTGTGCCTCAGGACCTGGAGCAATTTGCATCCCTTTTCTCCTGAAAATGCTTCATGCTTGTATGAAGGCAGCATTGTTTATGATTAAGAACTTGATCCTAAAGCCACACTACCTAGGTTTGCATCTAGGTTCAACTGTTTCAGTAACCCTGGGCAATATGCTCAACCTGTTTATGCCTCAGTTTCTACATTTGTAAAGTGGGAGAAAATAATGTGTATTTCATGGGTTGTCCTGAGAATAGCTGATTTCATAAATGTAAGGACTTAGAACAGTGCCTGACACGTACCTATGTAAGTGTTTGTAATTATTATTGCATCAACAAAGGCATACTGAAGCACATGAAAGGAAATACTGATGGCATAAAAAAGGTTTAGGACCAAATAAACAAAAAATTTCTATACTCTTTCTCAAATAAAATTAATTCATGCAGTGAGTATCATTGAAAGTCTATTGAAGAGGGAGAAAGAAAGAAGAAATTAAAAGTAAATAAATGAAGTAATATTGATAGATATTTATAAACTGATAAACATTAGGAAGGGAAAAAAAGTGATATGATAGCGAGGAATTGAAGAGGGAGGGAGGGTTCTGCTCTAGATGGGCTGTGATAGAAGGAGTTACATCTGAATAGACGCCTCCTTCTTATGAAGGAGCCAGGGTGGAATAAGGTGGAGGAAGGGTACTGCAGGCGTGAACAGCCAGCATAAAGACGGTAAAACAGGAAAAAGCTCTGTGTACCTGAGAACAAAGAGGCCAGAATGTGTCGTGTCTACTGAAGAGGGAGAAGCGCAGTAAGAAATGATATCGGAGAAGTATTCAAGGCTCAGGTCACATGAAGCTTTCAGGCTATGCTTTTGAGTTTGTTCTGAGGGCAGGTGGAAGTCATTGAGAGTTTTATGCAGGAGAGCAACAATGTGACCTATGTTACAAAAACTTCCCCATGGCTATGTGCAAAGGATGATGTGTAAAGGGACAAGGAAACCAGGTAGAAGGATGTTGCAGAATCTAGGCAAAAGATTATGGTGGACAAGATGGGGACGTGCAGATGGAGAGTAGCAGATACATTTTATATCATGGCTGTAGGAGGTCCAAGCTTTGAGGCAAGAGGTTTCTGATGAATAAAGGAAGGGAGAAACCTAAGGTTTTGACTTAAGCAATTTGGGTGGATTTTGGTAACGCTGAGAAAGGAAAGAACATTGGAGTTCACAGGCCTTTTGGCGAACAATAAGGGCAGCCTGCTGGGAAAAATAAATGGGTCCAAAAATCCATGTACCAGCAGTGTCCACACTCAACCAGCATCGAATCTTCTTGTTTTATCCTCCAAAGACTAAAACTGAATTTGTATATGGCACTTCTATACTTAAATTTCTAAGAAAATATACTTAAAGATAATTATCAAAGGAAGCAGTTATGGAAAAGGAAACAACTAAGAAAGATATTGCTGAAAAAAATTATTTCATGCCTATTAAACAACCCAACAAATATTTACTGGCACAACAGAAGTACTAAAGTTTAAATGAATGCATGGAAAATGAACTGCAGTCTTAGATCTACCAGTTATTATCAGCATGAGGTTAGAGTGTCCTCATATTGTCTCAGTGCCTAAGTTTTCTCTCTGAAAATGTAGATCATTGAATACATTTTTAAATTGACTTCCAGTTCTAAAGTCCTGTTCTTTGACTCTAGGGAACTCAGCATATTTCAACCCATCTGCCATCTAAAATACACAATTTTTGCCTGCCTTTCCAGATAGTGAGCTCTCTTGAAATCTTATTCAGCTCTGTATCTACAGGTGTAAATTCAGTTCTTCACTCTGTTTAATTCAAGTACTTATTTGTAAAATCACTATCTAACATGGATTAACATGTAAATAATATTAACATATAAAGTCTAGGAAGAATAACAGAATTTGGGGGCTTGAAGTTAGGACAGAGATCTTCTTGCCAATTCCTCTGATGTTGTAATGCATCCCTGTAATTTTCCTTTATTATGAAGCCACATCTGTTCCCTAGGGTTTCACAGAGCAAATCTACTCCCCAATTCACATGAAAGGCCATCAAATGCTTGGAAACATCCCTTAGGTATTCCTGGTGTCTATATTTTCTTTCCTTCTGGTGAATTATCTCTAGTTCCTTCAAGTACTCCACTATTTCTTATAATCCTATTGGCCTTTCTATTCAGTTCTTAAGCTTGATAATCACTTTTGGCATCACCAGATTATTTATCATTCATCATTTTTACTTATGTCAAGATGATAAAGCAAATATTAACCTATCCAAAGGTGCATAGGTAGAAATTAATTCTTTCCATGCATTCTTTCAACAAATATTTGTTGATAACTATTATTTACTATGCCCTATTTCTCTTTCCTCTGTACACTTTGAGATAGTCAAGCGTGGAGGACATTTGCCTTTTGATGAGCTGTTACAGACATGTAGAAGAAATAAATTTTGCACATTCACTTATTTCCCTTTCCCCTTTGAAGTTTCTCTCTCTGTCTCTCTCTAAATATCCCAAAAATAACTAGGAAAAGTCGATCTCTCATTGTTATTGTGCACCTGAACCATAAAATGTGCCTTTGGGAAAAGGCAGTGCTTACGAGCACAGACCTTGGAACGGGGTTACCTGGGTTAGAATTCCAGCTCCACAGTGATCAGTTTACATCCTCTGGAAAGTCACTCAACCATTTTGGTCCTGAGTTTCTTCTCTCTAAAATGGGAATGATAATAATTTTATCTACTTTGTGAAGTTAATATAATTTAAGGACTCAGACACCAAGTCAGCAATGAGAATGTTCTTATGATTTTTCTCAACAGGAGCAGAGGGGTGGCCTTGAGGAGCTATGAGCATCCATAGCAGGAAGGAAAGCTGTTTCAGCTGTCTGTGAGGTCTCTTTTAGTTGGAGGAATTAATTATACCCAAGTTTTTTTGAGAGAAGAGGAGCTGTATGAGAACTGGTGTTTGAATTTTCTTTTTTCCTCTTTGTATAGCAGAATAAATTTTAAGATATAGTGGGCATCCCTGAGATCTCATTCTACCTTGCCTGTAATAAAAGCCTTTGAATTTGACCTAGTTCAGTTTGTCTCATGTTGAAAAAACCTCATACAGCCCCCATTGCTACCACTTCTTTTGAAAGAGGTTTTTCAGGAAAACGGGTAAAGATGGAGGTCATGTCACAGAGACAGAGACCCATCAGAAGTTTCCAGAATATGGCAATATCTTTCTTTGTTTTTTTAAGTGAAATCTTCTCCCACTTGAGTTTCCAGAGGTTCAGGGTATAGTTTTGAAGGGAAAGAATAACTTTGTCCTATTCTACACCTTCCAGTCTTGGTGACTCTCTACTTTAACTTGTCATACATTAACACCATTGGCCCCATTTCCCCCGACAAGTGGAATTGATGGAAAACCCCACAATTACCCACTGGAGGGAATGTCGCTGACTCTAGATACTTTTAAAACCTAAAGTAAACCATGTCTATTTAAAGCATTGTCTCTCCTTAGAAAATGTCTTCAGCGCCCAAGGACATGGAACTGAATCATTTCCGTGACTACACTGGTCACTCCTTTCCAATCCCCGGGTCTTTTAATTTCTGCTCAAGGCACGTTTAGAAGCTTTCACAGATCATTGCCCACAGATTCAGATGGATAGGATACTTGTGGTATGTCACACTAATCTTGGGAAAGCCATACTTACCATAAAAGCTTTGTAACTGAAGAGAGCTGTGAGGAATTTAAAGAGGAAACCCACAAAAAAGATTAGTGATGACAGAAGAAGAAAAGTTAAGATAACACAACTGGAAAAGAAAAAACATGGTAAAAGTGCCTTGAAACCCAGTAGTATATCATATTGAATTTGTTATGGTTAGTATATTGGAAATTTCCTCATAACCATCAAGAATAGAAAAGGCAAGAGAGTTGTTGAATGAATTGATGAAGATATTGCATGGATTTTATGTTCTATAATGCAAATTATAGGTGTGTGTTTAAATCCTTTTAGACAGTACTGGCTCTGGGCAAAGTGGCCGAATCAAATATTTAACAGTAACTTAGAACCTAAGTTTCACTGCATCAAAGCAGATGACACCAATAAAACTGGAAAAGGAAGGCCATCTAATGATTCTCTGGAGGAAAAAATATTTTTTTCCGAATGTCTATTTTAGAAGAAGATATCCACTTAGAAGAAATATAGACCTAAGGACATATTGGATGGTATCCCAATAGTCCACAGATAGAATCAAAATTAAAATTGACCTGAGGGAAAAATAACGTGAATGGAAATTGTCTAAAACTTCAGATCTGCTCTAAACAGCACAGTAGAGGACTGAGGGATGATAAAGCTCTTGGAGAGAGGTCAGGGAGAGTGCGACATGTAAACAGATCCTTCCTCCAAACTGTTGCCAGAACTGCGTTCCTAAAAATGAAATGACTGTCTGCTCAGAATCCCTGTGCCTACAGGAAGAAATCTGATGTCCGTAGCGTGGCATGTGAAGCCTCTCTCAGGGTCCAGCCTCAGAGGTGGCCCTTCTGTGCCCGGTCCCCTTCCTCACGCCGCATGCTTTAACCACCCTGAGCACCTGCCGTGTGCCAGGCGCTGCTCTAAGCACTTTAGGTATAAACACATTCTCTCATTTAATCATCACAGTGACACTGCAAAGTAGATACTAATCTCCTTCACATTTTACAGGTGAGAAAACCAAGGCACAGAGTGACAAAGTAACTTGCCAAAGACTACTAACTAGTTGCCAAAAACTAGTGACTAGTAACTTGCCCTGTGAGTAAACAGCCAAAAGAACTTGGTCTTCCCTGAACACATACTGATGCCCTGTTTCGCTTCCGTGCTTTGTTTATGCTTTTCTCTGCCTGGAATCCCCTCCTCACTACCTCTCCCTCCTTACATGCACTCTTTCTGGTAAACTTGTTCTGTCTTTTAAGACAGATAAAATATCAATGTTGACTCTGGAAAGCCTTCCCCAATTATCTCTGCTAGAATCGTTGATTTCCTTCTCTAGTCTCAACAACTTTTTGTTTGTACCACCTGCTCAGCTCTAAGCGTGTGGGATTCTAGTTAGTGATCTGTGCATCTCTTTCCTGAGATTGGGAACTGCTTGAAAGCAGGAACTTAGCTTTATTTACTTTATTTGCATACTCACCTTAGTACATAGGTTCTCAAAAATACTTTCTTGATAAATAGATAAAAAGGTAAAAAATTGGAAAATCTCCAATTCTTATGATATTTCAGACTATTGAAAATCAAAAAATGAAAGTTATATACTTCCAATACATCGTATGTCAAAATATCCATCTTATTTCTCTAACACTGACATAGTAAACAAAAGTTTAATGCATAAGCATTTAATGTTTTCACAAATTCTAGAACTTGCTAGACAAAATACAGAGAAATATGATTGAAATTTTTAAAAAATCACTCATTATAAATCTCTTTTTATCTTTCAGAGCCCAAACCAGCTCAAATTGTTATCCCTTATGAAAGTCATAGTACCTCTGTCATCTTATTTGTTCAAATGCCTGATATCGGAGTGTTTGATGGCGTACATATCGCAGTTGAAGGAGGGCCAAATGTAACCATGCCTTTACAGGGTGACAATAAATTTACTGTTGACAAGTTAACTCCAGGAACAGAATATAACTTCTTTGTTTCCGTCATCAGTGGAACTAAATTAAGTAATATGTATTATGTGCCTGCAGTAAAAACATGTAAGTATGTTAGGACTTGCATAAGCTTTTTCTTGGTTTTGATTTTGTGTACCATTTCAAATTAGTAGGCTAAATTCACTTCAATGCAATTGTTTTCAAAGATATTTTACAATAATTGCAAATACGTCACTACCGGGCCTGAGCTTTTATTGCCTAAGTATACAGATAGCGCCAACCTTGTGTAAAACTGAGGTCATGAATTTTTTTTAATCTATCGATTAACAAAAGCATACCTGCATGGTAAACAGAACTTTCAATGACTTCATCCAAGAGTGAGGAATGTGAGTAATTTTAGGCAGATTATAAGAACTAGATTATATTTTTTGAGTCTAGGAGCCCTGATAGTATCTCTCAAAGCACACAGTCTAAGTGTGTGCATGCTCTCCCCATGCTGCCGTTTGTCTGGAAAGAACTAGTGTATATTTTCCTTACCTCTTTGAATATTTAAAATTAATATAAATGTGTTCATGCTAATACTTATATTTTGAGATTCATATTGATTTTGATTTATCTTTTCTTTAAGTAACTCAAAAATTCTACAAATATTAATTTTGAACATTTGGGATATATGAAATTTATCTGATATTCCTCTAGTAGCTATAGAAATGAATGGCACAGAGTAGTAAATACCACACAAAAATCACAGGGAGTCCTTAAAACATTGTACGGTGGTCCTCCCTTATCTGCAGTTTTGCTTTTCACAGTTTCAGTTACTTGAGGTCAATCACGGTCCAAAAATATTACATGGAAAGTTCCAGAAATAAATAATGCATATGTTTTAAATTAGGTGCCATTCTGGTATCACGATGAAATCTCGCACCATCCTACTCCATCCCACTAGGATGTGAATCATCGCTTGGTCCAGCATGTGCGTAGAGCATACACTACCCAGTGGCTAGTCACTTTGTAGCTATCTCAACGGACTATCAGATAGACTGTCATTGTTTTGCAGTGCTTGTGTTCAAGCAACTGTCATTTTACTTAATAATGGCCCCGAAGTGCAAGAGTAGGAGTGCTGGCAATTTGGATATGCCAAACTGAAGCCAGAAAGTGCTTCCTTTAAGCAAAAAGGTGAAAGTTCTCGACTTAATAAGGAAAGAAAAAAATTGTATGCTAAGATTGCTAAGATCTACAGTAAGAATGAATCTTCTACCCATGAAATTGGGAAGAAGGAAAAAGAAATTCATGCTAGTTTTGCTCTCACACCTCAAATACGTTTTGTATAGGAAAAAAAATATAGTCTGCATAGGGTTCGGTACTGTCTGCGGTTTCAGGCATCCACTGGGGGTCTTGGAACATAACCCCTGTGGATAAGGGGGGACTATTGTAATTCGGTCTGTAACAGGTCCAGGTTCTTCATGATATGCTCTTTCTGTCTATAAATCTTCACATATATCGTTATACCACCATGTGTCTGCTTCCTCCCAGACTGTAATCCTTCCATTAATTTAAACTCAACTTTTCCATAAAATATTCCCAAACTGCTGTCACAAATCACACTATTCCAATAGCATTTTAACATATTTATAATGAGCTCAATAAATGTTCATATTTTATTTTTGCTTGCAATTTTTATATACTTCATATCTGTATTCTCTGCCTCTCTTCCTTATATTATAAATCACTGTGGGAGTGGTCTGTTTGATAGCTCTTGTCTTTAAACATAATCAGTACTTGGTACAGCCCAGTGGCGCAGCCGTGAAGTTCTCACTTTCCACTTCCGCGGCCCGGGGTTTGCCACGTGGATCCTGGGTGCGGACCTACGCACCGCTTGTTGAGCCATGCTGTCGCACACATAAAGTAGAGGAAGATGGACACGGATGTTAGCTCAAGACCAGTCTTCCTCAGCAAAAAGAGGAGGATTGGTGACAGATGTTAGCTCAGGGCTAATATTCCTCAAAAAAATAAAAATAAAAATAATTACTACTTGATCATCTAAATATATCAATATTGTGATGTCAATCAGCAAAATATATCAATAGATAAGATGATAGTCTTAAGTTGCCATTTGTTTTGTTTTTCTGAAATAATTTTTTCCTTTATGCTAGATGAGATCTTTAAAATGGGAAAAATAATCCTTAAAGCTCATCAGATAAAATTTGTTTATAGTTTCAACAATACTTTATACAAAAAGGATTGTTTTACTTCTTTGTCTAGACTTCTAAACTTTTTCTCTGTTTTTTTCAGTTTATCCTAATAGTTTCAAAAAGCTTTAATCTCTTTTTCCTCCTTCGAATATTGTGCATTGTCTCCTGTGAATTCATTCCCATGTGGTTTTCACTGCAACGGCAAAATTTGCTGCCTGTGATGTATTTGCAGACTGAGGATTGCAACTGATTATCATACTTTATAAACTGTCATTATATGTATAAACAACTATTTTTAATTAGGATGGAGAGATAATTGATGAATAAATTTTACTGTTCTTTTTTCACATTGTGCTTTTTTTCCCCTTTAAAGGGATAAATTAAAAGAAAAACCCAAGTTAGAAAACATCCAAGAAGAATTAACTGTGTTGTGTGTTTTGGGTAGGTCTAGAAGCTCCATCAAATATCCTTGAGGGCAAAGTTACAGACTCTTCCATAGAAATTCTCTGGAATCGAGCTGATGGGAATTTCCAGCATTATGAAGTAACATGCATAAGCTGTGCCGCTGCTTTCACGGTACGTTATCCGGGCTCTGGGAGGAATTCATCTTGAATCTTTCATGCTGAATCCAACATTACTGCATTCTCATGTTAGATAACAGTGAAATTAAATAACTCCAGACTTTTTTGCTTGTGTTCAATTGTGGAATATTTCTTAAACAAACAGTTGCTAATTTCTTCTTTCGGATTGATAGGTCCAGAAGGTAGTTCAAGAAACAGCAACGTTCTCCAACCTGGATCCTGCCACAGTGTACACCTTTTCAATTCGCACTGAAAAAGAAGGTTTTAAAGATAGTACTCCTAACACAAAAGAAATACAGACAGGTACAGCCTGTGTAAGCACTTATGTGTTATTCAATGTTCACATATTTATTTGGTTCTTTTAGGGAAGATTTGGTAAATACTTTATTCTTTCCAGATTTTCTTTGTGAGCAGGCAGTGTCATCTCTTGTCTCTTTTCCTGCTTTCCCTTTTCTGGGTTAGCACAACCTCTTTTGTGTGTGTATTGCCAGACAGCAGAGTTGGCTAATTGCCTGGGGTCTCGCCAGAATCTCCATTTGTGATTTAATTTCTCCATTGTTCAGTTAAGCAGGCAATGAAATGCCATTTCCCCAGCGTTAGTGACTGACTCTCCATGGCAGATGGTGATGATTCCATGGTAGTCGTAAGAAATAAGGGATGACTGGGAAGGATGTATGCAAAATGCATGGTTTCATATCTAAGTTAACTGTTCTACTAAAACAACTATTTTAGTTATTTTTGACACTGATCGTCTAGGAATATTAATTTATATATTTAGAAAGTGATCGTGACTAGTATTCTTTTACTGTAATAACAAAGAACAGAACTGAGAGAGAAGTCTTGGCAATTTTGTTCCTTTCTTATACGTGGAGGAATTTTGACGAGGAAACAAGCATATATTATACACTATTTAGTTTAACTTTTTTCCCTCAGGAAAGAAAAAAAGCATTTCATATTTAGCTTGCAATTAACTTTCCTTCTGATTAACCTTGTCACCATTTGGTATTTAATTAGAATGAATCCTAAAAATCATTAAATATTTCTGAGATTGGTGGTTGTGCAAGACTAAGATGTAAGCTCTTCCTATATTTTAGAGGTAAAGCAAATGTTGAGTACAGTGCTACTGGGATACACATCGGCTTCATTTCCAAGTTTAAAATGATTTTTGCTTCTTTTTTTCTCTCTCTTAACTTTTAAATTCTCGTTTCTACCAGGAAGAATAAAAGGAATGTTTGGGTTACCCTCAGAGTTTGCAGAAAGTCAACTCCTGAGAGTGTGTCAGAGCTGTTTTAAAGCAGGTGCTTGTGTGGTAGAAAATGTTATTTTCTGTGTATGTTTTAAATGATATAGCCCCAAGTGCAGTTGAATTTATGAACCATAGTAGAAACTCAAATGCAGTGACTGTTAGCTGGCCTTCAGCTAGAAGTCTTCTGGATGGGTACATTATCTCGATATCCAGTGACAGCTTAATGAAGGAAGAAATCTTGCCTTCCACGAAAAGGTAGGAAAATATTGAAAAGAAATTATATTGTTACATGGAATGCAAGATTAACATTTTATATACAGAAATATATATATTTATATATAGAAATATATAGAAAGTTATGTTCATAGTTTACTATAAATAGAAATTAGAAAACTTTGCGAGACAACTTTTTGGACTATGATATGATTAGAATAACTAACTCTGTTGTACAATAGCAAATTATTTCTGAAAACAGATAGTAATGAATTAATTCAGGATATTGTCATGCTTGTATGGATAACATGAACTTTTTGACTTAAATGAAATCTCTCCAGATAAGAAGCTATGATTTGTAATTAACCATTTGTGCTGAAGCATAGCAAATTGTTTACATGATAGACAATAAAAAACCAAAATATATATAAAATTCTTTCTGTAGAGAGTGGAGAAGATGGAGTTTTCTGAATGTTTATGAGCTAAATATCTTAATATGTGACTCTTCTTTCATGTGTAGGACATTCACATTTAATAACCTTTCTCCGGGGACTGACTTTTTAATTAGCATTGTAACTACCAAGGGACTAAAAATAAGCCATCCTACTGTCCTCCTGGTTAGCACTTGTAAGTTCATTTTATATTTAATTAACTTTTCATGGTTAAAGTAAGGGAAATAGTTGTGTTTAAAGCCAATATCTAATTAAAGAAGAATGAATATGAAAGCGGTTTATGACGTGCTGCCGTGAAGGGGCCCTGCATTTGCCTGGAGAACGCCGGAGTTACAGTCCTGTCTCTGTGACTTATCAGTTATGTGACCTTGGGCAAAACTACTAAGTTCTCACTTAGAAAATGAGAATAAATATTCCTGACTAGGTATCAAATGTTGTTACTAAAATCAAAGGCGAAGCTTTTTGTGAAAGTGCAAAGTACTCTAAGGCTCTAAGGTATTCTTGCCATGAAATACTCAATATTTTTCTAATATTTGACTATATCTATCAACATTTTATGAAAAACAACCCAAACCCTTGGAATATGAAAAAGTAGATGGCACTGTCTTTTCAGTTGCATTATTTGGGTTCATTTTGCCTCTTCCGACCTTATTAGCTTCACTTCCATCTATGCCTGCCCTGAACATCTGCAGATGTTCCTAAGAGCCCTGTCACCTGTGGGTCACAGTCAGGTGAACATGTGCTCAAGTACCAGTGCTCTATCAGTGTGAGAGGAGGATAATCTCAAAATTTGCAGTGTGGAGGAAGGGAGAGCATTGGAAAATGCAGCAACAGTCAAATCAATTCCTGGAAAATAAACTAAAAAATATGAGCACTTATTATACACCAGCATGGTACTACGTGCTTGAGTTACTGTGTTGAATCGCCCCCCGCAACCCTTCCCCCAGTACCAAGAATGTAGGTTAAAGCTCAGAGGCGTTCACAGCTCATTACTGAAGGTGAGATTTGACCCAGGTCTCTAACGCTAAAACTAATATGATACTCTCCTGCTTCCCATAAACACCATCCTAAGAAGCTTCAGAAACAGATGAGAAATGGCTTCATTTCTTAAAATGATAGCACATTATTTTATATTTGTGGCAGCTTCTTAGATTGCTGCTTAGATTTAGGTTATGTCCTTATCATTGTCACTGTCTTCATTCCTATCATCATCGTTGTTAACATCATTGCATTGAATGCTTGTTCTTTGTCAGGCACTTTACTAAGCATTCTCTATGCTCATGTAATTCTCGATGACAATCTTTATTCTATCAATCATGAGACGTATATTTTTTACAAATGAAGAAACTGAGGCTTGGGGGAATTTCAGTAGCTTATACAAGATGACAGAGATTTGAGAACCCACATTTTCCTGACATGAAATTCTGTCCTTATGGTCCCTACGGTAGAAAGGCCACTATGTTATAGGAAGGACTGACTACCCATTCTTGGCTCTGTGACTTTGAACAAATCGTTATTCCATTTGGACCTCAAGTTCTCCATTTCTGCTCCAGCTGTAAAAACACTTTCTATATTTTAGGAAGTTGTTGCTTTGGGTATGTTTTCCCAGACAAGGCTGGTACCTTTCGCTTCCACTTTTTATTTTCACTGTTGTCTTCTACTGTATGTTAATAATTTTTGGTCTTTTTGTACCTCCCTTCTTTTGCAAGTCATCTCAAATCCATTTGGAAGTAGATGGGATATTAATAAATCTAAAAAATAGAGCTAAAATATATTATGCAAATTTCAGAGAATAAATTAATTCTAGTTGATAGGGAATATGCATCACAGAAAAATAGAATTAAAAAGCTTGTGAACTAGTGATGTAGGCTTAAATCTACCACTGAGCTGAATTCTAATAAACCTAAATCAATATGTAAGTTGGGACAAAAAAAACACAGAAAATTTGAATTTTAGAGATGAAATTATTCTGATAAATTGTTAATGTTACATTTCTTCAAGTTAAGAAAAGCAGTGCAACATTTCAATTTGAAATATAAATTAGAAATAGAGACAAGTTACTGACTTGAAAAATAAGTTTCCAGAACCTTCTCAGATAAAATGTATAAAGGGAAAAGGAGTTTGTGAACTTAAGGAAGGGGCATAGCTATATCTCTTACTCTATGCAGTGCATACAATTATAAGTTAAAAATCCCAATTGTAATAACTTCACACTGAATTATGCTGTGAGAGAAATAAATGTGAAAATCCTTAGTTCACATAATTTTATTGTGTAAAGAGGCTTTCTAGAGATTCAGGAGAAATAGTATGCACAAGATCACATAGTGCTAAAACTGACTAGAAAAACCTTGGTATTCTATCTCTCTTCCATCATGTGACAGTCAAGGTTATCAGTGCAGTGTAGATAACATAATGGTAGAAAAAGTACTTTTTTAAAGATATGGTTACTGTGTCTTATTTTGTTGCCCTAGATCCAGACCCACCATCAAATTTGCTGATTTTTGGGCAGGAAGAAAACACAATATATTTATCTTGGAAACTCCCACAAGGAGGCTTTGAAAAGTTTCAGGTAAAGAATAGCACTGCTATCATACAACCTTGATGTTTATTGAGGTCTTTGTTTCACTCATTCTTTTTGTCTTTCATTTTACTTTAATGGTTTTAGAAATTATGGTACCAATCCTTTAATGTAAGATTTTCCTCCAAAGCAGTTTTTCTATTTACTGCTTTAAAAGTACAAAATTGTCATGGAAAGTGTTCGAACTTGAGTAAGAGCTGATACTTGACTTTAAATGAATTTGCATTTTCAATAGAAATAGATATTTGCATACATAGTACAAAAAAGTGAATAAAGGAATGATGGTGTTGGAGGATAATGCTTCTGTGACAGCACTGGCTAGAACAAAGATTCTGGAAGTTAAAACTGGGTGATATATCACAGCTTCCCTTTCAACCTCGTCCTAGAGATTTAGTTAAGAGTGGAGACCTGTAGCTCAGAGAGTAGGAGAGTAAGATATACAGGAGCCACTTTTCAACCGTGTCTGTAAGGTAAATGTGAACACTTTCATCACTTTTTGTTGTTCCTATAACCTGGCATCAGGTGAGGACATTATACACCCTACATCCTACATTGTATGGTTGGCAAAGAGAATAAGTTTCCAGGGACAACACGATTTTTCTGTATTCTATAGGGGCAAGTAACTTTTCTATACTTTCATAGTGGTAGGAGATGGTAATTTTCAGTTATAAATAACAGAAAACAACCTGAAAAAAAAGTTCAAGCAATAAAAAAAAATTTATTGGGTCAGTACTAGAGTGCCTCACGGAGACCAAGGAAAAGATTATAACTGGGTGTTGGGGAGAACTGGAATCAGATATTTCAGGTCCTTGAAAATCTAGGAATTATTTTCATACTTCTTTTTGCTCATCTGCCTTAGTATTTTTTTTGCTTTTCTTCTGATGATCAACTTTCTTTCCTAAGCAATCCATGTGGTGAGTGGAAGAATGCATACACAACTTTCGAGTACAAATGGTGCAGTATCAGCCACAGAGAAAGACAGATTCTCCCTCAATTCCCAAGGAAGAAACTGTGGTTATCCAAGTTGGATTAGACATCCAGTCCAGTTCCAGTCAACTGTGGTTGCAGGTTCCATGTCATGTAAAAATGGTGGCCACAGATCTGTGGGCAATGGGGATTATAAAAAGAGTCATTAGAGTTTGGACAGACACAAAAAAGGTGGTTCCTGTAAATAAAAAGTTATATGAAGTTTAATAATTTATAGAATTGATGTAGTCTAAAAGGAACCAGAGCAATAAAATTATCAAACACTTGAAATGAACTAAATAGTAAGTCTGGGTTTTATATTTGAGTGTGAATTTCTTAACAATTAAGGTCAGTAAGAGAAACAAGATAATACTCATTATATGACAGACATAAAAAGAATCCACATTTGTTTATAATACCCAGTATTAAAGACAAAGAAGGATGTGGTGGGCAGAATAATGGCCTTCCAGAGATTCGCTACCCAATTTCCAGAGCATGGAATACATTAAATTACATGGCAAAGGGGAATTAAGGTAGCAAATGGAATTAAGTTTGCTAATTAGCAGGTTTTAAATAGGGAGGTTATAATTTGTCTGGGTGGGTACAGTGTAGTCACAAAGAGCCTTAAATGTAGAAGGGGGAGGCAGAAGAGGAAGTGTCAGAGTGATGCCATGGGACAAAGATGGAAGGGGGTCATAAGCCAAAGAATGTGAGCAGCATCTAGAAGCCAGGAAAGGTGTTTTTTTTTTGTACGGGTAGGATGTTGAAATATTATTGTCAAAGTTTTCTGATTAACTTATTAAAAGTATAGATCTTAGGAATCTAGATAAATGAAAAGGTAAACACTTTGCATATATTTCTGATAATATTAGTATTCTAGGCCAGGTCTTGACCACAGTTTGATAGTAGTCAATTAATGGTTGAGTTCTTCAGCAAGTGACTGTTGAAGAGATGGTCTACACTGCTGTATAAAGTCAGAGCAATTTGACTAAGATATGATTTTTAGGGGAAACAAATTATCATTCTGTTTTCTCTTGAGACTAAACTATCCTTCTACCTAAAATCAACCCCCATTATAAAATTTCCTCTGTCTGCTTGAACAAGCATGTACGCCATCAGGACTACCAATGTTTTACAGTTTCCATGGGTTTAAACAATGATAGCTATAGCATCACTGAGTACACTGTTATGCATACATTAAATATACTGCATAATTATTATATAGTATTGTGTATATATAGAAATTCTATATTAAAATAATGTGGTAAGCCTTCCTTCTGGTTTGTGCAGTTAGAGTATTTTTAAACCTATTTAGACTATCACACTTTAGCTTCCATTTGATAGCTTCACAACATAAACAAACTATGTCTATCAATATATCGACATAAGATATTTGCAAATATATGCATATATATGTAAATATATATATACTAATCACTCGTTAGTGATTTTAAGATATATATAACCTAAACTTAAGATAGTGGTATGTATATATATACAATGGAATACTACTCAGCCATAAAAAAGACAGAATCATCCCATTTGCAACAACATGGATGCAACTTGAGGGTATGATGTTAGGTGAAATAAGCCAGGCAGAGAAAGACAAATATTGCATGATTTCCCTCACATGTGGAAGATAACAAATATATGGATGAAGAGAACAGATTAGTCATTACCAGAGGGGAAGGGGTTTAGGTGGTAGGTGAAAGAGATAAAGGGGCACATATGTATGGTGATGGATAAAAATTAGACTACTGGGGGCGAACATGATTAAGTGTATTCAGAAATTGATAAATAATAATGTACACTCAAAATTACACAATGTTATAAACCATTACGATCTCAATAAAATTACTTGAAAAAGAGAAAAAAGATATTTAAATATATATCATTAAATATAATTAATATATTATAATTTTAATATTATTAATGTACTATAAACATATACAGAGAGATACCATTGAGGATCTATATTTAATGCTTGTATAAAGGCTTCTAGGACTCCCTACTTCCTATTTAATAATATACATACTGCTTAGTGTGATCTTCATAGCCAGACAAAGAATAACTCCAACAGCCTCTCTTATCTTCTATTTTTCTCATACCCCATGTTTCAACTAAGCTGTATTGCCTACCCTTATCCATATATTTTATGTTTTCTCAACTCTATTCTCTGGTCATGTTGCTCTTTCAACCAGAATACTTCCTCTGCCATGTTTTTCTCGGACAATTCTTCTAGATCCTGCTTAGGTATCACTCCCTCCATGAAAGCTCCCTTGAACACCATGTATCAATCTCCCGTACTAGAAATTAATTTTAGGGTTGTTCTTGACTCGTCTCTTTCCTTCATGTTCTTATGTGCTTGTTCACTGAATCCTGATGATTCTAACTTAGAATTCTTGTGCAAATCCTTCCTTTCCTTCCCATCTCCGTTTTCTCTGCCTCAGTTCAGTCCCTCGCTGTTTGCTGGCCCCTCTTACCCCCAGGGTCAAGCTGAGCTTTGGAGCAGCCCTTATAAATCTGTTGAACTATCATCTCATTATGTTTCCTATGCTCATCTTAAATTCCAGGCCCATATGGTAAATACATTAGACATCTTACTCTTTCTTTCTTTGATAGTACACACCCCTTTGAGATTCATCCCTGCAGTATTTTTTCTCTCTGAAATGTTCATTTATGCATTTTCCAATCTCACCATTTTTTTGAGGTTGGCTTCCCAAGCTATTTCTAAAAGTAGTTATGTACTGTCTTTATCAAACATAAAAAATGGAATTAGCTTCTTTATTACAATGCTTTAATTATCTATAGTTTCAGATTAGAAGAAATAAGATGAAAGGGAGAGTTGATGAGGGTGTTATATAGGCCTTCAAGAATGAGTTGAAAGATTCCTAGAGCAGAAACAATTTCATTGTCAACAAATTCAACAGTCAATATTCAAAAAATTCATTCCTTAATCCACAAGTTCTTGTCTTCATGGTGCTTATATTCCAGGAGAACTGCAGATATGAGAAAGGTGTTCACTAGAGCAACAGCTCAAAAAATACTGTAGGAGGTAAGATCAGGTTTCCAAAACTGTCTAAAACCAAAAGGAAGGAGAGTGCTACGTGTTAAAGGTCTGCTTGATTAGCCAAGGCAAATTTCAAGAGGAACTGTCTTAAACAAATAAAATCTTCAGTCACCAAGTATTGTCAATGCTACTGCTGCGATATAAATTCCGCTTGGCTTTTAAAGGGTCCTCAGAAAACTAAACCATCTAAAAACTCTCTACCACTGTGAAATGGTCGAGTCTGTGTGGCGTGGAAGGTCGTTAAAGTCTACGTCATAGAGAACACAACGCAAGTATCTTATGTTTCTCATGAGATTAGTGGACATCAACTTCAATCAATTTTGTTACCTTTTTTTCAGAAGAATTAAGCTCTTAGTGATATACTTGTGCAAAATATTCTGGTAGTAAATTTCATAATATGATTCCTTATTTTGTTTTGTCCAGCATTCTGAGAGTTCAAAAGATATGGAATATTTATTAGTATGGACAAAATGTGAAATTCATTTAAACATTGAATATTTGCTCTAGTTAGTAATCCTCTGAAACTATTAGATTGCTGGCTTTCTTCTCGTGAGCACTTGGAGTGCAAAAAGATTTATATCCTTTAAAAGAATCTCAGAACTGTAAGGGAACTGAGGATATAATCTCTTCCAACCATGAAACTAAACATTGACTTGCATATTTAAGACCTAAAAGAATTCAGTGTGAACTTAGAAAAAAATCAAATAGTTGGCATAGAATATCTATGGCAGTTTGCTATTTCCTTTCTTAGACCTTTCAACTATTTTTTTGTGAACTCTCAGTGATATTATAGACCAGTACTGTCCAACAGAAATATAATGTGAATCACAAGGTAGAGATATATGTATAATTTTAAATTTTCTAATATAAACATTAAAAAAGTAAAAAGAAAAAAGTGAAATTATTTTAGTAATGTATTTTATTTACCCCAATACATTAAAAATATTAACATGTAACCACTATAAAAATTACTCTGCTGTGAGCCCTTGTGCCAGTTTTTATGCTCTTTGGTCCTATTTCCTCATTTGTCAATGGAGGTTATTGTTATTCTGTAGAATTGTTGAGAGAATTCAATGAGATCTTATGTTTGGCAAACACTCTGACTTGTAAATTCCATGAGGGCAAGCCTTTTGTCTGCTCTGGTCATTGTTTGGTGCCACTATTGAGACCAGTATCTGACATATAACAATCGTCAAAAAATAGTTTGAGGAGTGAATGATTTAATTATTAGTTTTCATGGTTGACATTTCACAATCAAGGAAGCTTAATTTTAACATGAATCTCTCTTTAGCCTCTCTCTTGCCACACAGCGATCAGAATGCCCTTTCTTAAAAGTAAAATAAAATATATAATTTTTGTGCTTAAAATATTCCTTACCATTGCTTACAAGGCTCTCGCCTTCTCTCATGACCCCACCTCTGCTCCTCCCAGTCTTTCCTGTCTCAGGAAAGGACACTGTCCTGAAATCACTTGCTCAGTTATCTTCCATTCTTCCCATTCCCTCATCCCTCGATCCACCAGCTGGTCTGCCACTTCTACCTCTAAACAGATGCTCAGTGTGTCCACTTCTCTTCATCTCCACTGCGCCGCTCTTGTCTAGTCACTATCATTTCTTACTGAGATCAGCAGCCTACATGACAGATGATAGCCTCTCACCTCCTAACTGGTCTCTCTCTCCCTTCTTGATATCCTTGCAATCCACTTTCCACGTAATAGCCAGAGAGAGAGACAGAGAGAGGGAGAGACAGAGAGGGAGAGGCAAAGGGAGAGCGAGCTGTTAAAAACTGTTTCTCATTGGTTTAACACCCTCCATAGCTGTTAGATTTCCATTACTCTTCAAATAAAATCTAAATTCCTTGCCATGGTCTTCATGACCTCATCTGAGTGGACCTTCTTCTGACTATCCTTCCTGCTTGGTTACTATGTGGCAACCATATTTGGCTCTCTTTCTGTTCCTCAAGCATGCCAAGCACATCCCCAGTACAAGGTTTTTGCGCTTGACATTCATTTTGTATAGATATCTTGCCGCCAGTTTTGGTTGACTTTTCCCTATTACTGAGTTCTCAGCTCCTCATCTCCTTCCCTAATTACCTAATCTAAATAAAATTGCTTTTCCTATTCACTCTATGATGTAGCTGATTTATCTTGTTCATTTATTTATTGAGTTGCTCATTGTTAGGTGCCACCACTAGAATTTAAGTCCCCTACAATTAGAAGCCTTTTTTGTCTTATTCACTCTAGTATTCCTAGTACCTAGAATAATGCTTGCCCTGTAATGGATGCTCAATAAAGATTTGATGAATAAATAAAACTTTACATACTTGTGTTCCCATATATGATTGGGATGATTATGGGGGGAAGATATCAAAACTGAGTATAGTTATCAGGAAAGGATGGAACTTGAGATGAACTTTCAGGAGTGGCCAGGATTCAGACTCATGCAAAAGAGGAGAGGATATTCTACACTAGCAAGTTCACAAAGTCAGGAATGGGCATTCTATTTGTCATTGGTAAATGTCATTCAATGATAGGGGGATCTTGAATAATAAATCATTCATGAAAAATTCTATCCTTTCTAGAATGATCCAATTCATTCCTATATTCAGTGTAGGTATTCTCTAGTGAAAATCTTAAGCACTTTTAATGTTAGTTGTAAAAGATCCACATTTTTTACCCTGTGTTGTCTGTCCTAATTCACATATTTCAAGGCAAATACTCAAAGAAATGATCTTTCCTTGGAGTTAACTGAGGCCAAAAAATTATCTTTTATCAGATAAAATATGTAACTGTAGAACTACTTTTTCCTATATTTATATGAACACATTTTTTCAGAGATTTAAATTATGTATCTGTTATTAAGTGAAAGTTATTTTAAGAAATCATGTTAATCTTTAGGATTCAGGTTATTTTTATTAACTGTATTATATCACTAATGGTTATCCTAGTCTTTCTCAACCAGTTAGATTATTTGTTAAATTTTAATGAATTAAGCAACAGTATCCTGGTTGCTTAGCAAAGTGTACTTGCATAATTGGGATCATTTTCCCAATCATTTAAAATTAATCATCCAAGATCTTCAACCGATGCTTTAAAAGTAGAAATAAAGCATGAATTATGATTTCTTCTATTGTTTTCCATTACACATGTGTAGTCCACATACTTTGGAAACAAACAAACCTCCATTTTTCAAATTGTATTTAAAAAAATTTACATATTTTCATCAATAGATCACCATAGACAATTTCTTTTTCTTCTAACCCTTCATTAGTGCCTTAATACGACTATTTGTATGTCTGAATTTAGCACTCCATTAAGATTATATTCTTCTGCTATTATGTGGTACTCTCTTCTACCATCCTTTTTCATACCAGAAGTTCTCAGCATTCTACTCACTCCTCCTATCTTTCTATATGCCAGACAAGCAAGGTAATTGTCAGTGACACCTTATAAATCAACAACAATGATATACTTCCAGACCTTATGATTACCTTCCTTCAGTAACAAAACACTCTTCCCACAAGGCAGTGGTAAACATGTCTGCCTAGGAAATTTATTTCTCTGACTCCTACCACATAACAATCGTTTTTTAAAGCATAATAATGTGTAGGTAATTTATAAAATTAATGTGATTACTTTCATGTAAGTATCTTTTTTTGTGTGTTTTACAAACATGAAATATGGAGTGAAGAAGAGTAAAGACTGTTATAAGTAGCCTTTAATGAATAAAAAAATCTCCATGGTATTGGAACTATCAGATTAATCCATTGAAAATTTATAAAGGTAATGCCAATTCTTAAAGTTTTACTGAATCATTGATTGGCCCAAGTTATGATGAAAGATGGACTGGCATGGAGTGTGACATTTATCATTCATTCATTTAACAAAAAAATGGAGTGCCTTCTCTCTTCTAGGTATCTGTTTTCGTTGTTCTCTCTCTTGCTATTTTTTTCTCCTCCTGTAACTAGCACTCACAGGCTTTGGATGACGTCTGGTTTAACAGTCCTCCAAATACTGGCTCTCTCCTGAGGCACATATGTGAGTTCTCTGGAGGGCCCACTGTCCACTGCCCACTTCCTTGACAAGACAGACTCAGTTCTGACTCAGCCTTTTCCAACTCTTCTCAACTCTTCCCTCTGGCATTATATGCAACTGCTTTGTGCTCCTGGGGTCTGTTTGGACAGAGGCCAGCCCTCTTGGCTCTTGGCTAGGGGTACTGTTAAGATGGCTCAGGCCTGACCACTCTCTGTGTTCATACTTGACCCATGGGAGACTGTGGCATCTTTGTCAGGGCAAAGGTGGGTGTAGAAATTGCTCCACAACTCTTTTATTTGGTCTGCTTTATCTTTCCTATTTCCTTTTTCTCTGATCAACCAGGAGGATGAGCAGGAAGTCTGCTGCCTAAGTATATGTCCGACTGGGAGGTGTCATTCTCTTTAGCAGCACCCTCAATTTCTGGTAGTGATGCACATGGGGCCTTCCTCATTTAGCTGGAGTGTAGGATGTGCAGAAGCACCCTATTTCCGATCACTTGGGAAGCCAGGAAAAAGCCATGGTATTCTCCATGAGGTCAGAAACTTGGGATGGCAGTGATTCCTGCTTTCTCCTCCTCTATCTTCTGCTTATGTGGAGTTGGGAGAGTGGATATGCAATTTTACATAATATTTTTTGTTTTCAGGTGACCAACAGGAAAAGTTCCACTCATTATGTAGTATATCTATTATAAACATATACACATATAAATCAGAATATATATATGCATATATACATACATACATGTATGTATATATACACACATATATATACAAATGAAATTTTAAAACTGTTTGAGACTTTTGGTCTTTTACAGCATAAACTTCTGAGTTAGTCCACTATGTTTATTACTGCGTGAACTTCATTAAGTTATTCAGCCCAAATTAGCCCCAAATTACTCCTTGGTGAAGACAGGAAAGGTCACTCCCCCTACAGTGCAGTATTCATTTATGTGAATGTGACTAGTACAGAGTTGGTGCTAAGTAAATCCTTTTTAAATCATGAAAAACATAAATTTATCTTTGTCTTTCTCTAGATATCCTATTGTATGACATCTAGAAGGGAAAAACTATTTAAAGTAATTGTTTATGGCAACAAAGCCAAAATAAAGAACTTGACTCCGGGTGTGGACTACACGTTTCATGTGGAGACAGTTAGAGGCAAAGATTACAGTGTATCTGTAATGAAAAAAGTGACTACAAGTAAGGAAATATCATAAATAAAATCTTTGCTTTATAGTTCTGTAAGATTTGAACTTTTGGCTCAACACAATTAAAGCTATTTTAGAACATAAAGTCTGATAATTAAGGAATAATGATCATAAGAATACGATTAAGAGAACTCTCAAAAAACATGAACTTTAAAAGAAAGCCTTTGTATGTCTAAATGTGTTGGGAACTAAAGAGTTATTTAATAATCTGAAGCCAACATGTGTAATGTATATATGTATGCATGTATTTTCCACATATGTGACATATATGATATGTATATATGTACAGGTATCATATAAATGCATACATATATCATATATATACACACAGACGTGATATATAATATGATGTAATGATAAACACAATCCATTTTCTATGAAATCGGGGTTTGTTAAACAGAGAACTTCGATCTTCTTTTCCCTGATGTTTGTAAATTCATTGTAAATCAGTTTCATAGTGTTTGAGGTGGAGTGGAGTAATAGTATTTGTTACCAATGATTCTTGTGAAAATTTGTGAGATCTACAGGATCCCCTCTCAGTGGAGACCAAATGATAATGAAAGAAACAACGTTACCTCCATTGAGTGGATTAAAAATGTGGCAATATAGGAATGCTAAAAAGTTTGATGTAACCAGAAGAACCACATTTGAAAGTGCTTTTACTTCTGTCCCTCACTCCGTCTCTAACTTATTTGTTTTATTTCATCTTCATTTGACATCTGCTAGGGGGTAGCTAACAAACCCGTGATTATATCATAGAAGGATACTTCTGATTATGATCACTCAGGAGGCACGAGTCTCAATGAATGACTATTGGGAGTGATTAATGACTAATTGAGGAAAGATAATTGGGAATTAGGCAGGATATTATTCTGCCATTTATATTAAAACGCATATCTAATATCCTATTTCTCTGTTTGCAGAGCTAAGCATGTAGGGTGCTATACATGAATACATTCAAGGATTATTACACGGATGTTTAGATTATATTATTCATGTTTGCTTTATTTTTACATATATATGTGTAATTTTTATTTACATATAATTTCTTTTTTCAACAGAACCATCTAGGATATGTGGCTTAACGTTAAAAGCTGTGAATACTTCTTCTGCATATTTAATGTGGAATCCAACAGAGACCAACTTCACTCATTACAAGATTTATATATCAAACAGAACATTTGCAAAAGAATATCTTATTTGGGGAATGATGACTGAGTACACAGTTACAGATCTGACTCCTGGTGGGATATATAACGTCACTGTACACAGAGTGAGAGGCAGTGTTGAAGGATCTGGCACATTTATCAGAGTTGTGGCAGGTATACACATTCTTTCTGATATTTCAAAATTTATATTTATATTGCATATTGTTCAGTTCAAAATAAAATTTCAATGCATTTCCTTGAAATTTGAAAATTTACAGTCTATAGACTTATTTCAGAGGGTAAAAATACTCATTTTACTGGGATATTCTGGGGATTTTTGAGATAACACATGTAAAATGTAAATTGGATAAAACAGTATCTGGCACACCGTCAGTACTCAATAAATGTAGCTAATATTATACTTGGTTTCACATCAAATTAGAGGTCCAGGCTGTGAAATTAGATGAGTGATTGGGGGGATCATCTCTTCTCCTAAAAACTTTGTCTTTGGTCTCCTACTACATGCTATACACATGAAAAAGACATAGTCTTAGAATGTGTGGAGAGTAATAAAGAATAGAGGCATAGAAGCACATATAGTTTAAGTCAAATTCATAGAGGAAGCAATGGAAATATATTCAAACTTATTGTGGTTGCACAGAAAAGGGAATGACCAGCTCCATAGCAGGGATGGAGAAGGTTCTTTGAGGTGGGAAATGTCTGTAAAAGGATAAGGAGTTTCCTAATCAGACTAGAATGATGTAGTGTGTGTGGAAAGGAGGATTGACAGGGAGAGGGAACAATTTATGCAAAATTATAGAGGTGTATTTTTGGAATCGTAAGCAATTCAATATTGCAAGATCTTGTTGTTATTATATAAGAGGAGAACAAAATCCTATCCTGAATAATTTAAAGCATCACTTTTAAATCCAAATGAAGCTGTGAAACCTATTAATATTTGAAATTTTTCAAAGAAAACAAGATTGCAGCAATAACTCATGAGATGACTTTTAAATGATCTTTAAGTCTGTGGATTTGACAGACAACTCAGACATATGATGATAACTCTGTCTATGGACATTTGTGATATGTATCACATACTGTTATTAGTTTCTTATTGTTGCTGTAACAAATTGCTACAAGTTTAGTGGCTTAAAACAACAAAGATTTATTATGCCATAATTTTGTAAGTCACAAGTCCAATGTAGATTTCACCAGGCTAAAATGAAGGTATTTAGAGATCTGTATTCCTTTCTCTAAATTCTGGGGGAAAATCCAATCCTTTTCTCATTCAGATCATTTGCAGAATTCTGTTCCTTGTGGTTGTAGGACTGAGGTAACCATTTCTTTTCTGGCTGTCAGCTGAGGGCTGTTCCCAGCTCTAGAGGATGCCTCATTCCTTGGCTTGTGATCCTCTTCCTCCATCTTTAAAGCCAACAAATGAGGACCGAGTAGCACCCATGCTTCCGATCCTCCTGCCTTTTTTCCCCGATCACATCTCTTCTGTCTTTCTCTTCAACTTTTAAGGGCCTGTGTGATTAGATTGGGCCACTTGGATAATCTAGGTTGACCTCTCTGTTTTTATGTTCATAATCTTAATTCTATCTACAAACTCCATTTTGCCATGTACTGTAATATTTAGCATTTAGGCATCTTTGTCACCATTATTCTACATGTCATACACACTATTATTCTCCTAAATGTGATATTCATGTGATAATGCAAAACAAGAAATGAGTTTAGAATTTATACATCAGCTTTACTCCTGGATTTGACACTTATTAGGTGAGTACTATTAAGCAAGTTGCCTAGTATCTTTGACCATCAAGTTTCAGTGAAATTTGAATTAGATGATCTCTGAGATTGCTTATGGCTCTTAAGCACTCTGTTACATCTTGTATCTTTTTATATTATTTATGTATAGATATCACACATCTTTAAATTTTCTTTAAAAAGCACATATGTTAAATGATGTATTGAATGTCATTTTCTTTGGAGTGTTATGATAAGTAAAATATACAATCAAACACATTAAAATTGGACCCACTCTAGAAGTTTTAGTCTGTGGCAGGGTTTCTTACTCTCAGTACTATTGATATTTTGAGCTGGGTGATTCTCCTTTGTGATGCTCTGTCCTGTGCATTGTAGGATGTTTAGCAGCATCCCTGACCTGTACCCACTAGATATCAGTAGGATCCTCTTTATCATGACAATCTTTTTTTCCTAGAAGTCCTCCAAGTCTAGAAATTGCCAAACTTGGCAAAATCACAACTGGTCTATGGTAAGCATTGATATATGCGGTTGGATAGAAATATCGAATAGACCATTGAGCAAAGACTGAGAAAAGTTGCGATAAATAAAATGTTTTGCTTATATACAGGTAAAGGAGATAGTGCAATTAGTGTGAGTGACAGGATTGGCTCACTTAGAATTTGGTCAGAGAAAAAAGTGACCAAGGTAATGTCAATATCAGAAAAGTTTCATGAAAATCTGGAGATTTTAATTAAAAAAGAGAGTACTTTGTGAAATAGTAGGAGCTTGATGTTCTGGTTGTATAGCATGGTTTAGGTGATGGTTTGAAAGATTACAGTAGGTAATGGAAGTCACTGTTAGAGGACAGCAGTAATTTTGGAGGGGAGTTGATAAGAGGAAATGGGGAAGGATGGTAATCTAGGTTTCCGGATCAGAAATAGATCTTGCTGCCCTACTTTGTAGAAAGAAGAGAGTGGTGATAATGGAACAACGCTGGCAGAGGACTGAGTGGATATGAGGAAGGGACTAAAGCTAAGAAATGAAAAAGCAGTAACATGATGGTTTTACTAAGAGATGACCATGATTTATAGAGAAAGATAGCAGAAGTAACAATAGCTATTAATCACAGCTTACATTTACCAAGCTCTTACCATGTTCAAGCCCCTCTTCTACACACTTTACATGTATTAACTTACTTTATTCTCACAACAATGTGAGGGGTAGGAGTATTATTATCCCCATATAGATGAGGCCACTGAGGTATGGAAAGGTTAAGGGTTTTGCCTAAAGTCTTATTTATGTGGCAGAGCCAGGATTTGAATCCAGTAACCCAGTTCCGGGGCCTGTGACACTACCTGTACTAAAAATTGATTTTAGACCCTTGTGGTGCCCAGTATGATGCTTATTTATCAGAGGATGTTTATTTTATTTATAATTTATGCCTAGCCCATTTCCAAAATATGAGGAAGCTATAGGCATTTGAGAAATACATATTGCCTTGCCATGGGACATAGCGAGATGGAGTCTCTTGAAATTAAATTGGTGGTCACTTCAACTGATAATCTCAGACTTGAAAGGAAAATTATAGATCATGCTATTTAGTGCTTAAATCCTCTCTAAAATGTTAATTAATTCACGTGGGATTTTTCGATCTGCTGTTATTTGTAAGCCACTTTGTAAAGGTTAGAGGGGGGCCTTTCTCCTAGGAATTGAAAATGAGCACTGAAGCTGTTGTTCTTGGATCTAAATCCTGGCTCTGCCACTCATCTGTTAGCTTTGAGTCCTTGGTGAAGCTACCTAAATTCTTTGTTCCTCAGTTTTCTTTTCTTTTTTGCTGAGGATGATTCACCCTGAGCTAATATCTGTTGCCAATCTTCCTTTTTTTGCTTGAGGAAGATTGTCCCTGAGCTAACATCCATGCCAATCTTCCTCCATTTTTTGCATGTGGCATGCCACCACAGCATGCCCTGACAGGTGGTGTGAGGGTCCACACCAGGGATCTGAACCCTTGAGCCCCAGACCACTGAAGCAGAGCACGTGAGTTTTCTCATTTTTAAACAGCAATAATAATAGTATCTCCTTATGAATTTTTACAACTGTTAAATAAAACACTGTGTGAAAGTGCTTAGCACAGTGCACAGTGTATCATAAACTGGGTAAGAATTATTTTTTATTATTTTACATGTCTTATGCATGAATATCTCATCAGCCATAGCCTGTATTATACCCAATGTATGATTTAATCATGGAAATATTTAAATGTGGTACACAAAGCTTATCATATATAGTGTTGGTACATAGGAAGTATAAATAAAAGCAAATAATAATGCCGATGAAACTTTTTGAGTCTTTGTATTTTATTTAAAAATATCTGTCAATTGTAAGCTTTTGTTTTTTGCTATCATTTGGATAGGCTTGTGCAACTGTTTTGTGCATGTTCTGAGATAGGTAGCATTTTGGCCTCACTTTGAATACACTCTTTAAGAGTCAGAATCTACTGAGGAGCTCGCTATGTAGCTGGCTTTCCCATTTTGAATCTCCTCTTACTCTCTTTCTCAAAGGTTAATGTGCTAGTAGTTCATACCAGAATTTTTCTTTTGAGGTCCTCCTGACTCTTTTGAGCCATTTTCCTTTATAGATGTGGGTCATGGGATCATATGTCTGTTTTTTCTCAGCTTCTCAAAATGCAGTTTAGGTAAATTTACTGAACAGCCAAGGGGAACAGTTGGGAGATGCTCCAGCCCCGCACTGTCCAATATGTAGGGATTAGTGACATGTGACTATCGAGCCTTGACAGGTGGCTGGTCCCAATTCAGATGCGCTGTAAGTGTGAAAGGCACGTGCAATTTCAAAGATGTAGGATGAAAAAAAAGTACCTCATTAATAATTTTATATTGATTAATGCGAAGTGATGTTTTTGATATGTTTGCTTAAATAAAATACATTATTAAAATTAATTTTATTTTTAATTTATTTTCTTCATGTGGCTCACCTTTTAATTTTATTGGACAGTCCTGCTTTAGAGAATTGCAGACACATATTTAGGCATATGTAAGGCTGTGAGATATCCTGCAAAATAGAAAGCTATTAAAATTAAAAAAGAAATTATTTGACAAAGTGGTTTGATCACAAGACATCTATTAAATTCTAAGGATTTAGGGTTCTGAGGATTAACTTTTTACAAATTCTGGTCAAAAGAAAAATCCAGCTAAGCCTATTATTCTTTTTTCTAGCCCTAATTAAATTGAACATAATGTAGTATTTTTTTTTCCTCTCAGAACTCCAAACATATCCACCTCACAATCTGATTTTTATTGGTTTGTAACCATTAGGTTGAGAGTTATATTTTTGCTTCATGTTTTCCGACCTTTTTGGAGTTAAATTCCATGAAGTTCAAGTCATGTATTCATTACAGAGTTTACTTCCAGTTAGTTGAGGCTTCCAACTCATATCCAGGAAGCTGCACTCCTTCACAATGACCAAAGCGTCGCTCCATCTCTACTACCTTTTTCTGAGGGCAAGCCTGCCTCCTCTCTGCCAAGAGTACCACAACATCCTACTGGTTGGCTTCATGTTGCCATTTTGCTTCTCTCCAATTCATATACCATATTCTAGAGTAATTATTTTTAAATGTCATATTGCTTTCCTGCTTAAAATTCTTCAATGCTTTCCATTGCATTTGGGAGGAAAAAAAATCTAAAATCTTTATTGTAGCCTGCGTGATCATCAGACTGTTCTTTCTTACTTGATCCTGAAACCCAGGCTAGCTTTTCTCAGTTACTCTGAGTTCAGTCCATTTCCAGGGCTTCTATCCACTCTGCTTCCAAAGGTCTTTATCAAACTGTCCTGAAGCTTCCAGGCCTTCCCTCTTGATCAGATTGGCAAATTTCCAGACAAATATATTCTTCCTCCTCTTGGTGAGATATACTTCATCCTTAGCCAAGAGTTCTCCGGTGTGTAACCTTAAACCACAGTCTAGGAAACTCTATCCTATCTCCCTCTCAGTCCAGTAAGCAGCCCGTCACTTCTCCTATCTTCATTTTTCTTGCAAAGTCTCATCACAGGTCTTTTTCGAGTTCCTTGTCTAAAACTTCGTGGGTATTAAGTACTTTCTGGGACCCTTGAGGACATAGTATTAGCCTTCATGTAAGTCACCAAGTGCGAGTAGTAGGTGCTTGGACTTTTGTCATATTAGACTTATACCTATACCTATTTTCATGTGAGCTGGTGCGGAGAATCAAGCTCTTTTCTCTCAGGCTTGAGAATGCAGAATGCAGAACGATCCAGGAAACATGCCAGCAGCCATGCACAAGAAAGGAATTCTACCCATCACAAACTGGATATTTCTCGATATTTCACGTTGGGTTTACAGTGTTTTTAAAGAGTTATTTTAAAACTGTGGTACTCACGATATGGACAATTTGGAGATGATGCCAAGAGAATGCTTGTGTCTTTGAGAGTGTCATGTTGGAAATTAATTGATCGATATTAGCTTCGGGTACTAGAGAGAAGGTTATATTATAAGCATTAAAGGAAGTTTTCAAAAGAGATAAAGAAAAACGATTCTAAAACTAATCCCTCTCCCCCTGAAAGTGTACCAAGGGATTGACCCATTGTGTTAAGATTTCCATTTTATGCGATGTGCCCTGTCACTTTTTTGGGAAATGTACATTTTATTTTTTCTATATATCCACTTTCAAACCATCCTTGGTGGTGGTGGTGGGGGAGGTGTTTAAAATGATAAATGGAGTTGAGTGATTAGTTCCAGAGTCCCTTGTTTTGGAAATAGTGTTAGATCGGGTCTGGATCAGGTCTGTTTTTCACATGCTTGGCTGTGTAATCTCTCTCCCGCCCCCTATATTGTTTGCCTGGAATCTGCACCAAAGATAAGGCAGAGCGCAAACCTGACTCACTGGCAAACAACCACAAGAACTTTATGTAGAAAACTCCCTTCATGGAGGTACAGGCAGCGTAAACAAAACTGGAAATAGTGGAAGCAAAGGTAGAAAAATATGGTTGAAATGGCTAGGACAATTAGTACTTATTATTTAAAAACTATCATATTTCTTTTCCAATATGAAAACTTAACTTATCTTCTCTTTTAAAGAAACACCTAACTAAATATTCATCAGAAATGCACACCCTTTAAAATATTTGGCACATTTTGGTTATAGTTTTTCCCAATTATCTTCCGTTTGGGAAGTATCCAGGTAAATCATTGCATAAATAGTTTGTACTTTGCTTTAAATTGATTCAATTTTTCAATTAGAGCATAAGCTTCAAAGAACAATCTGGTCGACCAACAGATTTTAATAGATAGGGAATATCCCATAAATAAATACATAAATTAATATTTCTGGTAATTAAATTTAAAAACTAGATATTGTTAAGGATATATGTTCCTAATACCTACGTATAGCTAGAGATAATTTAAAGGACTCAATGCTTTCCAACATGTGGTTATTTTAAAACCTGGCTCTTGGACTATCAATTTTCATTTTTTCTTTGAAGATTTAGGAGAATAACTCCATTTTAAACCTCTATTTTTCAATATCAGAACCGGAAAAACCCGAGAAAGTTAAAGTCTTCAATATTTCTGCACATTCCTTTTCTCTGCGCTGGAGCCTGCCCTCCGGCCATGTGGAAAGGTTTCATGTGGATCTTGTTCCTGACAGTGGCTTTGTTACTATCAGAGATCTTGGAGGTGGAGAATATCAGGTATAGTTTTCACGATCATACTTGCTGAGCCGACTTGTATTTATATTTGGTCCTAACAGGAAAGTTCTCTAAAAAACTCATCCACCATGAAAACTTACTCCTTTGAGAATTTTTAAAAGCATAACATGAAGACAAAAACGTTGATGCCGAATTGATGAGTGTAAGTTTCAGCATGGGTGGACTGTTACCTTAGCAACGTCTGTGCTTTTTTTTTCAAAGTCTACCCTGAACCTACAGCCAGCCATCCAAGGGTTCATGAATAGTTTAACAAAGAAAGGGCAGAGCTATTGAGTAATCTAGGCTCATTAATTGTGTACTTGCCAGGAGGATCTTTCTTTAAATCATTAATGCAGGCAACATTTCTCTCCAGAGCCATCAATGTGATTCCACTGCCTGAAAAATGTAATAAAGATGGATTTTCTTATCATTTTTCTTTTACTTTTTATTGGAACTTCAGATACACAGGTATTTCATACACACTCTTAAAAAACCAGGGCTAAGCAATGGGCTGTAGATTTCCTAAGGCTCTTAAATAGCTGTTTCTTATGACAATGAACTAGGATGGAAGTACTGATTTAGCCTTTGATAACAGTATGTTTTGTAAGTTTTTATTGTGTGTTATTTGGTAAATAGTCGTATAAGAAATTTATATTTAACAGTAATACCGGATGTGTTGTGATATTTTAAACAGTGCGGAGTTGTATAGTGAAGTGTTGCTTTGTTTTTTGATTGTGATAAATTTATTATTTTGGCTTTCCAGAATTTAACACAATTATTGGTTTTTGGTGTTCTAGGTTGATGTTTTCAATGCTGTTCCTGGTACTAGGTACGAAGTAACCATCTCTTCCATTTCTGCTACAACATACAGCTCACCTGTTAGTAGAATAGTGACAACGAACGTGACAAGTGAGTATATGTTTTCAATTATCTTTTTTATGAAGTATTTGGAGCCAATGTAAATCTATTGGATGGGAATACTTGTATTGACAAGATGTGCATTATATGCATGAAAACAGTTGAATAATTAAAGCAAAATGGAAACTTAAGTGATTTCTTTAGACCCTGCATTCTACTGGTTCTCTGGCTTCTTTTTGCTTTCCAAGTGCAAAGATAATTATTCTATATTTGCTTGTCACATGAGTCAGAGTGACTGTCAGTGGTAGTATTTAAATAATACAGAACCATGAAATTAAACTCACTGTACTTGCTCTAGAAGAATTATTCAGTTTGTAAGACTGTTGCTTGTTTTCTTAGTTTTTGTGTGTAAGCCCTGCATCAAGTAAGTTTATTTTAAAAATGACTTGGCATTAAAAGTATATTTGGCATGTAGTATTTACTAGCATTCCATTTTTTACATTCTTATAAAAGAATGTTTTTGGTATTCCCCAAAGCATTTAATCTTTTTTTTCTTTTGGTAGAAAACTCTAGGGAAGATAAACTCACATTTAAAAGTCTTTTAGAACTTCAAAAGTCTACATTTGTAAATATTTTTCTTACATATGATTGTGAAAATATAATAATTATTTGACCTTCTAACAACATGATGTTTTTTAAACAGAACCAGGGCCTCCAGTCTTCCTAGCAGGGGAAAGAGTAGGATCTGCTGGGATCCTTCTCTCTTGGAATACACCACCAAATCCAAGTGGGAGAATTTTATCTTACGTTGTGAAATACAAGGAAGTTTGTCCATGGATGCAAACAGTATATACACAAGTTAGAGCAAAGCCAGACAGTCTGGAAGTCCTTCTTACCAACCTCAATCCTGGAACAACGTATGAAATCAAGGTAATTATTTTGTAAATAATTAGTATTAAAATATTTAATCCATTTTAAAAGTGAAGGAGCTTGTTCCACTGTGTCAAACTTTTGCTCCTGAATGCAGCAAGTGACTGAAGAATGAGCATCTGAGTCATGGCCTCAGAGCCCACCTGGGCTTTTAAAACTTGAGCAAATATCATCTCTTTTCATTTTTATGTATATTTACATAATTTGCCTATTTTAAAAAGCTTTAGTTTAATGACTTTTTAAATGCATAAATCAAGTTTAAATTAAGTAATTTAGGCTTTATAAGTGAAAATATTCTACTTTTTCATGAAATTTAAAGTTAGCTTTGTTATTTTTTTCTTAATCTTGTTGTATTTCCATGTGTCATTGAGATTTTGATAATGGTTCAAAAGCTTCAAAAAAACCAGTTTCTCAAAGAACAATGGATTATGTTCAGTTCCATTCAGCAAATACTTCCTGAGCACCTACATGTCTTTTATGTTTACAAAAATGTTTAGTCCTTAACAATGTTAAATATGCAAAATCTAATGACATCTTATTTAAATACTTTATTAAAAAGAACATATAAAAAGCAGTCCTAAATTAAGTAGACCATATGAAAATGTTTACTTTTAAGAGATTTCTATGATATTTCCAGAGGACAGTAAAGAATACAGGTATCTTCTTGCTCCTCCCTATTTTTAACATGACATCGATATGTTCTTTGAGCCTTGAATATAGAGAAAAAATCTATAAAAGCCATGTAAATATGTGATACTACGTAACTGAGATGGCCATCTGGCTAGACAGAAATGATGGGAAAGAGATATTTGCCTGGGGTTTTGTCCTTATTGCAAGTATGCCTGTTTGTGGAATCAAAAAACAGAGCAAGAGCTGTAGAGCATATACCAAAATAGGGGTCCCCCAAAGGATAAAAGTAAAAAACAAACTTTTACTTATGCAGAGGTCAAAATCAAAGATTTATGATGGCTATTTCACTGCAGAAACATGAGTTAAAGAGTAGGCAACCTTTTTCTAACTGACATCTGAAAATTATATAGTCTAGATATTTTCTATCAATAAGCATGTATTCAGATTAATTTATGTGTTAAGATATGCTATTGGGGGTTATATATAAAGATTAAGTTTTAATATGATATAAGAAGCTATTGCTGGTTGAAAGGTGATTTAGCCTACCTAGTTCTGCTTAGATCTCTTTTTATGGAGTAGGAATTTTTATTCCTTAGAATTCTCTTATTTCAGGCCTGTTGGGAAGCCCTTATTCTCCTTTTCATCCCACACTTTATAAATCATTGTTGTGACCTTTACTCTCTTGAAATAAACGTTAGGCATTGCAGAATTCCAAAGGGTATTTGGCATGGTAAATTTGATATCTTCAAATGTAGATATCAAATCTACATGATATGGGGAAAATCCTGTTAATTACTTTCCATGTGTTATTTCATTTAGTCCTCAGAACAATCTTATGACATAGATACGTTATTATTCCCATTTTAAAGTAAAGGGAAATATGACTTAGAACAGTTAAATTGCGAACAGACAGTCACCCGGGGATTGGCAGAGCTGCAATTTAAACCCAGGCTGTCTGACTCCAGTTATGGCATTTGAAAGAGCTTAAGAGTTTTGTTCTCATGTATGACAATTTCTCTGCCTATTCCAGCATGTTTGACTAGAACGTTCAGGTCAAAAATAATTTTCCCATCTTTTAAATTCTATAATACTTAGTTTAAAGGATTAATTAGACCTACTTATTTGAAAAGTGGTTTTCCTGAGTATTTATTTATTTATTTGATTAGATTGTAACTCTCAAGGCAGATACTGTATATATGGTCTCATATTTGTTACAGAAATAATCATGGTGTCTTGCATAGAATGAATAGTGGAAAGAGGTTGAGCTTTAGAAATAAGCACGACTTCAACCAAATTCTGGTTCTACTACTTATTCCTGTGTGATTTTGGGCAAGTTACATGACCTCTCTCAACCAGTTTTCTCATCTATAAAATGTTGGCAATCACACCTCATGTTTTAATTATATGGATAAAATGCGATGTGTGAAATTCCCAGTAGATTTCCTGATACGCAGAAGTTGCTTAATAAACAGTAACTGTTGTTGTTATTACTACCCATGGACTATTAAACTTGATTATTAATTTCTCCATTAGGAATCTGGGAAATCTGTTGATTCAAACTATGCTGCAAATATACCCTTAGGGGAAATGGAAATATGGAATAGCTCCATATTTGCCTTCCACTTTGGGAGTTATAGGAATTAGAGGGGAAAGTACCTTTATCATTTATCTTATGGACAAATCAAAGTTTTATTATTTAAGACTCTCTTTAATTAGACAGTAAAAAGCTTAAACATAGTTCTTTTGGTCTATTCTAGGTTGCTGCTGAAAATAGCGCTGGCGTTGGAGTGTTTAGTGACCCATTTCTCTTCCAAACTGCAGAAAGTGGTAATTTTCCTAAATCGTTCTAAGTTATTTTAAATTAACTTAGTGTGAGTTTTCGTCATTTAAAATAAATAGGGATGTAAGCAAAATTTGACACCAAAATGCCTAAAATTTTCAACAGCATGGTCATTGAATTACTTTTACAGTCTTCTTGGATAGTAAATTTATTCATTGAAACATATATTGTTATTTTTGATTATAAAGGCAGTAAGTGTTAACTTAGAAAACTTTGAATAAACAAAAATTTAAAAACAAAGTGAAAATTATTCATGGCACTATTAAATGAAAAACCCTGTTACCATTTGTGCATTTCTGGCTGGTCTTTTTTTCCCCCCGTGAATATATGTCTATGTGACTATATATTAATGAAAGTAGACTTGTGTGATTTATGCAAGTTTATATCCTGCCTTTTCTACCTAACATCAAATCATAAGCATTTTTATGACATGAGACTTTTGGACATATGGACTTTAGTGGTTATCATATTATTCTACAACAAGCAGTCACTGACACACCAATTTGACACCTCCATCCTTCTAGTGGCTGAGAGGAAAAATTTGATATGACCCTTGATTCCTCTCTCTCAGTACACTCTAATCTATCAACAAATCCTCCCAGCATTATATCAAAATGTATCCTAAATCAAACCCCTATTCCTAATTACTCTAATCCAACCCATTGTCATTTCTTGCCTGAACAATTGAAAGTCTCCTCAGTGGTTTTCCTGTTTCCAACTTGCCTGCCTACAGTTTACTGTCTGTCTCCACAAGAGCCACATCATCTTTTGAAACATGAGCCAGACTGTGTTACTCTTCTTTTCCTAACATAGCTCCTATCTCATTCAGAACAAGTCCCTAAGTCCTTCCCATGGCCTACCATGCTCTTTATCTTCATACCCGTCTCTGACTTCATCTCTTACCATTCTCTCCTCCCTCCATCTACTCCAGCCACACTGATCTTCCACCTCAGGTCCGTTGCACTTGCTATTCCCTCTGCCTGGAAAGCTCTTTCACTACATATCCATAGAACTCTCTCCTCCAGTTAATGTAAATCTCATGTTACCTTTCCTGACTACACCTTCTAAAATAGACCCTCTTTCCTTCTGTCCATCTCTATTTTCAACAAATTTCTTTTTCTTCATTGGACCAGCATGTCATGTAACACATTTACTTACTCATTTTTTTTACTGTATATATTATCCTAGTACAACACAAACTTTGTGATGAAAATAAGTTGTTATTGAATGGAAATGCTTTTATTTATTTAGTAATTCAGCTATTTGTAGCAAAAACTTAGAACAAATAAATAGAAAAGTGATTAAACTAACAATAGTATCTCCATTCAACAACAAGCATTTTCTGTGGCGCTTATGTTCTAGTGGGGTAAGAGAAATAATAAGTGAGTTACTAAGTAATATATCAGGCTGGTGAAAAGTGCTATAAAAACAATTTCTATAATTTTGTGCAACTATAAATGTTCTACATATTTAAAGATAAAAATCTTCCAGTGGTCCATTGCCGCAGGGATTAATTGACATGGGCCCTATGTGTCTGGAAAGGATGATGCAATGGTCAGTGTTAAAAAAACATGGGAGGGGCCGGCCTCGTGGTGCAGCAGTTAAGTTCGCATGTTCGGCTTCTTGGCGGCCCGGGGTTCACCAGTTCGGATCCCGGGTGCGGACATGGCACTGCTTGGCATGCCATGCTGTGATAGGTGTCCCACATATAAAGTAAAGGAAGTTGGTCACGGATGTTAGCTCAGGGCCAGGCTTCCTCAGCAAAAAGAGGAGAACTGGCAGTAGTTAGCTCAGGGCTAGTCTTGCTCAAAAAATCCCCACAAAAACATGGGACAGTCTTTGTGGCTCAGTTCCTATTTGAGACCCCATCTAGAGAAGTATGTGAATAAATGCTCTATGCCATAGAAGGAATTAAGAGATAATTCTGTAGTTTATTTAAAATTAGAAATTAATGATTCATGAGGTCTAACTTTCTCTTGTTGATTTTGAATATATTGACTTTCAGATTACTAACACAACTAAAAATCAAGTGGAAAACTTATCATTTTAAAATTACATATTCACTAGGATATAAAAGAAAAATCTATTATTTGTGTTTTCAGTTTTAGGGAAAATAGCTGGAATAATTTTTGAATGACATTGCAAATAGTTTTGCCTTCTTTTTTTAACTCATCTTGGTACAGCGTCTGATAAAGTGTGATACAGGCAGACTGTGATTTCAACTTGACAGTATTTTGAACTTTATGTATTTTGAACTCTGCTAACTGACATAATTCCTAAAGTTATTTGCTTTCTTGGCAAATTATCTTTGAGAGAAACTAGAGAATCTCTGGGATGGAATGAAAATAGTCCTGCAACAGGAGCCTCACTCTGGTTCTGACCTGCAGTGTGTTCTTGGGCAAACTGCATAATTATGTAATTGCTCTTGCCTTGTCTTTCCTTCTCTTTTTGTGAATGTAGAGGTAAAACTGTGATGGAAATATAAATTTGGTTAGATCACTGATCTCCAATTTTTCCCCCAACTACTCCTTTTTATTAATTATGCTACACAGAACTCAAATTTAATGAAGATTTCTGTGGAATACATAAACTGCATGTATTATTATTAAATCAGAAGTAATTTTTTCCCCATGAATCAAAATACTTCTAGGAAGAATATAAAGTTAACCAGTTATACCAATCTGAGTTGATATTCCATCCACAAGCGCAAAAATCTCAACTTTTTAACTTCCCATGCGGCATTATTTTAAGCAAATGTAGAATTTATTTTAGTTTCAAAATATTAGAAATATCTCTTGTACCTCCATTTCCAACCTGATGGATCCTTAGAAATGTAGGAAAATACTTTTAGAAGTCTCCATATTGGATTTATAGAAGTTTTTATTTGTCTCAAAAATGTATGTTTTGTACAGTGTGCACTTTGAAAGTTGTAGGCACTTTCATATACTTGCATAATTTATGCATGCCATTTGTCTAGATATGTCCTCAAAGTGTGTGGAAGCCTCTTATCTGAAAGATGAAATGACTCTATAAGCATAGCTTTTTGGTATTTCCATGTCAAATCTTTACTTGGATCAAGATGGATATATTCACTCTATAAAAATCCAGAGATAGTGAGATTTTAGTACATAGAAGTCCAGAAGTAGAAGCTAGAATATTTAAAATAGGGGAAGAATTGCCGAGTACAGAAAAGAGCCAAGATTAGTCTTCGGACACATGAAGGCGCAAAAGGAAAACACATGGAGACACATTTTATTGAGACAAAAATAATTTCAAGCAAATTAATAAAAGTGCCCTCTTTTTCACTAAATGTTTAATAAATTTAATTACTTTCTATCTATTTAGTGTTTCAAAATCATGCTTTGAAATTTGATAAAGGTTTGGTTTCCTTAAAATTCAAACTTCTCTGCACTTGAGTAGTCCTCTATGACTATTAAGGCCCGTTTGGAAATGTGTCAGCTTGTCTGAAATTTGTTACTGATATATATTTCAGGCATGCTTATAAAAATGTGCATAGTTTGCACAAGTAAGAAATTTAAAAGTATGATTAAGATTTATGATAAAAGTTTTAATTCTTATAATTTCATAGCATTATATATTTAACAGATTTTTTCCTTTCGCTGTATTATATTTTATCCATCTAAAAGAAATTCAAGTGTTAAATCTTTAGTATAAGAAAGTTATCATATTGTCATTATCCTTCTTAAGATTTAATTACTTCCATTTATCAGATTCCCTTGAAGAAAAATATTTACATCCATTATTTCATCCCTTATTAATGATTAATCACTCCCCAAGTTGTTGTATTTTATTTTTTTCCATTAAAATGGAACTGTCCTTACGTTTCTTAATTTCTACCATTTAACTCATCATTTACATACAGCCCTCTTTCCCAGAACCTAACTTTCTCATGTAATTTATATGGCTTTCATTTACAAATCATATTTTGGCATTCTTCTCTACAATGTACACCTACACTCTAGTTCTCTGATTTCTTAATATTAGGCATCTCTACTATCACTTATATTGTTTTACCCCAAAAAGGTCATGTTTTGCTTTGATTTCTTTCAATAGTGACTTGCCATGTTTGTTCTATATTCTAAAGGATCTTGATTATTTACTCTGTCAGTTTTGCATAACTTACCTTGAAATTAGTGGGCATAATTTTCCTTCATTCTTGGCCTTCTCTTTGTCTCATCTCAACTAAAATAGCATACAGATTATTATTATGCAGATTATTAATAATTGGTAGCAAAGTATCATGAATTCTGATGAGACTTGATTTTGTGGATGTATACAACTCAAAATATAACAACAACCAATTGGGTGGTATGCACTTTATGTTATATACTAGATATTTATATACATTCTGGAAATGTGCTTTTTGGATAATTGTTTCAGTTTGCCACTTCTTCATTATTTAAGGAATATACATAATTCCAAAACATTTCAGGAAGTAAGAGATTCATTATTTAAATTTATTTGTATAATCACAAACAACTGTTGACTGAATTTTTTTCAGACTTACTTGGAATATTTCATCAATAGGTCTATTGGCCAAATAATCCTGAAGTAAAGCTTATTTGCCTCTTTTTCTTTTTTTAAGATTAGCCCTGAGCTAACTGCTGCCAATCCTCCTCTTTTTGCCGAGGAAGACTAGCCCTGAGCTAATATCCATGCCCATCTTCCTCTACTTTATATGTGGGATGCGTCCCACAGCATGGCTTTTGCCAAGCTGTGCCATGTCTGCACCCGGGATCCGAACTGGCGAACCCCGGGCTGCGGAGAAGCAAACTTGTGAACTTAACTGCTGCTCCAGTGGGCGGCCCCTTATTTGCCTCTTAAACACAAATCTATGGGCACAATTTCCAGTTCTTTATTTTAGGCAAAAGTCAATTAAATATATTTCAAAAAGTCTCATGGAAGTAGATTTTATCCAATGCATTGTATATTTAATTTCATATAACATGGGAGATGTAGCATCCCAAAATTATATAAATACCATTCTAAGCTTTATAACAGTGTTTTTCCTCTCCTTCAATTCCTCTCCTCACCTCTCAGCTCCAGGAAAAGTGGTGAATCTCACGGTGGAGGCCTTTAACTATTCAGCAGTAAACCTGATTTGGTATTTACCTCGGCAACCAAATGGCAAAATTACCAGCTTCAAGATTAGTGTCAAACACGCCAGAAGTGGGATAGTAGTGAAAGATGTCTCCATCAAAGTAGAGGACATTTTGACTGGGAAATTGCCAGAATGTAATGTAAGTATCGTGGAACACTTCTTATGTCTCAAAAATTCGAAGCAAACTTATGTCTTGAAGTTTCTGGCATCTGGATACTGTGTATTTCACAGAAAAGTTTATTATTAGCTCTTTGATTCCTTATAGTATTAGGTTATAGTATCAAGTTATACACAATTGGCTACACTCAAGGTAGAATAAGAGAAGGGTTTGAGAATTCAAGAGCGCGATATCAAAATCACTTAGGGAACCCTGGGAAGACTTCACGAATTTGAGGAGCATTAATGATGCCTTGGAGTAAGGACAGATGGAGACTGTGTGAGGGCCCCATTCTGGGTGGATACTTTATAAAGCTCTGAAGTAGCAAAGTGTTGAATTCATTGGAAAAAAGTGACTTCCATGTGACAGGAGGGAGGTGGAGGGAACAGCCAAGGTTAAGTTTATGCAAGTAGATTATTTTTGTGGTGCATTATCTTTGGTGAATTTGTTATTACTCTAGTCATTGATGGGAAGTGCCTAGAAGTATTGTAATAATGCTTTTACAAAAATAATTTTGATGATCTTTGTGATTTTATTGATGGAGAAGCAGTCAAGCAAAATTACTTTTGTTTTAAATGCTTTAAGTTATCGAAGTCTCAAAATCTTTTTAAAATTAAGATATATTTAAAATATATATGAACATGCACATATGCACACACAACATGTATTCTATTGGCTTTATCTATTGAGTACTTATGAGAACAAAAATGGTAGTAACAATAAGAGGTAACCTACGCTTGAAATTTCACAAAAGGTAAAATATTTCATCTCTTTGGCTCTTGCATTTTTACATGAATTTTTAAAGTTCTTACTAATGATTTTACTGCAGTTTTACCTTTCTTCTAAGCCATATGAAATCCTACTCATAGAAAGATTAAGGTATAAAGGATGCAATAATATATTCTTTTCTAAAATTGTAGGCAGGTATGATACTGGTATAACTATAGACAATAAATGGGTAAAATTAAAATCTAGCAAATTTGTCCATAACTTGAATTGGTAAATTAATCTGTTAAAATCTTAACCAATCATAGACATACAAACACAAATTAAGAATAATACCTGTAGTATAAAGAAAAAAATGAATTACACTTCTCATGTTCACCAACAGATACCACATTATTTCTTCATTGATGTTTATTTTATTCACTAGGAGAATAATGAATCTTTTTTATGGAGTACAACCAGCCCTCCTCCAACTCTTGGTAGAGTTACGCCTCCATCCCGTACCACATATTCATTGAGCACGTTGGCATGGAGTAAGATTAGCTCTGTGTGGAAAGAGCCTATCAGTTTTGTAGTGACACATTTGAGACCTTACACGACGTACCTTTTTGAAGTTTCTGCTGTTACAACTGAAGCAGGTTACATTGATAGCACGATTGTTAGAACGCCAGAATCAGGTATGGTTTCATCTTTTTTTGTAGGAAAAAAAGAGTTAAATTATTTATAGAATAATCTTTCTTTTTTTGTATAGATCTTTTTGTTAAGATCTTTCTTTCCTTTCAATAACTTTTTCCCTCCTAATAATAGATAACAGGCATTCCATCTGGAGCATCTCCAACTTTAATGCTTTTTTATAATACTAACAGAAGCATCCAAAAGGAGAAAGGAGGTTTGAAAGACAGGATTCTTGAGCTAATAACCACTATCCTAACATCAGCTTTCATCACTCTGTGACCTCAGCAATTTTTCAAAATCATCTCTGCCTTTCTACGTCTTCTACAGTCATCTGGACCCTTCTCTCACTGATACTGCTATTACCAAAGGTGGAGATAACACCTGCAGTAGCAGGAATATCATGTGATTAACATTTCAGTGTCAGACAGAAACAGTAGTTGAAAAATATCCCTGTTTGGTCCTCTTTGAGCTGAAATTTCCTCCTGTGAAAAATGGGGACCGTAATAGTACCTTCTTTATGGAGATGGTGTTATTATTAAATCAGTATAATTAGATATTATTATTACTACTAAATTCTAAGAATACATATTTCTAGGTATGGATATTTATATATTTAATTATGGTATTATGTCAGCATCCACATAAGTTTATATATATACAGGTATATATAAAACCATACTACATACGACCCTACTAAACATATAGTATTAGACATTCACCTGCGATTGGTAGTTTTTGCGGTCACTGGAAGCTATTACTGGTAGAGTAATTTCACTAAAGCATAGTATTTTTTCTGATCACATAGCTGTCAGGTCGTATCATTTCGTTACATATAAGTTTCTTTTTTCTTGATTTAAGTAACCATCTTTGAATCGTACTATTTCCTTCTTACATTCTCCTTACTTCTCTTATGCAATAAAAAAAAAAGAAATAATTTCATGAGGGTCACACAAAGTGAAATTTGGTAGACAAAAGTTTGATTTGAAAGAATATTTGGAATGTTTCATTTCAGTTAAAAAAAGAGTAAATTGTAGAAACCCGCCTATGAAAAATAGCCTATTTTAAATGTCATTATTTTTTGTTACTAGTGTTATATTAGAATCTTCTAACTGTAGGTGGTAAATTTCCTCTCAGAACCAAATACAAATATTGATAGAAAAAGTAAGGTCATTCCCAATATGTTCTGAAGGTTGAGTTCTTTCCTTGACCCTTCTACTGTGTACACCAGAGGAAGAGTGTTTATTAAGCCAGATACCCAGGCCTTGTTGAATGCAATATAAATGTCGCAGGACAATGTAACTATGAGGAACTATATAGGAATGAAACGCCCCGTGCGATCATGTATGGCATAAAACTAGTAATTGTTGCAAATCAGTTCATCTAATGATCCAGCATATCTTATTCAAATTCTTCAACTATATTCTATTTTTCCTTTTTTTTTACGTTAAAAGAAACTCTTTACTGTTAGTGTGATATTTTATTTTGTCTTGGACTTTGCATTTTATTATATGTATTTAATATGATGCTATTTTATTTTAAATATATATTATTTATTCATTTTTTAATAATAATTTTAGTGCCTGAAGGACCGCCACAAAACTGTATAACAGGCAACATTACAGGAAGATCGTTTTCAATTTCGTGGGACCCGCCAACTATAGTAACAGGGAAATTTAGTTACAGAGTTGAATTATATGGACCATCAGGTAAGTCTTAATTAGTTTTGTGTTACCTTTTGGAGTAAGAATTGTATAAAATATGTTACTATTATCAAACTTTTCGAAAGTATCAAATTCTTTTTTAAAGACTCTATAATTAAAGCAAAGAATAGAAAAGTAATAAGGAAGGTGAGGCTGTTTGAACTTTTTGTTTCAAACCGTAAATAAGTATAAGAGTGGCAAAACATGGTCCACGTTCCATATTTCATGAGAAGAAGATGAAAGAACAGGAGATTACCCTTCAAAAAGGGAAATGTTAAAGGAGATTAACGTCTTCAAATATTTGTACAGGAGGACCTTGACTTACCCTGATTGCAAATATATTTATGAAGAACAAAGGGCTTCAATTATATTAAATCAGATTTCTATCTAGAACAAGGAATCCCTTTCTAAAAATCAGAGCTCTCTAAAAATAATTTGGGCAACTTTATAATGTAGTGAGTTCTCCATCTTTGTGAACAAGAAAGACCTGGACATCCACTTGTCAGATATTTTGAGGGGTCAAATACTTTATTATTGGAAGTTAATTGAGTAAACTCTAAAATTCTTTCCTAGTCTGAGATCCTATGGTTCTATGAAAGGTTTATTTCAAATAGTAATGAATTAACATAAACTCACATATTATCGTTTATTTGGAAGAAAGCAAAAATAGATAAAGGGCCAAATTTTTCATTTTGAGATTACTTGTAATCTATCATGAATCACGTGAGTAACTTTTGTTTCTCATCTCGAAGTAACTTATGTTCCTAAAATTCTGAAATTTTTGCAGTTCCTAAAAAAAAAGGTAGTCCTTTTTCTCCCTCCCCTTCAATACACACACATAGAAACCAAACACACCTTTTCTATCTAGTATTATTTTCCAAGACTTTGACAAGGTACTTTTTCATCTGTGAGGCTGATAAATCAAGTAAGTTGCACCCAGTAACTATTGCATTTAGCAACATGAAGGTCATTAGTGATCTTGACACGAGCAATTATGATGAAGTATTCGGGGTAAATGCCAGATTGGAGTAGATTTAAGATAGAATGAGAGAAAAGCATTGGAGCAGTGGATAAGAGACAGCTCCTGGGTTTTTCTCCAAAGTGAAGCAGTGAATGGAAGTGGGGAGTAGGAGTGGGGATAGGCAGAATTAACAAGTTTCTTTTCAGAAGGAACAAATACAGCATGTTTATTTGCTGATCAGAATAAATAAAAAAGAAAACTTAATCATATAAGAAAGTCAAGAATTACTGGAAAAATGTCTTATGTCGGCAGAAGCTGAGATCTTTTGCTCAAGTGTAGGGATTTGTTTGAGATAATCGTCCAGATGGTTTGTCCATAGTAACAGGTTGTAAGGCAGAGTATATGGGTACAGATGCTGGTAAATAGGTAATTGTGTTGGCGGGAGTCTGTGGCAGATCTCCTTGATTGATCTAATTTTTTTAGTGTAATGAGGAATAAGACCATCAACTGGGAGTGATGATGGAGCAGAAAGTGTTTGAAGTCTGAGGAAGGAAGAGAAAGTGTAAAATAATCATCTAGAAAAGTAGAGAAGTAGAGAAAAGACTAGTGAAGTTGGGTGTGGTGCTAGGCACCATTTAGGGCTCATTTGAGGTGTGGCAGTAGTGAATAAAGTGATATCCATCAGCGCGTACTTGTGTTTTCCTTCAGCTCCCTCCAACAAGAGAAGGACAAGGGAATTGAAGGCTTATGTAAGCGATTGATTATAATTGACAATGACATTGAAGGTAGATAAAGAGTGGAAATCAAGTGGTGAGGGACCAAATAAAATAAAATAAAATAAAATAAAAGAGGTGGTAAGATCAATGGATTTGATGTCCCAATGGATACAAAGAATTATTGGTTCAGGGTTCTAGGATAAGTGAATAGGAGATAGGAAAGAGTGGTCAGAGAGAGTTGCATGAAATTGAGATTCTAGAGAATTTGCAGTTATTGGTAATAGTGCTAAGTTATGACCATGAGGGAGTGGCTGAGATAGGGTGGAGGACTACAGTATTTAAAGGGATCTTGGAGTGTTTTAAGGATTATCTCTAGGGATATTGAAATCACCACAGATTGAGATTATAGCCCTGAAGAAAGTGACATTGAAGCAGGAGCTAAATCACCCAGAATGATCCTGGGCTTGGAAGATGACTACTCAGAGATGGCTAGTGGCTGTCACTGATGACATGAGATTTCAAGTTATGAGCTTTAATAAGGAGAGAGCTGGATTGGTCTAAGACAGGCAGTGAGGAGCAAGGAGTACACATACCACACCTGAAGTCGTACGTAGTCACTTGAGGACTGTGGGGAAGATTAGACTGCCACCATTTGGGGTAGCTGCAGGGCAACAGAAGCAGTGTTCCTAGGGGAGAGCCAGGTTTCAGCAAGAGCAGGAAGCTGAAAGAGCTATTCAGAGGCAAAGTTGAGGATTTAAGGAATTTTGATGATGGATTATTTAAAGAATTTTACTCAGAAACTAAACCAGAAATATTTTCTAAATATACCTTTTTATAGAAGATGAGACTATTTAGCATTTTAATTGACTAAATTTGAGTATAAAATACTGTCATTGTTTTTATATTAGTAAACTCTAATGTCTTCCTTTTAAATGCGTCAGAAAATAGCATAGTAATTGAATAGGGCCTTATGATTCAATAAAAGTCATTTTGAACACTGAAAGATTTTCATATTGTTTCCATTGTCTTAATTAAGTTTATATGTATGCACTACTAAGCTAAATGTTTAAAATATTTTCAGTTTTGAAATTATGATAACAAAAGTTAGTGCATAGGTTAACACTTTAATTGCCATCCTTGGCTCTATACTTAAATGTGAGAATGATTACATGCTTGATCAGAAAATAATCCACAGGTATCTTTTGCTTTTTGCAGGTCGGATTTTGGATAATAGCACAAAAGACCTTAAGTTTGCATTCACTAACCTGACACCATTTACCATGTATGATGTGTACGTTGCGGCTGAAACCAGTGCAGGGACTGGACCCAAGTCAAACACTTCAATATTCACTCCTCCAGAAGGTAAGAACATCTCCTTTAATGTGCTAATGAGGTATTTTTGTTTTGCTTGTGAATTTCACTGTGTTGGTTGAACATTCTATTAGAAGCTATTTGGCTTATATTTACTTAATTTATGTTGTTTCCTTAGATTACTACCTAATATATTCTGAACATGTGTTCCTCAGAACATTAAACCCATAGCAAGCTTCATAATGAGAGGGACCGAAGATGAAGCCAGATTAGGAAACGTTACATGCAGTATCTATAACCTGTTAGAGAGTCACAATGAATGTTGGCAAAATCTCAAGAAAACTTAAGACAAACAAACACATTTAACATTGTTTAACTCGTGTTATTTAATGTAGAACATATTTTTCTTATAGAATAATGTTCAGAGGAATTCATGTCCCTAATCCTTGTAGCAAAATGTGTATATAATCAAAAGGGTGTTCTAAACAAGTGAGGATTCCTGGAAGGTGCATAATACTAATTTACCAGCATATATTGAAATTATTAAGACAGTATTTCTCCTAAAGAAACATTTTTATTTGTATATATTAAGCACATCACAGTTTTAAACAAACTATAGGGTATTAAAAAAATGTTACCGTTCCATTTCACAACATATTTTCCTGGCCCACACCAGATTGGCTAAATGTCTTCATTTATATTTAGAGATTGTAATTATTGAGAAGACAATTTTTTTACAAACACATCAACACTTGAAAAAGTTTCCAGATTTTGTTTGTGTGGAAGCTAACATGCAGTAACTTGTGAGTTAAATACACACATGTGCCTGCACACACACTCACACACACAAGATTGGGGGTGCACTCGTCAGATAAATCATTCAAGTATTTAACCGTTAGAGGGCAGCAGCTATTCAGGAATTTTGTACTTCTCCCTCTTTTCAGAGAACAATTAACCCTTGATAATATTTTGTGGTTTAAAAAACGTAAAAATTATGTTTTGTGTTAATTTCAAATGAAAATGCTAATGTATATGTAGTTTCAGTACACAGACTAAAGAAAGAGAAGCATACTCATGAGCAAGATACTCTCTTTTTTTGTATTAAAATTTTTCCATTGTGTTTCTGTGAGACTCTTAGCTCTATATGTCTTCTCCATTAGACCTTAAGTTTCTCCCCATCTCCACCCACTAAACCTGCTCTTAAGCATTTCCAAAACATGCATACAGATTTATGGATGGCTGTCAAACACAGCAGAGTGACCTGGCCCTCATCAGACTACAGCCCTTGAGTTTGGTCTTAATGGCATTTTCTCAACCAACCCAATTGACCAGCTAATTTCTATTCTTATGTTATACAATTAGATAAATTCAGAACTTCCGTCTTCTTTCAAGTCAAGCCAATTTTGGTGCTCCTCAACTGAATCCACAATTTAAGGTTATTGTTTTATTGCCATCATTCTTGGCCTACAGCATTTAACAAAACTAGAGAAATGGATAATACATTGCCACGTACAATCCCATGTTGTTTATTTTGGATATTATTTAAACGTTCATTTCATTTTCTTTATTTCTGCACATTTTTATTGACAAAATAATGAGAATTTTAAGACATTGTTCAATATATTTCACACGGGTTATTTTTCACACCAAATTATTTTGGGTAGATGACTCTGTTTGCCTTATATAACAAGCAATTTATCCTGAGTTTTGTCCTACTGCCTTCCTGAGCTACTCACCATATAGACCACAACTAGGTGGCTCTCAGGAGGACCCACTGGCAACAGGTGCACTCCAGTAAGGGGAGGAGTGGCATGGTTCTTACCTCTGCCTGCCAGCCTTCATCTGTGGAGTTCTCAGGGGATCATTCAGCCTTATGAGGGCTTCAATGGAATGCTGTGGCAAATGCAGTGAATGTAGCTTCTACTCCGATACCACTAATTAATCCTGGTCCCACTAATGAAAACTTTGCAATAAAGGAATCTTTAAACCATATGAGAACAATCTAATAACTCATTAGGACTATAAACTTTCAGTTAAAATTGATATCTTAATTTTAGATTGTTCGTTTTCATTCATTAATACAACAGGGCTCTTGTATTCTAATTGAAGTTATTCAATTTATTTTCTTCTCCATGTTTAAAAGTCGTCTATAGCCTAGATAAAAATTAATTAGGGTCAGCTTTTAAATTAATATCTTTTAAAACAACTGGGATTCTAACAAATATCCAGATATTTATGGAAAAGTGGAATTGACCTCTTATAGAAAATGATATGTGCTGTCACATTATAATGGAGCTGATTTCATTAACACATAGAGTGCTACGGTCCATAGTCTACCTTGATTAGATTATCAAGGAAATCAATATCCTGTTGTTATAACATTTATCCTATATATTTCATGAGGTTCCTATATATCCCTTAATATTTTACTGAGTAGATTTCTACATAGGCATGAAGAAGAGATGAATTTGGAAAAAACTGATAATTTAATAATCTCCAGTGTTACGAAAAGTCGTAAAGTTGCCTATTTGAAAATGAGGCAATACTGCTGAATACAACATATGCAACAACGTTTTCTTATTATTTGCATGGGTGTTAAAAAATCTTAGTAAACTTTGTTACTTCAAGATCCCCTAAAATTTTTCTGCCATAGCGTCAAATATCTTTTAAGGGAGTTACCATCATTTCTTAAAAGCAAACAAAGTATTGAAATCCATATTTACTCTTTCATAAATAGATCATGGACATGAAGAGCTTGTCCTCAGTGATTTTAACTTGCTACTTTCTGCAAATAGTGGTAAAATCTTGGTAGAGAAATCACTGAGAGGCTGTCAGCTTTGTGTTTTTCAGGATTCTCTATGACTTTTTTTTTTTTTTTAAAAGATTTTATTTTTTCCTTTTTCTCCCCAAAGCCCCCCGGTACATAGTTGTGTATTCTTCGTTGTAGGTTCGTCTAGTTGTGGCATGTGGGACGCTGCCTCAGCGTGGTCTGATGAGCAGTGCCATGTCCGCGCCCAGGATTCGAACCAACGAAACACTGGGCCGCCTGCAGCGGAGCGCGCGAACTTAACCACTCGGCCACGGGGCCAGCCCCATATGACTTTTATTTTTTGATAGATTTTTTTCAAAATGCATTTCTAGTGGAAATTGAATTTGCTAGATAGTGGCAAAATTGTTTTAATATATTTTCTTTGTTCCAATGCCATTTGTCTCTATTTCATTTTTTAAAATAGTTACTTGTTTGAAAACTTTAAATCATTTGGATATATTTTACCAATCATATGTCTACTCTGTTTCTCATTTATTCATAAAATTTATAGATGTATTGACTTGAGAGTGATTCTTAGGTAGTCCCTGTGGACAACACCCTGAGAATTGATGCTAAACCATGAATAATTGTCTTGTGTGTTTGATTTTCTTTAGTTAGCTTGGTATCAATATTAAAGGAGTTTGATCTAATCCACACTTCTTTGGTTTCCCCATAAGAATTTGTGGTTTAACAGATCAAGTATCTTTCTAAAGACAAGATACGATGCTGTCTACTCCATTTCCTTTATTCCCTAAGCTTTTCCTTATTTCATAAAAAAAGAGATAAGTTTACAGTCATTCTTACAAAGTTTGTGTATATTTTTAGGGTAATACAGAACCGCTTAATCTTTACTTGGATTGTAATTTTAGGCATTAGTGTAATGGGGCAGTATTTACTAAGTTACACTGAAAAATACCTTATAAATTAGAAGGTAAACAGTATCTGCTACTACTCTTAGGTTTGGCAAACAAAATAAGAGACAGTAAGGTATTTGTTTTTTCTGCTGTACTGGATAATTTTTGGTATCTTGGTGCGTTAATGTGTTGCTCCGAATGGAACTGACCATTTTAGTTATTTTATAGGGGGCAGGGTTTAGTTGCCTAGTTAATCTGATCAATGTAGTCGTTAAACTGGCTTCTTCAGTAGAGATTCTACATGAGAGTTCAAATTGGATGGAAAAATGCCAGATCTCTTCTATGATTTATGTTATGCAATACCGACTAAGGCTTTGTCAATTAGTGACTCCAAAATAAAATGTAAAAGAAAGGTGGAATGGGAGCTTTGCCATCTAAATGACTATGTTATTTTCACACTACAAGATTAATTGGAAAGTTCCTTCACTCTTGAGAAATGTGTATTGGTAAATAAGATGATAGAAACATAAGCTTTAGTAATGATGTACGTCAACGAAATAAAATTTGTGTAAGACATGACCTTCGGAGAGGACTTCATCTGTCTTATTTTTCCCTCTATCCTCAAGCACCTAGAACAGCGACTGTGTGATGAGTGCTCAGTCTGTGGAATGATGAAGGCGACAATCAGGATTGTGGGGTCCTAGCCTAGAACTCTTCCTCCATTCTTCAAAGGCTGAACTGTGTTTTTCCTTTAGATTGGAACCACTGTGGGGAAATCAGTCTAAAGAGTTATCCTTCCATGTAGAAATGTACCAAAATGTTTTTAGAATAGAAGATTCAAAGAATTAGCAAATTGCAGGTGTATCCATGTTATGTTTGTCTCCCAGTTTTGAGCACAGGTTTTACCAATGCTGGACGCTTAGAATCTTGACTGCAATAATTAAATAGTACGCTCTTGGGCCAGAATGACTTATTCATCCATCTAGCCATTAACTCTTCAACAGACATGAGGAAATATTTATATTGTTAAAATATCTAGGGTTTTTTTTTTTATTGGTTAGTTCATAGGGACAAAGAAAAAAAAACCCTCTTAATCTATTGGATGAAAACTCCATAGAGTTTACTACATGATTAACTTAAGTGTAATTAGGTTCACTAATACTAAATGATATTTATAATAGTTGTGACATTAATTTTCTATTCCTTTCTGTTATCTTAAAGGGGAATGGAGTCATTTTTCACTTGTAGTGTACTGCTGATGTGTCTCTCTTCCAACTGTAATTTGCTTAACCTACGCTATTGTCAACTATCTCAGCTGAGAGAAATGAATTTATTGTGTTACCGCATCCTAATCATAAGGGACAATATTTTTATATCACATCTGCTCTTTCTTGAACTAACATTTTATAAATTCTCTTGAACCATTTGTTCCTTCAATAACCTTATATAGTAAGAGGAAAAATGTAATTATACCCATTTTATAGATAAGGAAACTAAAGGTGAAGGGGTGCACTGGCTATTCAAAATCACACAGTGAGCATGAACTAAAAGTGGACAGAAGCCCAGGGCATGTGTAGTCTCGATCCACTCTTCCTGAGGCACTGGGAGGGCTCCTAGACGTTGCCCTTGGTGACTTTATAACTAGAATTTGTTTTAGGTACTTGGTGCTTTATCTTAAACCAATAGTTAGTTTTTTCCTCTTTTTTTTTCTTTTACTGCTACAAAGAGTGAGAGCACTTGAAATTTGAGACTAACGTAATTAATTTGTAAAATCAGCAGACAAAAATCAATCAACTCTTCAAACAATTTCATCTAATAAATTAAAAGATGCCTTAATTGAATTTACCAGCTACATTTCATTGCCTTCAAAGTCTTCTGGTTATTATTTGATATGTTGTCATAATTTTTATAAAGCTTTCAAGGTTTCTGCTGGACATTAATCATCCATAAATAACTTTCTCTGGGAAGTAATTTTTATTAATTTGTTTTGAATGAATGTTATGACATTTTGATTTGGGGAAATTATTCCATGTTATCCTATTTCTTATGTATGTTTTTGAGAACAATGTGTAGAAATTTAACTTTAAATATCTGTGTGTTTAAAGAATCTTGTACGTATTTAATTGTTAACAAATTAGTAAATTGTTTTAGGCTACTTTGTAATAGAATTGCTTATGTATCTTAAATCACGAATTAACAATTTAGGGAAGTTTTAAAAATTTGAACACATAGTTTTAGATTTCCCCTCTTTATTCTCTTTTTTAGTTCCAGGTGCAATATCTGATCTAGAAGCTGCAGCAGTAGAAGCCACACAAATAAGAATTACTTGGAAGAAACCACGACAGCCAAATGGAATCATTAACCAATACCGAGTGAAAGTACTGGTTTCAGAGACAGGAGTACTTTTGGAAAATACTTTGCTCACAGGAAAGGATGAGGTATTGCACTTTCCTTTACCTCTGGGTGAGCCCTTTCTCCCTGGTTCTGGCCCTGATAACATGGAAGATTTGCAGCACTCAAATGTAAAATATTTAGCAAGCTTCATAGTACAAAGTGAAGTGAATTTAGGCCCTGTTGATAACCTGGCTCAATCAACATTCCATTTTAGGACATATATGTCAGTTAAGTGCTATTATTCTTTTTCAGCATATGAAATGTTAATTGAGCAATTAGGCAGGAGTAAAGGTTCTTCCATAAGTCGATATTATTATGGTAATTAAGTTAATAAATTGTTTGGAAACTCCTGTTATGATTTAAATACTCGTTCTAGGGATGTGCCTGAAATTTGGAACAGTTGGCAATGAAAGGTACTGTAATTTTAGTAGCTGTTATTGACAAATGATTTGTCCTATTTAGTCTTAGGAAGATACATTTTTCAAAGCTGCCTCATTGAAAAACAAAGTATATTTGATTAAAGAAATCAAACAACCAAATACAAGAGATGAAGTCATTTCACAGCTATAAAATAACACTGTGTGCTTTCTTCTGTTCACACTGGAAGTCTTGATTTTTCCCTTTGTTTCTGTTAGGAAGTTCAGGCATCAACGATTTCCTTCCCTGTCTTCATTCACCCCACCCTGTTCACCTGTGAGCACCCTCTGAGCCTCCAGAACAGTCATATCCAGACATTGGCTGCTCCTGGGGCACACGAGAAATGAGTGTACTTGGGACCAGAGAGTGCAGCGCATCGCTGGGCCTGGGAGGCCCTGCCTGATAACCATCAGCAATTGGTTCTCAGTGTTTTGGTCCAGAATCACTGCTTCTTCTAGCAGGGCTGTTATTTTTCCCAAAGGATATTGTCCACTCTCTTTCTTGTCCCAGCCTTCCTCCATTTCTGGCACCCACCTAAACATTGACCTTACTGTGTGCTCTGTGCATTCTGGTCACCCAGGACTTATTACTCCAGGTTGTTCAACATCTCCAGCCCAGGGTTAAATTTTAATCTAACGTTGACTCCTTTCGTCTCTACAAAAGATTTTGAGTTATGCTTTCTCTGATACTTTAGTTGACAACTCAGGCAAAGGGCAGAAGCTTAACCTTTTGCTCCTGCTGAGGTCTTAAGTTAGATACTTCATTTTTTTAGGATTAGGTGGCAGGTTTCCCACTTCTGCTGATGACATCCATTGAATGGCCAGCCACACCTGTTTTTCTCTTGAACCGAGAGGTTCCAGAAAGTCTTCTTTGCGATTCTGCCTCTGTCTATATGATCTGGTACCCTTCTGACATCGTAGAGAGAATGTAAGCTTCGGAATCATATGAATCTGAGTTTACATTCCTGATTTGGTCACTTCCTGGGCTGTACAGCAGAGGGGTTAAGCATGCCGACCCAGGAGACGGAATGCTTGGGTTTAAACCTTGGTTTTGCCTTTACTGATGGTTTAACCTTGGGAAAGTTGGCCTTACCTTCTGAACTTCAGTTTTCTCTTCACTAGGATAGAGATTATAAGCGTCTCTATAACAGAGGATTGTTAATGAGGACTTAATGGGTTAATGTATTTAAAGAGCTTAGAGATATACCCAGCATGTGGTATGTGCAGTGCTAAATCATTGAAAGCTGTTGCAATTATTAATCATGGCACTGGACCTTTCACCCTGGTTGGCACTCGCTGTTAGCCTCCTTATCTTCTCTCACTAAAAGGAGACATTATACTTCTTTTTATTTCTGTGATGTTATCTTTCTTCATTAGATCAGGCCCATTCTTGATATTTCTGCTTCCCCATGTGACCAGTGTTTGGGTTCATCTTTCAGGAGGTTAATGTAGGGAGACAGATATGGCAGACTCTCTAAAGCCAAATGGACTGCGGTCCTAGCCCCAGCTCTGCTCTTTTCTGGCTCTAAGACCTTAGACAAGTCAACTTTTGGAGATGGGGTGCCCTCATTTTTAAAGCAGGGCTCATATACAGGGTGAGGAGTAAAGGAGATAACAGGTAAAACCTCTGGTTTAGTGTATTCATTTCTTATCCTTTTCCTTGACCTTAGTACAGGATAAGACTCTTTCCTTCTATTCACTCTTCATCTTCTCCAAGTGTAGCCTCCACACCCTGTCTCAAGAATTCTTTAAATTCTTGAATCTTGTTAGAAGTCACCAGTGACCTCCTACGTGTCAAATAAGGTGCTTATATATTTTTGACTGTCTTCATCTTCCTTGTATCCTCTAAAATCCATCCCTCTGCCCCACTCTCTCCAGCCTTTTCTTTCTAATGCTTCCTCCACTTTCATATCCTGTGACTGTGCAAAATTTTGGCCTTGTACAGTGAAAAATGGAGATAAAAAAGCTCTCTCTCTCTTTTACAATTTCCTAACTCCTTCATGATAAAGGTATTCCAGAGAGTTCTGTTTTCAGCCATCTCATTGCACCTCTTTGGATGATCTCACAGTTTCAGTTGCTGCTTTCTAACTGCATGACCTCTTTTGTTTTTCTTTCCACGCTGATCTTTCTCTCTGCATTCTTAATTACAGCCATTTGTGGGGAAGTTCTGCCAGGGCTCATCACATCTAAGCTCATTTCCCCCCACAAAACAAAACAAAAGTCCTTTTTGGGATAACAAGGTTTGGTTCATGATCTGCAGGAGGAGATAAAGTTGGGTTGAGGAACAGATACCAGACTGAGATCCTGGGACAGTGATGGGGACCTGTGAATGTTACCATGGGACACACAAGAAGAAAGTCTGTCCAGGCAATTAATAGTTTCAGTGGTCAAGAACAAGGCCTGGAGAGAGGCTGACTTGAAGCCTAGATACCAAATAACAGGCTTAGAATTCTCTTAGGACCCTTTGGACTGGGCACACCACAGATCTCTGACCTGAAGGTCATTGTCTAAGCGTTTGGAAGAGGTTTATGGCATTTTTATATGCCTGATGTCTCTCTTTTTGGATAATGACACCGTTATCCTCTCTGTCATCTTGTCATGAAGGCTTGAAACCTTGGGATTACCTCTGACTTTGGTAATATTTAACATTCAATAACCACTCAATGTTAAGGCCAGTTTTTTCTACCTCCAAAATGTGACCTTCATACATCTATATTTTATTCCTTTGTCCCCATCCCAGCTCAGGATTTCACAGTCTCTAGCCTGGACTATTGCTGTTACCTAACTACATTAGTTTTCCGTTGTTGTATAACAATTCGCCACAAACTTGATTGTTGTGTAACAATTTGCCACAGGCTTAAAACAACTCACATTTGTTATCTCACGGCTTCCGTGGGTCAAGAGTCCAGCCAGTTTAGATGGATTCTCTGCTTAGGATCTCATAAGGCTGCAATCAAGGGGCTGACTGTGCTATGTTCTCATCTGGAGGCTTCACTAGGCAAGAATCCATTCCAGGCTCACTCAGATTTTCAGCAGATTTACTTTCCTTTTGACTGTAGAACTGACAGCCCTGGCTTCTCGCTGGATCTTTGACTGGAGACTACTGTTATCACTAGCTCATAGAGGTCTCCTACAGTTTCTTGCCACAAGAACTTTCCCAAGACAGCCATTTACTTCATCAAGCCAGCAAGGAGAGTCTTTATAATGGAATGTAATCATGGGAGTGATATCCCATCACCTTTGCCTTATTCCACTGCTTACATGCAAACCGCAGTTCCCACCCAAGAGGAGAGGATTATACAAAAGCTTGAACAACAGAGGGAGGGATAACGGGGGGACCACCTGAAGGGCTATCCACAGCACCCACCCACCCCACTACTTTATATTTCAGGTATCTGTTAGAATAATCCTTCCAGATTTAAGTATATTATTTAAGTTAGAAAAGTAACCAAATAACAATTGAGAACAGATAGGGAAGGTGAGTATATATCTATTTAAGTAATCTAAGGTCTCACTGTTGTAGCAGAAAGTCACTAGATAGTGTCTAAAATAAGTGAGTCTTGGCCGGCCCATGGCTGAGTGGTTAAGGTTGTGGGATCCGCCTTCAGCGGCCCAGGGTTTGGTCAGTTCCGATCCTGGACATGGACATGGCACTGCTCGTTAAGCCACGTTGAGGCAGCGTGCCACATGCAATGACTAGAAGGACCTACAACTAAAAATATACAACTATATACTGGGGGAATTGGGGGAGAAAAAGCAGGGGAAAAAAAAAAAAGAAGATTGGCAATGGTTGTTAGCTCAGGTGCCAACCTTTTAAAAAAGGAAAATAAATAAATAAATAAAATAAGTGAGTCTTAACAAAGCAGTTTAAGCATATTATTTACTGATTTTAGAGGTAAATACCATAAGAACTGAAAACAGAAATGATTAAAAGTTTTACTTATAATAAATATCAAATCATTATGTTGTACACTTGAAAGTAATATCATGTTATATGTCAATTATATCTCAATTAAAAATAAATAAATGCTCCCAAAATCTCAAAAAAGAGTGCTGCTTCTGGAGAGTATGACTTGGAGTTGGAAAGGTGTGGACAGGGAACTGATCTTTGCATTGTGGCTCCTCCACACCTCGTGTTTTCCTTAGCCGTGTGCATATCTCATTATGATGAAACTTAAAAACAAAGTGTTAAAACATAATCGCCCCATGCTAGGGCTTGATCTGATCTTATTGCTCTTATTGAAATTTTTTTCCAGTGACTCTCGTGATTTATTTATTTCTTAATAAATAGACGTTACTTAAGCATGCTGAAATATGTATACGATTTTACTTTCAATATTTAAACAAATATTTGAAAAGATACATTAGAAAATTTAATCTCAGACTTTGAAGACTTTTATTTCAACTTCCAAACTTATATATGAATCTCTTCTATAACAGGCCTGATAAATGGTTGGGAATACCAGTCTCCACTAAAATATTTGATCAGCTCTGATAATAGGGCATCTACTACCACAAAAGCAACTCCTACTGTATAAGCTTTAAAACAGGTTTCTCTATGGTCTCACAGACATGTATTTATTAAGCAACTATAAAGTTTCGGGTTAGGTCCAGAAAATACGTAGATGAATAAGAAACTGCCCTGTCCTATAACTGTTTTGAACTGAAATATTTGTCTCTAATGTTTACTAGTTTGTCCCATTCCTTCTCTCTAGACTCGCACAATAGATGATCGTGGCTCTGAGCTTGGGATTTGCAACCAGGGAAATGTGTCCCAATATTACCTCTGCTATGACTAGTTTTATGAACTTGAACAGATGACTGTAAAATGAAGATGGTAATATCTATCTCTTTGGGCCATGATGAAGTGATATCACATGGGGAAAAGTATTTAGCATTGTATTTGACACATAGTAGCTTTAAATGCTAGTCTTCGCAGTAGTAACAACAACATGCAATGATTTAACTTTTTATCATTTGAAGACAATGGTCATGGTTTCCCTAAGGCTTAACATCCTCAGTTTCTTATCAGTCATGGTTTCCAGGTCCTTCATATTATTGATTACTCCCCTGTGTATATTTTCCAGTTTGTCAGTGAGCCCCTTCCTCAGCCGAATGCAAGATCCCATGTGTAGTTTGATTAGAGCCAGATTGAGCAGAATTACTTTTCTCCTTTGCTGTAAATTTCCTACTTCTATCAATGCAAATAATAAGCTTAATTTCTTTGGGAGACGTATTCCACTGAAGTCTGAAAACCCTGAAGTCATCTCTCCATAGACTGCTCTTTACTTGAACTTCACACTCAGATCTCATCCTGTACTTGTTCGTCTAGTAAAACTCGGAGACGTTTTCTTCCCGAAGATACCATCTTGCTGCTTAGTGTTAGAAGTTTCTGAGATTTGTACAGTTACATCTTTTCATCCAGCATATTTCTCAAGCGTATCAGTGTTTGTTACTGGTGAACGTGAGAAGAAAGACAGCTAAATGCTTGGCATTGCCAGGGAATGAGGCTGAGGACAGGACTCGAGAGTAGTTTAGGAAGGCTTGAGGTGAGTTTACTTTACCGAGCATTAGGAACAGAAGCAGAGTCAAGCCTTAAGGATTTGTCACCCAAATAATGAGCAGAAAGATACCGTATCTGTTAGGAGCTTTCCAAATATATGCTAATGGCAAACTTTTTACCATTGCTTGATAGCACAAATCATGTTATAATCTATAATAAAATATAGAACCATTCCTATATTTTATTAAGAATTTATTCTATATTAAGGATAAGTCAAATTTTTCATTGATTCAATTCAGCAGACTTTCAGTGAGTCTAAATTGATATAATAGTTATTTTTTTAAATAAAATCACATTGGCTAAAATGAAGATTATTACACATAGAATTAGGTTGGTTTATTTAGGTGGATTAGGAACTTAATTCTGAAGACTTCTAACTCTTTCGCATAAATTCCAAAGATTCCTGGGTAGCATATGAGAGGCCTTTCATATTGATGAATTGTGACATTCCCTAACTCAATCCTTCTCAACCAGGGGCGATTTTGCTCTCCAGGAGACATTTTTCGTTGTCACAACTAGGAAGATGCTTTTAACGTGTAGGGACCCGGGTTGCTGCTAAATTTCCGACAGTGCACAAGACAGCTCCCTATAGCAAAAAATTATCCAACACAGAATGTTAATAGTGCTGAGATTGAGAACCCTGGACTAACTCAATGAGTCCAAAACTTTTGGGAGTTGTGATGGGCCTTTTTTCCTTTCAGTTTCCCTCATTTCCACTCCTGCTTCTCTCAGCCCCTTCCCATTCCTCTCTTCAGTTCTGATTCTTCCTCAGCATTTTTGTTCTTAAAATTATTTCTTTTTCATTCTTTGAAAAACCTAATACCTAAAGAGGCAAAGTGTGAGAAATATTCACAACAAGGCACACTTGGTGATAATTAGTAATATTCTGGATTGTTCTGAAACTAATGTCAAATCATTGCCCTAGTTAGGGAGGGTCTTTCCAATGAATACCAGAATTTGGAAGGAATTCAGATAGTCAGCATCACTCAGGTCAACTCTTAGATTGAGACAGCAGTTTGTCAACAGAGGTGCTTAACTTAGTTAATTGATGGGATGCCATGGTTTAACTCTCAATAATTTATCTGACATGAGGTATGAAATATTGAGACATTTAATGCAAAAATCATATTCGAGGGGGAAGTTCTTTGTACTACCTCATTGTACCTTCTATAGGGCTTTGTAGGCAGTAGGTTCTCAAAGGGTGTCTGATTGATGGTGGAAACAGCTGTGTGGTTTGGACATAAACTATTGACTGGAATACCAGAGCATCTCTGAATTATGTGTTTGTGATTCATGCCCACTTTGCTTTCCCTGTAGAGGCAGAGCTGGTGTGCTGTTGGAAGATACAAGATCTTTAGTTTGTCCCATATAAAGTTCACTATCTGGAGTTCTTTATCACATTTTTAGAGTAAATCTTACGGGTGTCCCCCTGCATTTCATCACAATACTTTTCTAGCTAAAGATGTAACAAGATTTAGATAATTTTACTTTATAAATATTATTTGGGGAACTAGAGATTTCCTTGGATCTTTTCTCCATTCTTTTATGTCTCAGAAAAGTTAATATTTAAATGACTTCTCTTTGTAGATAGTTAAATAAGTAAACTACCTTAAAATTTCTTGCCTTCCTGAGGTTTTTTTCCTATCTACTATTTTTTAAAAAATAGTAAGTTCTTTGTGTTAATAAGGAATAAAAAAAAACCTGTTTTTAGCTCTAGGAGTAAAGACAACCCAAAAACATGTAAGATAATTGAAAGACTGGTGTACCAAAACTTATAAATAAATAAAACCTGTATTATGAATTAATTATAAATTCTGAGGGTACGAGAGCAGGGAATTGAGAAGGAATAGAATAATTTTATTTTTTTAAAAAAAGATTTTGGAGGTGAGTTTGAAGCAGAACTTGAAAAAGAATTGACCAAAAAGACTGTTGTTCTGGCAACACTTTTTTTCAAAACTATTTTATTTTGGAAAATTTCAAACAGGTGCAAAAGTAGGTAAAAGCATCTAATGGGCCCCTATTTACCCATTACCTAGATTCAATAATTGCCAACATGCTATCATTCTTGCCTCAGCTGTCTCCTGTTGTCGTTGGTGCTGCTCAGATGTATTTTAAAATAAAGTACAGACTTCACCTCATTTTGCTCCTACATGCCTAAGTACGAATCTCTATAAAACATGGACATTTAAATTCCTTCAATAATTCCATTATCGCAACTAACAAAATTACTAATGTTGTCTTGGTATCATCTAATACCGAGACCATATTCAAATTTCCCTGATTGTCTTCAAAGCCTACGTTGACAAGTATGTTCTAATCAGAATCTAAAGTCCACACATCGCATTTGATTGTTAAGTCTCTTAAGGCAACATTTTCTTTGATTAATGTTTAGCCTCATTTCCAACGTTGACAATCTACACAAAATATCTAATATTATTTGGCCAAAACACATTTTTCTCATTCTCTTTCAGTCAGTTATGCTGTGTGCAGAGGGAGAAGGGGGACAGTCATCTTTTGTCCCAACATAAACCTCTACTGTATATATCTGTAATCTGCTCGTGATGTTTTCACTTCGGTGTTTACCATTTTGGTGAACTTGACTTGTCTGAAGTACATTATGGGATCTAGGAACAATCAAAGTTACCTAAAATATTCCTTAAGTCCAGAGCCTTGGGCAGGTCTTCCGTGATCCCTATTTGAAAACTATTCCCATGCAGTTTGCTCATGTCTGTGACTTCACTTGATTTTAGATGAATTATTGTTACTGACATGTATCAATAATGCAGGCATGCAAGGAAGCTATATAGACAGCAAAGCAAAGCACATTTTAATAAGGCAGTATGCTTAGAACACTTACTTTTTTGGGGTGAGCAGTTAAAATATTTTAGTCATGAAACCTTTACATAAGTGTGTCTAATTTTACCAGAAAGAAAGTAACTCAAGTCAAAAACAAATATCTACTTCTTCCCACAATACAGTATTGGTCTCTTAAGGTATAGGAGTGATCACAAGGTGTTACAATAATGCAGGATTTTAGTAGCTTCAGAATGACGTCTTGGAATGTAATGAAGATAAATGTCATGAAAATAATATTATGTTTTAAAAAACTGTGATTCTAAAATTACTGGTTTTTTAAACTAGTACTTGAGTGAAGCCATTATTAAGTGTAGCTGTCAAAAATGGTCTCTGTAAATATCTAATTTTAATTGCAGTATATAAACGACCCCATGGCTCCAGAAACTGTGAACACAGTAGAGTCCATGGCAGGATTATTTGAGGGTTCAGCAGAGATGTCTTCTGACCTGTACTCGCTTGCTTCAGTTATTTATAACAGTCATCCACATAACTTTCCCGCGGGGAATAGAGCTGAAGACCAGCATTCAACAGTTGGTAGGTACATTTTTATGCTCTGTGAAGTATATTTCAACCGCCAGCTAGCTGTACTAGCCAGCACAGAGGTGAACCTTAGCTTCGAGTTCAGCCAAATTATTGATGGTTCATGGGCTAGAGTCAGATTTTTTTCTTTAACTGTCGGATAACCTTGTGCAGCAAATGGAAATGCCACACAGGCGGGAGCTGGCCCCTCCTAACCCGTTTGACCTTCCTCCTAGACAAAGTAGCACCCTAGAGTCTCTGGCCAAGCTGCATAGACAATCAGTTATTACAGTTGCCAAAGCAGGTGTGATGGGAAGGGATTAACATATCTTCAAATCATTTACAAGCCTCGCACTCTCTGCAGCTTTTGACTAATAGGTTTTCAAATGTCACTAAAGGTAAATAGGTCAGAAAGTTACAACTCCAGTGCATGGGGTGATAAACAGGTGTAGGTGACCCAAGGACGTGGTGATGTCATTAGTGTATACACTTGCTCTTCGGGGTCAATGGATCTTATTGTTTCTAAAAGGAGAATGTCATATGGGGCAAATTAAAAATACTTGGTTAGAGGACACAGATCTAAATTCTCTCTCTGGTTTTTCTAAAATGCTAAGTGAGAAGAATATTTTTTTCGTTGTCTTTTCTCTGATTTGATATTAGTCCCATTCACATTAAAAGTGTTATATTATTTTACTGATGATATAAATAGTCAAAAATATCACATTACATTCTATATATGTTTATTTCATTTACTGATCTGTTTTCCTGCACAGAGAGGATTGAAGGCAAGGCTCAAATTTAACAGGTCCACGATTTCTGACACAGATGTTTCCTTAAATACTTCAAGTTTGGCATAATTGCTAATTGACATTGTTGGAAGCACGAGTTCTAAATAAATTAAAAAATCTAACATTATTTGAAATCCTTGTTCAGACCTATTTATGTGTCAGTTATCCAAGCATGCTTGCTTGAAAGCATTAATGGACTTAGTAAAGGCATGGTGAATTTTGAGTCCAAATAAAAGTCTCATTTCTATAATTTTTCATACTATAACCTAACATTGACTTATAATATTTCGATTTGATATTATTGCCTAATTGTCTCTTAAGAAAAAATCCCTAGCCAGTATCTTTTAGAAGGTTATATTTTCTCAAAACTGGAATCTCACGTTCCAGGATAGTGTTTAACAACCAGCAAAACTATATTATGAGCACAAATATAGATACTGTTGGGGGATATTCAGCATATCTATTATTAATTATATAGATACCTTTCATATCAAAGAGACATGGAAAAATTAATGAATAATGTGAAATCGGGTTTAAAATTTCACTGTGTGAGCAAAAGTGATTTTGATTGTGAAGGTAAGCACATTTTTTTTAAAAAAAATATGATTTCCAGTAGGAACTACAAGGAATCAGTATATCACCGACATTGCTGCCGAACAGCTGTCTTACGTTATCAGGAGACTTGTGCCTTTCACTGAGCACATGATTAGTGTATCTGCTTTCACCATCATGGGGGAAGGACCACCAACGGTTCTCAATGTTAGGACAAGTGAGCAAGGTAAGAATGTATTTCCTTTGAAATAATTACCTGCAAATATTGCTTTTGCACATTGTAATAACTTTTCCTTTCATTCATATTAATTGTTCATTCTTCTTTTCAAGTGCCAAGCTCCATTAAAATTATAAACTATAAAAATATTAGTTCTTCATCTATTTTGTTATATTGGGATCCTCCAGAATATCCCAATGGAAAAATAACTCATTATACAATTTATGCAATGGAACTGGACACAAACCGAGCCTTCCAGATGACTACTATAGATAACAGCTTTCTCATAACAGGTAGAAAACAGTTGTTGTTGTTGTTGTTAACATTCCTGTTCTGATGGAAAATGCACATCCCTGTAGGCCTGAAACACTGCAGGACACGTGTGGCATCATTCCAGATTTTGTTGTGCTATGCTGCCATGGATATCTTGAAAAACACTTGCAGAAATAACTTGATTGAGTGTGTTTTCCCTTAACTATACTTATCCACAAAGAAATAAAATCATCAGATCACATGTACCATAGGAATATACTTAACCCAGGGAATTTTATGTCTGGTTCGTGGAAATAACTCAGTATTGAAGGCTTGAATGAACGTATGTAAAAATCAGCTGAAGGAATTCAGCTGACATAGTGTTTGTGCCAAGTCAACTATTTTCCTTGCAGTGTGCCAAATATTACTTTTCAGCCTCAGATTATCACCTTAGTATTTTAGGAAAGAACTAAAACATCGTCAACATGGAGTCCCTCAGCCCAAGGAATTTTGGGAGATTGGGATTATAAGTAAGCTAATTTAGAGAGCCAGTCTCCGAAAGAAATAATTTTCACTCGTCCTGTGTCAAATGGCACTAATCCCAGAATGTTATTTTAAGGACTTTAAACAAATTGCCTGTTGTCCTTATAGGGTTAAAGAAATACACGAAATATAAAATGAGAGTGGCTGCTTCAACTCGTGTTGGAGAAAGTTCTTTGTCTGAAGAAAATGACATCTTTGTGAGAACTCCAGAAGATGGTAAGAATATCAGGTGCAGTTTAAGAAAAAGAATCAAGTAGTGTTACGTGTTTACTGCCTTTAGTGTCTGAAGCAACAGGCATGAAAAAAACCATGTATTTAAAATTTGATTTTCTTCCCCCAGAACCAGAGTCATCACCTCAAAATGTTGAAGTTACTGATGTTACTGCAAGTGAAATAAGTTTGAAGTGGTCACCACCTGAGAAACCCAATGGGATTATTGTTGCATACGAAGTGCTCTATAAAAATATAGATACCCTATTTATGAAGAACACCTCAACAACAAGCATAAGTTTAAGGGACTTAAAACCTTACACCCTCTATAACATTTCTGTAAGATCATATACCAGATTTGGTCACGGTAACCAGTTATCATCTTTACTCTCTGTAAGGACTTCTGAGACTGGTAAGTGTTTTGTTTGTTTGTTTAATAATTGGGCCTGGCTTGGTAGTGTAGTGGTTAAGTTTGTGGGCTCTGCTTCAGCAGCCCAAAGTTTGTGGGTTTGGATCCCAAGCACAGACCTACACACCACCCATCAGGCTGTGTTGTGGCAGCATCCCACATACAAAATGGAGGAAGATTGGCATAGATGTTAGCTCAGGGCCAATCTTCCTCACACACACACAAAAATAGCATAATAATGAAGTAAACATGGCTGACAACTGCCATATTGTTTGTATTTTACGTAAGCTAAAATTTCTTATTATTCTGTTTGTATAATCCAGGAATTTGCTCTTTCTGCTAAAGTATGGGAAAAGTTATGCTATACCAATTTTTAGAGTCTGATTTACATATAAGGGAACTCCAAAATAAAAATAAGTGATGTTTTTTCAAATGAAAGACCTTGATAAACCAAAGATCCTTTCAATGTACCTGCAAATTTGGGGTTGAGTAACTGCTTACCTTCAAATTCGGTAAAAGGAGAGACATACCCATAAGAATAGATTCCTACACTCTAACGAGGCATGAAGATAGATAGAGGCCCAGAGTGGGGGCACACAGAAAGGGCATGCCTGGAGAAGCCTTAGAGAGGAGCTAGCATTCAACCTTGATCTTAGGGAATCAGGTGGAATGGACATTGTCAAGGTTGTTGGGTGGGCGGGGAGGGCATATCCCATCTAAAGGAAATGACGCGAGCAAGGAATTACTTGTGTTTCAGTTTCAGTGATGTGAGAGCAAATAGCATGTAGCAAGACATTTTGTCTGATGATCTTAGTGTATCATTTATAGTATGTTTATAATCATATATTGGAGCATCATTCTTAGGCCAACTCTATAATGTAAGATGAGAATTAAGAACTAAGTGTAAAGTTACTGTTTTATCTCTATATTCAAAAAAATAAACATTAATTGACTAGCTACTGGCTGAACCATATGGAGTTGCTATTTCTATACATTGTAAATGGCCAAATATGTGCAATTTCAGATGGTTCAGCCAGATGCTGTATGTGAGGCCCTGTCCCTGACCTTGAAGATCTAGGAATCTAATAAAGCAGTTTACCTTTGAACAAAAGTATCCTCTAGAGACTGGCCACAGAAATTAATAAAATTAGATGGCACAAAAGTGTTCATAGAGGATGGCAGTAGTTGTAATTGCAGGAGTAAGAGAGTAATGAAAGGAACATTTTTTATCATCATAAGTTATCCCTTATGGTGAAATCTAATTGATGTTAACTATATATTGGCCATGTTTCATTGCTTTTATAAATATTGTGCTTAAAATAAGTATTTTTGAGAAAAATATCTACTCTTTACCTAACTGCATTTTTTTTTTTTATACTGGGTCAAGGAAAGAAATAAGCATCTACCAAACAGGTTTTTAGCACCTACAAAGTACCATGCTCTGCTATTGGCTTTCACAGTCTTTTTAATTCTAGAATAAAGCATTAAGGTATTATCTTCATTCCTAATGAAAAACTGAGGTCTGAGAGGTTTATTTTTTCAGCAAATAATCCAACAAATAATTTATAATATGCCAGGCGCTACTGGGATTATAGCACTGTAGAATGAAATGAATTTCCACCCTCCTAAAGTTCATATTAATTGGTGGGTGTTTAAATTGCTTAAGGTCACCCAGCTGGTAAGTGATGAAGCTGGAATTGGAACCTAAATCCATCTGACTGTAACGCCCATTCCCTTCACAAATACATGCTGTTTTGGAAGCCATTAATAAAACTGGTAAATTATAAAATATATGCAGGACCTTCCTATTCATTGTTGCAGTGATATTTTGCTTTTTCGGCTCTGCGCAGCATGAGGAAGAAAAGTAACAACTTTCAAAGATCCTGTTGTGACCTTAAACAATCACTACATTCATGAATGCTTTCAAATACTTGACTACTTAAGTGGTCACAGCATCAAGAACACTTATTTCAATGATTGAGTCTTTTGTTATTTGCTAATTATTACATGCATGTAATCTTTTACTTACTATTGAAAAAGTAAATTTAATTTTCATTTCATTATTTATTGTCTGAGCTTAATTCTAAAGGAGTGATAGTACACCTTAAGTGACTATAAGAACTTAACTTGAAATGTCATTTAAAATGAGAACTTTAGTTTCAGAAGTGTCAGAAAACACATAGAACCCTTTATTTTATGGATGAGGAGACCAAGGAACATGAGTAAAATGACTAAAAAGTTATAGTGGATGAGAGGTAATGTTGGGATTTGAAAGTAAGCCTCCTGAACCCCATTTTAGTGTTCGTGATTTAGCATGAAAAATAAAGAGAAAGGGGAAGCAATTCATGCCAGAGCTCACTAGCCCACTCATTTGGTTGGGTATAATTGGGTCATCTTGTCACTAGATTCTTCTGAAGCAAAAGGCGCCTAAAAATAGGGCATAGGTTTCGATGCCCATATGCCTAATTTCCAGCTCTCTGTCCTAAATTAGGTACTCTCAAAGTCTGTGCATTCTCCATCTGGATGGAAATGGTGGGCAATGAAATCTACACTAGTGACTTTTCCTAGATCGTGTTTGCTTCTACTGAGCCACCAATTTTAGCTCTTTTTTGCAAAAGAGGAAGCTAGAATTTTAAGTAGAGTCTCAAGGTGTCATTTGAAGTAGGGTGTGCTCCAGAGCCACTATCTGTTCCAGGGTTCATATTCTTATCAAAGACAGTGAAACAACCTCTACTCTTATAAAAAGCAAGAGCCCACTTTTCAATATTGTTTCATGAGAAATTGAGGCATGTGATAACTCAGTACTGTGTTACTGCTGCTAATTTCAAATAAGAGTAAATTATTTGTTGAAATATTTTATCTTGGTTTAGGAATCAGAGTTTACTAATGCTTAGAAGTATAGTATTCTTGTGCTCAAGCAGAAAGGATCAATACAAGATTGATCTCATGCGTGTGTATGTGTGTGTGTGAGTGTGTGTCTGTTTTAAGTGTAGAATGTACAGTTTACCAACAAACTTGAGATTAATTTGTGTTTTCTCCTATTTAGGTTGCAGTAATCACATAAAGAAATTTAAGTTGTCATACAAATTACTCTTTGATGATCTATCTATCTATCTATATATTCTCTTTCCTTTTTAAGACATACCTTTCTTTACAGTAAACCCTTAATGAAATTCCTTGAATATATCTGATTTGGGGCAAGAATCACTAGAGGATACTAAATTAGATGTTGACCACAATTTTGTATATGACTGTATAGAGTTATTTATATTCCTTGTATATATTCACTATTTATATTACTTTTATTCATTATATTCATTAATAGAATTTCTTAATTTCTCTACATAATATTAAAACTATGGATGACAAACAATCTTTTGGCTTACGCAAGGTAATTTCCCACTTTCTATTTCAGTATCAACATGAACTGAATACTTTCTTATTTTTAGTTTTTAAATAGATTCAGCTTATTCCAACTGATTATAGCAATTACTTTTTATTCATGAGTTGTCTGTTTTATACAATACTTCTACAATTGGAAACATTATGCTATTTGAGAAAACTCTAAGGGCATCATCAATCTCCAAAAATCAGTAAGTCATCAAGTCTGTCTTGCTTTATTTTCCCTGAAGATTCCAGCTGTGGTCATCCTCTAAGCACAAATGAACAAAAATGCAAGCCTGGGGCAAGAATGCGTATTTATAGCCTGACTAGTGGTGGTAGCAGGCGACTCAAGAGAGGGATGACTTAGCAAATTCCAATGAGAAGTTTTCAAAATCAAAAGCTATACTGAGTTCTAAAATTCGAGCATAGCATCACTAATTCCTTTTTTTCTTGCAATTTAAAGAGCTATTAAGTTCAATCTTATTTATTTTCCTTAGCCCTGAGTTTCTGTCATGTTTTTAATATATTCTGTATCATGTTGAACATATTTATTCACTGAACAGATTTGTATGGGTTCCATATCAAGTGCTATTACTGTACCAGGCACTGTAGTCACAGCAGTAAATAAGACAACATTCCTACCTTCTTGGAACTTAGCATTCTAAGAAGGATAACAGGAACTAAACCAGGAAACAAATAATATATATGACTTTTGGTAGAGATAAATTTCATGAAGAAAAATTATCAGGAAAAGAAGAGAGAGAATTATAGAGTAGTGAGCAGGCTATTTGAGATAGGGGACTGAGAGAAAGCCTCTCGAAGGAGTTCTATTTGCCTAGAGATATTAATAATATGTGGAATTCACTTAGATGAAGTTAAGGAAGAAAAGTGTTCTGGAAAGAGGAACAGCAATTGCCACTTCCTGAAGTGGGAAAACACTTTATATGGTTGGGGAAGAGCTGAGCACTTCTGTCATTTGAGCAGTATGAGATATGGCAAGAGAATTAGCAGATGAGGAGAGACAGGCAGAGTTCGAACATGCAGATTCTTGGATGCCGTTCTAAGAAGTTTGGAGTTTAATTTTAATGGGAAGTTATTGGAGAATTATGAGACAAGAAAATGATATGATTTGCAATTTTAGAAGTTTACCACTGAATATGTTGGATGTGAGAGTACAGAGAAAAATCAAGATTAACTACTTGGTTTTTGGTCTGAGTATCTGGGTGAATGACAGTGCCATTTACTGGATGGGGAGGTCAGAGGGAGAGGTCAGTTTGGAGGAAATTCAGGAGTTCTGTTTTGAACATATTTGAAATATCTAAGTGCCTGTCATGAAGTCAACTGGATATGTAAGTCTGAACTCAGGGAAAGGATCCAGGGTTGAATACATAATTTGGAGGGATCACCATATCTCTGGTCTTCAAAGTCAAGGGATGAGATAAAGTCACAAGTCAGAGAGTGTAGATGGAGATAAAAAGAAGCATACAAATATGTCCTGAGGCAATATGACCATAGATTTTGGGAAGTCAAGGAGGAGCCAGTCAAGGCCTAAGGAAGTGGCCAGTGAAGTAGGAGCAAAATCAGGAAAAGGTCATGTCTTAGAAGGCAAATGAATGAAGATTTTCAAGTAGAAGGAATTTATTTCCTATGTTAGATGCTGCTGACAGTGAGGTAAGATGAGGGCATGCAACTGAGTGGTGGTTTGGCAAGATGAAGATGGACTTTATTGATGACTTCACAACAGTGGGTTTCATGGGAAAAAATGTGGGGAAAATGCCCAACTGAAGTGGGCCTCAGACAGAATAATAGATTAAAAAAGTGGAGAAAATAAGAAAAGGCAAAATTTGAGGAATTTTGATATAAAGTGGAAGCTAGCATGGAGTAAAAGCTGAAAGAGTGAGGGGAATCAAGAGTCCCTTGTTTTTACTGTGATAGAATGTGTGTGTGTTTGCGTGTATACAATGATAGAAATAATTCAATCAAGAGAGAAAAAATAACAATACAACAGGGAGGGAATAAATTCAAGTCTAAAGTCTGACTAGACTAGATCAGTGGAATGGAATCTAGTGTAGAAGTGGACAGCTAGGCCTTGGAAAGAAGTATGGAGAGAAGGCCGTTAAAGGAAAATTGGTGGTAAGAAGACAAGATAGTCCTCTTCTGAATGTTTTTATTTTCTCAGTGGGATGAGGGGCAAGTTTATCAGCTTTGAATAAAGAGGGGGAGGGGATATTGAATGTTTGTAGAGAGGGAAGATGGTGAAAACACATAACAGAGTAGGAGACTGAATTAAGTAAAAAAAATATAGACTGCCAGGTAGTGAAAAAAAATTCATTCGAGATTTGAAGTTATAAATTTAAGTGAGGCTAGTATGCGTGGAGTGGTATTTTATTCAGATATGTTCAGCTGTTAACATTGCAGATGTGGAACCAAAACTGAGTTCCGTTTAACTGAAATTGGGATTTTTACCAGAGAAGTAAGATAGAAAAAGGGGTAGATGGAGATTGCCAAAGAGTGAATGTGGTGATAGACTATGGACTCCAACCTGTGTAAGTAGTGAGATGAGGACATAGCGGAGGTGATGAACAGAGAAGATTTGAGGAGGGTCAAAGAATTGTTGGGTAGGCAGTACAGGATGAAGAAGCTAGAAAGATAGGGGGTGGTTGCCAAAGAGGGCAATACTGGCAGTTGTTGGTAATCACAAGGTCTTGGGTGTGGCCATGACAGCTAGTGGTTGAAGCGAGGTGGAGGAAAAGCTTATTGGAATTATGGAAATCAAGGAATAGAGAGTCTAAGGAATTGGACAGGTCTTTTGAATCAATGTTGCCATCTCTAAGAGAGGTAGAGAGGAAGTCAATCATCCAGGAAATAAAATTTGTAAGAAGTTTGAAGAAGCAGCAGAGTAACTAAATGATTTTCTTAGGGAAGGGTAGATATAGAGTTCTTCAGGAAGAAGGAAGGAGAAAAGATCTGGATATGGTGAAGAGGAGCAATATATACAAACACTCAACTCCAAGGCCTTATGATCATAGGGATCACGGGAGAAAACCAAAGAGCTACCTGTTACCCAAGAGGACTAAGATGTAGTGTTCTCAGCAGGTCCAAGATTTCTTCATTTAGAGCCAGAAGGTTAGGAAAGCATTCAGAGTAGTTGTTGAGGATTTTCCTCAATTTAATGACTTGGCTTGGGAAGACACTAGAGAAGATTTTTGGGTGTTTGGAGAGGGAAAGTAGGATTATATTCCTATATATTCCTACATCACACTATGTATTGAATTACACTACTTCCCAAAGTTTTAGAAATATCAACATTCTTATGTCAGTTTTTTCTAATAAGTCTTCCTTAGATGCAATACACTCAATAACAGGAAACAATTGGGACGGGGAGCATGACATCTACAGTTTCAAAGCTTCTGAATTTTATTTCTCTACTTTGCTAAATTTATTAGTGGCAATTTTTATATCCATTGTATTTACAATGCCAATAAAAAAAGGTTCAATTCTTTTTTTTTGAAAGGGAAGAATGTTATAGCAGGACTCTATGATGGCAATAATATTTACATATTTAGTTTATATTGTTTAACCCCTGAATTAGTCATTATTTTTATTGTTCTATGCAGGCAATTTTTAAACCATTATCTTTGTAACTGTGATCTTTCATCTCCAATAAGTATTTTTCTGCCTAAAGTGCATTGTTTACAATTTCATTTATTGAGGATGTAGTGATGGCATTCTCTCTGTTTTTGACAGTCTGAATGTGTTTTTATTTTGCTTTTGTTAATTTTTCTGGGGATAGCATTCCAGTTGTTTTTCAATTGATGTCAATTTTTCATCTAATTGTCATTTCTATGTAGATGGTCTGTCTTCTTTCTGGTTCTAAGATATTCTCTTTTTTGCTATTCTGTACTTTCACAATGATGTGTCTAAATATGATTTTTTAAAAAAAATTTTTGCTTGGGATTTCCTATTGAGATTCCTTGCTCTGAACCTTGATATCTTTCAACAAGGCTGATAAATCTCAGCCGTTATCCCTTCAAGTATTTCTTCTTCCTTATTTTCTCCATTATCTTAGACCTCCTCCGTATATCCTTTATGTCTCAACTGGCATTTTCCATATTTTCCTTCTCTGAACTACATTCTTGAAATTTTTTTCAATACTGTCATCTTTTTCACTAAATTTCTCTCTGTCTCTGTCTAATCTGCACTTTTATACATCAAGAGAATTTTAATGTTTTATTTTTCTGTTCTAGAAGGTCTGTCTGTTTCTCTTTCAAGTCTGCTTGCTTATTTATAATGCATATTATTATCTAACACATTCTTTGCTCATATTTTCAAATCTCATCGATTTCTTGAAATATATTAAACATTTGTATTTTTGTTCTTTGGTGATTTCAGTATCTGAAGTCTTTTGAAGTCTGACTGGCCTGTATGTATGCATGTGCGCGTGTGTGTGTGAGTGCGTGTTATTTTTTCCATTTTCTTTGCTGGTTTTATCTGTTGGTGCCTGATTTGCTCGTGTGTTTAGTGATTTTATCAGTGAGCTCATATTCCTTGAAACTTATGGGGAATTTATGTGACATGATGAAGTTGAGTTCCTTCAGAGAAGATTTATGTTTGCTTCTGCTAGTTTCTTTTGAATAACTGCAACTCAGGATTACACGTTCATTTTAATTTAAATTCTGAAGTAGAGGTTTTTTCAGGCTGCATGGCTGCCATGGATTTGGACCACATAGGCTCAGAGAGATGGTCTTGTACTTCCAAACCTCCAGAATTTTTCTTGTTTTTCCACGTCTTCATCCAGAGGAGTGGCAGGAGAAAAGTTTCTTTTCTGTCCTCTTTTTCCTGGTGGATTTACGTCTTACTCTCCATCCCCTAAGAGTGAATGCACCACATTGCACAAGTCCAGGAGTTACCACTCGCATTGAATGCTGTGGCACTCTGCTGAAGAATTCAAGGGGGGCCCTAGAGTTGTCCAGTATAACGGCCCTGGTTGAAATTGCCTTCTTTTAAAGTTCCAGCTTTTCATGTGGAGATATTCCTTAACTTTCTATTGGATCAAGGCTTTATCTTCTCTCTCTGGCATTCCATGCTGTTAATACAGAAACTCACAGTCACCAGGATTAACCAGTACCTTCCAAGGCAAAACTGGCTTTACTATCAGCTTCTATCTCAGGGTTCCTCCTTTTGCTTTGTTTTTTGTTTGTTTTATTTTATATTGTTTTGTTCTTTGCTTTTGTTTTTTGGCTAGTACAGATTTCTAACTTTCTTGTCAGCTCTGCAATTCTTTACGAGAAAAATGTTTTAATTTTATACAGAGTTTTAATTATTTTAATTAAGATAGCCATTCAGTTTGGATTATCTATTTCAACATTTTGCCAGAATTGGAATCCCACGTGTAGTATTAGCATTTGTATATATGTAGAGAACCATTTTGTGACCACTGCGTTCAGTACAATAAGAACATTGGTAGACACATAAAACTAATATTTTAGTTAATTGCATTCTGTACCTTTAGGAGATTGCTTTGCTCCTAGGTCGTTATTTCCCAGGCCTTACTTCTAGGAGAGGTATATTGCCTTTTCAAAGATCTTGTATGCAAAAACTAATCTATTCAGCTTTTGCATATTATTATTATTATTAATGAAAGGCAGAATTAATTTTTAAATGTTTTCCATCCTCTTTCTTGTATATTCATGTTCTGTAATGTAAGAAATATCATCCTATAAACATTATTCTGTAGAATCATAGTATGAATTTTCTTTTAAGATGAAATTTTTCTTATACACTTGTAAGTGCTGTAATTTACCTACACCTTACTCCATTTAAGATGGATGTAATAATCACACTCTAGTGAATGCTCATATATACATATCCTAGTGCACCCGGGTGAGAACTTGGGCAGAATAGATTTTTTGGATGAAATTGTTTAATACATGTGTACTTTTGTTTTTTTCAGTGCCTGGTAGTTCCCCAGAAAATATTACTTACAAAAATATTTCCTCTGGAGAGATTGAGCTGTCATTCCTTCCCCCGAGTACTCCCAATGGAATCATTCACAAATATACCATTTATCTCAAGAGAAGTGATGGAAAGGAGGAAAGAACTCTAAATACAACCTCTTTGACCCAGAGCATTAAAGGTAAAAAAAAATCATGTTAGATATTTACTTTTATCTTGAAAGAGTGGCCATAAAGTATTAGCTTGTTGTCATATTACAAATGGTAAGTGTGATTAGTTTTATTTTTTTTTTCTGCTTTATTTCCCCAAACTCCCCCTGTACACAGTTGTATATCTTAGTTGCAGGTCCTTCTAGTTGTGGGATATTGTGGTTAGTTTTATACAGAGTATGACAATTCTGGTTTTCTGGTTAAATAAGCTAGGAGTCTATTGCAGGTCACATGAAAGAATACACTAGGTCAATCCTTTTACACATTATCCTATATCAGTTTGTCTTCATAATGAGAGTTGCTATGCCAAAGAACTACATTTTCAGTTAGGTTTTACTTTTGAAAGATTGCTAAGAGACGTTTCACAGTTTGCCTCTTGCATATTATTAAAGGATATTTTGTAAGTCTCAACTTATCTATTCTATTTCTTTTTAGGACTGAAGAAATATACCCAATATATGATTGAAGTGTCTGCTAGTACCCTCAAAGGTGAAGGAGTTCGGAGTGCACCCATACATGTATTGACTGAAGAAGATGGTAAATACAGTAGTGGGTAGTGATATGTTTTGAATCCATCACATTTCAAAAAACATGTACATAGAAAGAAGACATAATGTAAACATTTCCCTCGCGTTGGGTATCAGTTGTGTGCCACACCAGCATTATACAGAGATTTCATTGTCATGGTGTAAAAGAAGCTAGCAAAGTCAGATTTATGGTCAATAAAATCAAGTATAAAATGCTTTTTTTGATCCTGAAGTTACCCATGCTCTGTAAAAAATCAGTAATTTTTTTCCATGGGAATTTTTAAGGCTGAAATTTTGATTTGAATGGTTTGAACATCAACTAATGTATGTTACAACTGTGTTTTTCAACTTTAACATTCATATGAATACACATTTACATAAGTTTTCTAGTAGATTCTGTCAACCTGCAACATTTTTTATCATATTAGGATTAGCTTGCTAATGAGTTCAGGATATTTTCCAGGTTTTTCTACATAATTTGCCAAGACGTTATTCCTGAATGTTACTAGCCTTCATACTGAATATTTGAACAAATCTTTCCCTAACTTGAATAAAATCAACTTTACAACTGAGACCACTTTCTACTGGTACCTCACTGAGTTATAGACATATATCATCGTAAGAAAATTACTTTTGAGGAATATATTTGGGATTTGTATTTGTATTTTATGTTTTATGCATACTATATTTTTTAACTTTTTATTGAGATTATGATAGTTTACAACCTTGTGAAAATCCAGTTGTACATTATTGTTTGTCAGTAGTGTTGTATGTGCACCACTTCATCCTTTGTGCCCACCCCCAGCTCCTCTTTCCCCTAGTAACCACTAATCTGTTCTCTTTGTCTACATGTTTAACTTCCACATATGAGTGGAGTCATACAGAGATTGTCTTTCTCTATCTGGCTTATTTTACTTAACATAACACCCTCAAGGTCCATCCATGTTGTTGTGAATGGGATGATTTTATCCTTTTTTATGGCTGAGTAATATTCCGTGGTATATATATATACCATATGTTCTTTATCCAATCATCAGTTGACGGGCACTTATGTTGCTTCCACATCTTTCCTGTTGTAGATAATGCTGCAATGAACATAGGGGTGCATGGGAATTTTGGAATTGCTGATTTCAAGTTCTTTGGATAGATACCCAGTAGTGGGATGGTTGGGTCATATGGTATTTCTATTTTTAATTTTTTGAGAAATCTCCATACTGTTTTCCATAGTGGCTGCACCAGTTTGCATTCCCACCAGCAGTGTATGAGGGTTCCTTTTTCTCCACAACCTCTCCAACATTTGTTACTATTTGTTTTGGTTATTTTTGTCATTCTAATGGGTGGAAGGTGGTATTTTAGTGTAGTTTTGATTTCCATTTACCTGATGATCAGTGATGATGAGCATCTATTCATGTGCTTATTGGCCATCCATATATCTTCTTTGGAGAAATATCTGTTTATGTCCCCTGCCCATTTTTTGATCGGGTTGTTTGATTTTTTGTTGTTGAGTTGTGTGAGTTCTTTGCATATTATGGAGATTAACCCTTTGTCAGATGTATGACTTGCAAATATTTTTTCCCAATTGGTGGGTTGTTTTTTTGTTTCAGTCCTGTTTTCCCTTGCCTTGAAGAAGCTCTTTAGTCTGATGAAGTCCCATTTGTTTAATCTTGCTATTGTTTCCCTTGTCTGAGATGATGTGGTGTCCGAAAATATCCTTTTAGTACTGATGTCAAAGAGTGTACTGCCTATATTTTCTTCTAGAATCCTTATGGTGTCAGGTCTTACCTTTAGGTCTTTGATCCATTTTGAGTTTATTTTGGTGAATGGTGAAAAAGAATGGTCAATTTTCATTCTTTTACATGTAGCTTTCTAGTTTTCCCCCGACCATTTGTTGAAGAGACTTTATTTTCTCTATTGTATGCCCTCAGCTCCTTTGTCGAAGATTAACTGTCCATAGATGTGCAGTTTTATTTCTGGGCGTTCAATTCTGTTCCATTGATCTGTGCACCTGTTTTTGTACCAGTACCATGCCGTTTTGATTACTGTAGCTTTGTAGTATGTTTTGAAGTCAGGGATTGTGATGCCTCCAGTTTTGTTCTTTTTTCTCAGGATTGCTTTAGCAATTCGGGGTCTTTTGTTGCCCCATATGAGTTTTAGGATTCTTTGTTCTATTTCTGTAAGGAATGTCTTTGGGAGTCTGATTGGGATAGCGTTGAATCTGTAGATTGCTTTAGGTAGTATGGACATTTTAACTATGTTTATTCTTCCAATCCATGTGCTTGGAATGTCTTTCCATCTCTTTATGTTGTCATCAATTTCTTTCAGGAAAGTCTTGTAGTTTTCATTGTATAGGTCTTTCACTTCCTTAGTTAAATTCACCCCAAGGTATTTTATTCTTTTTGTTGTGATTGTGAATGGTATTGTGTTCTTGAATTCTTTTTCTGTTAGTTCGTTATTAGAGTATAGAAATGCTACTGATTTATATAAGTTGATTTTATACCCTGCAACTTTGCTGTAGTTTTTGATTATTTCTAATAGTTTTCCAATGGATTCTTTGGGGGTTTCTATATATAAGATCATGTCGTCTGCAAACAGCGAGAGTTTCACTTCTTGTTTCCCTATTTGGATTCCTTTTTATTCCTTTCACTTGCCTAATCACTCTGGCCAAAACCTCCAGTACTATGTTGAATAGTGGGCATCCCTGTCTCGTTCCTGTTCTCAGGGGGATGGTGTTCAGTTTTTGCCCATTGGGTATGATGTTGGCTGTGGGTTTGTCATACACGGCCTTTATTATATGGAGGTAATTTCCTTCTATCCCCATTTTGTTAAGAGTCTTTATCATAAATGGCTGTTGGATCTTGTCAGATGCTTTCTCTGCATCTATTGAGATGATCATGTGGTTTTTATTCCTCAATTTGTTGATGTGGTGTATCACGTTGATTGATTTGCGGATGTTGAAGCATCCCTGTGTCCCTGGTATGAATCCCACTTGATCACGATGTATGTATACCCAGTACTTTTAAGACAGTTTTTTTTTTTTTTTTTGTAAAAAGAAGTGATATTGACATGAGGAGTGAGCCTGGGTGTATCACAAGTGTTTGTAGGTTATCTTTTCTTCCCTCTTTCAAGTTTCACCATCTTCAAGCTAGATTGCAGTGTATGGATGTCAGATTCTAGTCTTTTGCCAGGACAAAATGTCCATTATACAATTCTAGAAGAAGGAAAGCTTTTCTCTGCTTTGCTCTTAAATTATTCAAAATAATAAAGTCTTTGGTACCCTCTCTTCCCATTTCAGGTCTGTCTCTGTTTTCCTCTCCACCAAATTACTTCATCAAAGCCTCCTGGTAGGGTGCTCTGGGTTGCCTCATTTTCTAAGTCTTCTCATGGGTTGGTCTTCCTTAGTCATTGCCTCTACTTACTATGCTTGTTTCTCCCTCAAAACTACCTGTCCAAAATTTCACTTTTTCATAGTTGGATTCTTCTTGTTCTCAAAGTGAAAATTAACCTAATAAGTAAATCTTTCCCAATGGGACAATGGTTAAAGGTTAAGAGGAGAAGGTTAGTTCTCCTTTCTATCTAAGATAATGCCCAAGAAAGATATATTAAATCATTTTAGCAATGCCCTTCTGGACATAAAGCTTACTTCTTTGTTTCTGATCTAATAAAATAGTCTGGAGAATTTGAGGTCTTATATGAAGGAAGTTAGACCAGTAAGGAATATATATTTTGAGCAGACAGAGCTTTTTACCACTCAAGTCAATAGTTTCAAATTATACTATGTGTCCGAATTACCTGGGCTGTTAAAAACACAGTCTTCGTAAATTTCCGTCTAAGTCCTTGGCCAACTCATTGGTATAATTACTGGGGAACAGTGTGAAGAACAAGATCCCTTTGTTGAAAAATTACAGCAAATCAAGAATGGCTAAAGGCCTGAGAAGTTTGTTTTCCTGGGTGTTAGGAGCTCCTTGCTTTCAAGGAACTTGCAGTTTAGTAGAAGAGATCTAAATTTGACGTGTGTAGACAAATAATTTTTATAATTTTTATATTATATAAGTGCTACCAAAATTATTCCCAAGACAAAAGAGGGATTTTAACTACTCTGAGGTGTCAGAGAAAGCGTAGCTGAGAAAGTTACGTCTAAGCTGTGAGCTGGAGGAAGATGCGTAAAGAGGGAGGATGAGAAACAGGAAAGACCTTGCTGTGCAGAGGGAGTCAGAGCCTTGTGAAGACCTTGCTCATCTATCCACAGAGGCTCTGTCATGGTGAACTTGGTAGATTGCAAAAGATATTGCATTTATTTATTCTATTTGTTCTAATTTCACTTTTTTTGGATTTTATTTCAGAATACAAGTGCCAAAATTATTAAAACTTAGTCTGCTATAATAGATATGAAGTGTTTTGCTTAGATAGCCATCTAATTATATTTCTTTAGCAGTAAAAAGTTTTACGTAAGAATTAACCAAGAATATACTGAAGATTAAATATAAAACACCAAGTGTTGTCTGATTTTCCACATAAGCATCTTAAATCATATTATAGAATAGAAATGCTCAGTTACAACACATTGTGTTCTAAATTAGTGCTATGTTTGATTGAAATCCTTTTTCTCAATAACAAAAGTTAAGTTTTGCAAAAATGTTAGGAAAAATATCATAGGCTTTTGTTTTGACAAATGAAAGAGAGTTCTCAGTTGGAGGTGATTCATATTTTGGGAAACTGACATCTCCAAATGATATATAGATTCTTGTAATAATCAATATTTGATAGCATTTTTATTATAGTGCCAGTGAGAATCCTAAATGAAAATATAAATACAGCTGTCACCATTATTCCTTAGAACTCATCTCATAAAACTTTTCTCTGCTCAATGAACTTTTTTTGGAAAATTGTTATCAAAAAAATAAACACACAAACACACATGCATGTATACACACACAACTATAGCTGAGATTATGCAGAAAATCAAAAGGAAATTAAAATAATTCAAGTAGCATCTTCTCCAAATTATTTGAAAAAGTGATCTGCAAATGTACTAATCTATAAATTAACATTGTTTGAAGATCTGAACAAATTCTTGAAATTTCTATTAGCTACGTGTGAGTTCACTTTCCATTTATAACTATAACAATGATCACAGTTTAGTAATTTATACCTTTTACATGGAAAAGGTTGTGTATTAATATTCTAAGATATTACTATGCTGTTATATAGTAGCTAAGAAAAGTCATTCTGAATGTTTTATCTAAATGGAAATGTAAACTTGGCTAACTAGTTTGCAGTAATATTTTTAGTGCTTATTCAATGCAGAATGGCTAAAGTATTTGAATTCTTACAGTATTATAGCAGAATTAGAAGTGGACCCTAAACTGTCTCTATTCTTGCTTCTGTGAACATTGCTGTTTACTCTGTAAACCCTTTAGTTTTGAAGGCTCGGTGAACAGATTTTGATACTATTTTACAGTTTAATGACATAACTGAAATTAAGAATGTAGTTTTCATATGTGAGGCCAGTCATTTTAACTGCTCTCTCAATGTTACCGTTATCACTTTCCCATTTCTTGGATATGTGAATTTTTTCCAGCTCTTTTTATTGTTTGGGGAGCTCTTTTACTGTATATTACATTTCTTCACTCAAATAGTTTTATTTTTATTAGAGGATGATAATGTGCTTGATGCTAATGACCAAGATGTACTTGAACAGTAGGTGAATCACTGTGACATACCCCTTGTTCTTTTTTCTCATGAAATATTTTTTTCCATTGAATCACAGAAACAGATGTTCTAACACCACCATGCAAAATCTTCTTTTATCATCTCATTTTGAAAGTAAACAATCAGTCTCCCATGCCCATGGAGAAAGGCACTCTACCTGATTCATTTACCAGAAAGTTTATAATAAAAATTTCGTACATTTCCATTTCAACCTTTTCTTACATATGTTTAATAAAATGCATTATCCTATACTCCAACGTTTTAGCTCCTGATTCACCCCCTCAAGACTTCTCTGTAAAACAGTTGTCTGGTGTCATGGTGAAGTTGTCATGGCAACCACCCCTGGAGCCAAATGGAATTATCCTCTATTACACAGTTTATGTCTGGTAAGAATTTTTTTTTTCTTTTTTGGAAATAGTTCTGAGAACAAGTATTAATCTGTAACATAAGAGGAATGTAGTTTTAAAAAAAAATTTCAGAATGTGATGCCACATTAAGAACTTGATTATTAATAGGCTAGTTAATATGCTTTTATTAAGAAACAAGTTTTTCCCATATTATGTAGCAGTCCAAGCATAGTCAAATAATACCACTTTTGTAATTAAAACAAAAAATTATGTGCTATTCATAATTGTACTAAATTTATGCTCTTAAAAGTCGTTGATCAATTTATGTGAATACAAGCATATAATTTTAAACTCTTCTAGAATTTTACACAAATATTCTCTGTCACTGTCTTTTTAAGTTTCCCTGAGCAGAATAATTTTAACTAAAATTTAATTAAAAGATATTTCTTTAGATATCTGTTATTTAAGGTCAATTTTCCATTGAAATGTAAGCAGTGTATTTATTTTTTTTCTGATCACCTTTACCCTGATTAATGATTATTTATACATCAATTGTGAAAAAGGTGAAATCTTATAATACATCTCACATCAATTAACAACATGGCTATACTGCCTCATGAAAACTCAATAGCTAAAAATCCTCACTTTGATATAATGTAAGTCCTCTTAAAAAGATTCATCAGTTATGTAACATATTTCCTAGTGGATTTTAACTATTTCAACTCAGAAAATACAATTTACAAGATATTTTATAAAATGTAGACATTTCTTACTTTTATATTCTTACTTGGAAGGTCCAGCATTGAGAAGCTATGATGTTTTAAAGAAATCTACTCTTCTCTTTCCCAAATTAAGATTTTTCTTTCTTCAATCTCTCTTCAAACCCATTGTATACTGCTCTTTAGGACTATACTTCCTGTGGTTTTCATTGCCTGATTCCTAGTCATTTTGCCTAGTCATGGTGAAATTGGGAGTGACTTGAGAGTTGATAGTGGGAAAAGAAGCAGTGGAAAGAAGGCAATCATTCCTCTTGATTACCCTATTCATTCATTTTTTCATTCATTCATTCAACAATGCATGTGAATGAGACACACATAAGTCCCTGTCCTCAAGGAGTTTACATTCTAAAGGGATGACTGGATTATATACCAATAAACAATTACATGAGAGAAAAAGGAGATAGGGCTACTTTTGATGGAATGCTTGGGGAAGTCCTCTGTAAAGCAGTGGCATGAATTGTGATCTGAAAGACACGGATCATGTGTCAAGAAGCTGAAGGAGCTTCTTGTCATGTAAAGATCTTCAGGCTGGAACTTTTCAGGAGGAGGAACATTCACTGCCTAGGCTCTGCGGAGAAACACAAGTTGTCATTTGGAAGACAAGAAAGGAAGTCATGGTTGCTGAGGGCTAGAGAGATGGAGGAGAGTAGCACCAGGGGATGGGAGGCAGACAAAGGTCAGGAGCTAAGCCACAGTAAGGATTTCATTTTCATTTCAACTATAATGGGAGCTATTGGGGAATTTCATGAACTTTGGATACTTTATGGATAATGCATTGTAGGGTGTAAAAGTGTTATCAGGAATACTAGATAGGAGGCTATTTTAGTAATCTGAGCAACAGATGATCCTGTGAATGGATGAGAGAAATGGGTAGCTTTTTGGTATATTTAAGTGGCCAGGACTTGGTGATGGATTGGCTATGGGAATTAAAAAAAGAGATGAATCAATGATGACTTCTAGATTTTTAAATCAATGGTGATGACTTCGAGGTTGTTTTTGAGGAAGATTGGCCCTGAGCTAACATCCGTGCCCATCTTCCCCTACTTTGTATGTGGGATGCCTGCTACAGCATGGCTTGACAAGCAGTGCCAAAGTCCACACCTGGGATCCAAACCGGTGAACCCCAGGCCACCGACATGCGGAATATGTAAACTTAACCACTGTGTCACCAGGCTGGCCCCATATCTTTGAGGTTTTTGACATCATTTTACTGAGTGTGAAAAACGTTAATGAAAGTAAGAATCAAGATTTTTCTGCCTGGGTTTTCCAGCTCTACTTCCTGAGAACAATCCCGTTCCTCTCTCAGTAGTGCTTTTTCTCTTCTCTTTCATGGAGCATCCTTTTCCATCTCACTTCCTAAGATGGATTCCTAGTACAGGGGAAGCCTACTGAACGTAGGGTGAAGAAATTTCAAGTCTGTGATCTTGTGGCTCATCTTACCAGGCTTTTTGGGAATCATTCTGGTGCCCAACTACAGTCATAGCTTCCAGTTTCAAGGTTCTTATTTTCTGTTTTATTCTTGATCTAACCTCAGGCTTATTCTAGTGCCCTAGCTCTCTTAGCATGTCTGTCTCAACACCCATGTAGCTAAATGCTCTTGGTTGTTTTCTCCGCACCAATCTGCAGTGTGCAGGATTGGGAAGGTGACTTCCACACCCTTCCCTAGCTCTGGATGACCCTCCAGAGGAGCTCTTAGATCTTGCTGGGCATGGTGACATACGGAAGACAGATTTTCTAAGAGGCTTCTCATTTTACTCTCTTTCCTGATACGAAAGAGCAAGCCTTTCTGACTGTCATTCAAAGAGAGTTATTCAGAGAGACATTAAGCCACAAAACCTCCTTTTTGGATCAGTTGGAAAACTTAAGATTGCAGATTTGGGGCAGTCGGCGCATGCCCTCATCCTGCAGGAGAACCACTCTCTTCGGCACCCTGGACTACTTGCCCCCTGAGATGATCGAAGGTCGAATGCAGGATGAGAAGGTGGATCTCTGGAGCCTTAGAGTGCTTTTGTAGTTGCGAAGCCTCCTTTTGAGGCAAGCACATACCACGAAACCTACAAAAGAATATTGCAGGTTAAATTCACGTTCCTTGACTTTGTATCAGAAGGAGCCAGGACCCCATTTCAAGACTGTTGAAGCATAATCCCAGCCAAAGGCCAACTCTAAGAGAAATACTTGAACACCGCTGAATCACAGCAAATTCATGAAGACCATCAAGTAGCCAAAAAAGCAAAGAATCAACTAGCAAACAATCATTCATGCAGGGGAAGAAATCCTTAGGGCAGGACTGCTGTATAACCTGTCAGGAAGAGGATTTACTGTTGACAGCCTGCCTGCAATTTAGAGCACTACAGAAAATGCTATTTTTTTTATAACTGAGTAGGCAGTACCTGGGCCTCCCCGTTCAAAAAGTTCCACTTCAATGAACAAGACACTCTGAAGTGAAAGTAGCCGCTAGAATCACGCTGACTTCACTGGTTTCGGAATCTGGAGGCAAGGTTCAACTGCAGCTGCCCCACAGCTGTTTCGAGTAAGCCGTCCTTGTGGAAGATGAACTTGGAGTCCAGTCGTGGGGAAGGTGGCCACTTTGCCCTGACTTGATCAGTTACAGAACTGTGCATTAACCTTCTGAGTACCTGAGTGTGTGTGTAACTTATGGGTGGCCAAGCCTGGAAAAACTGTAGGAATGAAGATGTGAAAAATAAAGGTTTTTTAATTAAAACTTTGAAGATATTTAACAATTTATTGAAGTCAGGGAAAGAGATTCTTAATATATTAACTTTAGAAACCTAGGAGACCCAGGAATTGGATTTCAAAGGATATACAAAGAATTCTTTATAAAAGGTTTTAATATTGCATTCTTTGTTAAACTGGGATTGGAGCACTTTTGGAGACGTGGGTTTCAATGCTGGCTCTGCCGCTCAATTATCTGTGCGGATCTCTTAAAACACTGTATAAGTGGTGGCTAACAGTATTAGCAGAGCTCCTGCTTCAGGGGCCCGTGTTTCTCTCATAATTCTCAGTTTCTATTGTTTTTGTTCTTCCAATAATTGTCAAATTCTTTTAAAAAACATCTTTGTGTATTTGCTATTTTTAGTATGTCTGCAAATTGCAGGCTGTCTGTTATATTTGTTATACTGGGTAACTTCTCTCCTTGTCATGAATATTTCTTTACAAAACAGCTCATGAGGGGTAATGTGCAATCATTTCATAGCAACTACTGTGTGAGTCACATTTGATTTGTGGGTGGTGTTCTCAGAAATCTGCTTTTAACCCATTATGTTTTAAAATGATGTTTCCTTCTAAAGTTTGCTTTGTGAGATATATTTTATCATCTAAGTTGGTAAAATAGCAATTTTTCCTTCTTTATGTTGATAAATTATGCTTATTGTTTTCAAATGATAAACAATCCTTGCATTCCTAGGGCAACCATCATTGAATAAATGAATTAGAGCGCTGTAAGCTTTTTCTTTTAATACGCTTTGGATTGAGGCGTGATGCTCTAGTAAACTGACATAATGCTTATTTACTTTTTAGTTGAATTCAACTTGGATTTGTTTAGCAATATTGCATCTATATTGTCTGTAAAACTTAATGGCAGTTTTCTTCCTTGTTTATAAAACTTTTAAGTGAGCGCCCTGTAAGGTGTAGCTAAAAGAATATGGAATGAAAGCAATGCTGAAAGTTCTAGCCTATATGCAAATCTTGGCTTTAAGGTTTCTCAGTGTTCTTAGTATTAATTATGAGAAATAATTCTGAGTCAGTCAATCTGATAGATGTTTGTTAAACTCTACAGGGAGATAAAAAATATAGAGAATTTAAAAATGATTGTAGACTAATTAGAAATAAAATATGCCCATACGAAATAATTTAAAAATGCTTGCTGAGCAATATACTAGGAAGTCAAAACAATTCTAATGCAGCTTTTTATTAAATGTCACTGGTCAAGTAATTTCCCCTGTAACAGAAAAGCTTACTTTTGCAAACGGCTTTCCATATGCTAAAAATGCTCCTGTTTTCTAAAACGTTTTCACTCTATTAAAAAACTACCTAATGACTTAAGCATATAATATAGATCAATAATCAGAATGGGACAGGGGTCATTTCAGATTTCCTGAATTTACCTCCAACTTTGGAATGAAGGTGGTAAAAATAAATTGAAAGTCAGGAGAACATCTCAGTGGAAACAGTATTTGCAAGCTTGGAGGCAGCATGAATGAACTGTGTTGAGAGGTTGATAAGCAGCATTGTAGAAATGAA